TTTATCTGACATTTATCGCGATATTGAAGATTTCAATGTGAGCATAAAACTACTTCGCGCACTGTATAACGTTATTGTTGCATAATTGCTCGACAACGACCCCATCTTAATGTTGGTTCGCAGTAAGCATTAAGGAAGTTATGTATGACGGTGTTCGAAGTAGTCACATGCTGTGATCACCACACCTACACTGTGTGCATAATGCGCTGATATAATTTTCAATCAATGTTGCCGTCCACATCGTGCAAATCCAAATTTGACGGGAATGCGCTGAATTTCTTGGTTCAAAATAGTCTGAGTCTCAAACGCGCCGCCATTGACCTTGATGTTGCCCAAGTTCCGGCACGTCACGCTAGACGCGACTGGCACGCTGTTTCGACCAAGGAACTGCGTCGCGTCAGTGTACATGGATCACTTTCTCGCCATCATGCCGCCGCTGATTCGCCCCGTGTCGGAGGACGCTGTCTCCATCAAAGCGTTTGGGCAAGCATTCAAGACGCACTTGGCCGCGTCGCCCAATTTTGGAATGGATGGACAGTCGGAGACGGCAAAACCATGGTGGGGTCGAGTCATTTTCGATACATTTCCTGCAGACATGCAAACCCACATGAAAGCTCACCCAGAGCCCGCCACACAGTTGATTGATGCGCTCTACACGTATTACGCCTGCGGGGATGCCTGGGAGGTTTGTTGCCCTTGCGCTCTATGAATCTTATAGGATTTTGTAGGTGTATCCCGACGTAAGACCTGCATTGGATGCACTGCATGCGGAAAACGTATCGATCGGCGTCATCTCGAACTTTGACAACAGATTGCATAGCATTCTGCGTGATCTGGACCTGGACTCAAGGGTTGATTTTGTGCTCACGTCGTGGGACCATCGAGTCATGAAACCTGACCCCTCCATCTTTCATGAGGCTGCAAGAAGGCTGCACTGCCGCCCGGCAGATTTGCTGCATGTTGGGGATGACGTTCGCAACGACTATGTCGGTGCAGTGGCTGCTGGGTGCTCGGCTAGTCTCTTGGATCGTGGCAGTCAGGCTTGCAATACCTCGACTCGGGTGGAGCATACCGTGACCTCTTTGCTAGACATTCTTGCAAAAATCTGAATGTCCAGTACCTGAGGCGTATCGTCAGCCGTACGACGACGTTAGATCTCCATCCATCTCTGCTCTCCTTAATGTGATGTGCATGGGGCGAAATGGATCTTATTGAGCCGTTGGGACGCAACTATCGATGAATCTGCGCTTGCATTCGCTTTTCAAGAGTGGCAACGGGGCACCATCCCCCATCCTGTTCAAACACCGACTAGTGCTGCGTGCCATACGGGGACACTAACGCTTGCTCGGCTACCTTCATTCGCCCAAACGATGCCACCTCATGGCGCACGATCGATTGCTTCACCAAGGCAAAATGAGACCGTTCCTCTGGCACTGCATGAAACCTCTATAATATAATGCCGGATACACACCAAGTGTGTATCCGGATTCTTGGTGTGCACCCAACATTGAAACGACGGCGGCGTAACGGCAACTACAGGGGTCGGCGCAACTCGGACGCGAGGATGGACGATCTGACGATTCGTCGATCACAGGCAAGCGATGCAGCCGTCGTAGGTGAACTGGACGCACCCGAGAAGACGACTCAGATGATCATGTATGGGCGAAGCCACGCCAACATGCTGATCGAAACGTCGTACTTGGCACTCACGGCCGAGACGTCCACGGGAGAAATCGTTGGGTTCATGAGCGTGAACGACCAGCCTCCCGGTGACTTGTGCGAAGATGCTGGGTACTTGGAGTACCTCTGCGACAGCTTTGCAGTCGAGAACTACCCTGCAAACAACACCCTGTTGCGACTCAAGGTGTGTCAGTCTCCGTCCCCCTGCATTCGCGCATGTTGCCATTACAATGGTCTTGTTTCTAGATTCACACGACTCTGTTTTTGACGTGTTTTGTCTTCAAGTCGACCACCAGCGCCATGGTGATCCTTCCAGAAATGCTGTCGACGATGTTTCACCTGTTAACGTCCATCGAGTCGGTTGTGTTTCCATCGCACAATTCCCTCGGTCAACCCGACTTGGCGCCGTTCCTACCGCACTTTCACCTGGCGACGAAAGTGAGCCCCAACACGAAACGCTACGACGAAGAGCTGTTTGGTGAGTTCGACGTCCTCGTGTGTCCAAGTGAGGCGTTTCTGCCTTCCATTACCATTCGCAAGGCCAACATCGAAGATCACGACGACCTGGAACCGATTCTAAAGGCTCAGAACCAAGTATACGAGCGATTCCCTCCATAGCGTGGCGATCTGAATCAGTCTGCTGTAGGCGCTGGTCGATGCGTTTGGTGACTACTTCTTGGCCGAGTTGATTGGATCGCAAACGTCACACAACATGTGCTTGGTCGCGCAACCGTCGCCCGCGCCGTCGCGGGCTGTGGGTATCATGGCGATTTCCGACGAAGTCGACTTGGGAATATTACGCGACTGCTTTGACCTGTCCGTGTACAACAATTTGCTCAAGCCGCCGTCGTCGTCGATGACTTCCCCCGGCTCCCGCCTCGAAAAGATCTTGAAACGACGCAAGAGTCCAAAAATGATCATGCTTGGCCCGCCGGCGAGCGGAAAAACCACCCAAGTCGACAAGCTGGTCGCTCAGTACGGTCTTGTCCACGTCACGATCAACGTGCTGCTGCGGGTCGCAAGCCGCATGAACCACGCACATGGGAAAAAGGTCAAACGCCATCTCGATAAGCACGAGGAAGTTCCAGACGACATTGTCTTGTCGTTGCTCGCGGATCGCCTCCACGAGAGCGACTGCATCACACAGGGGTGGATCCTCGATGGGTACCCCACGACAGAAGCCCAGGCCCATGGCATGAGTCAGCGAGGGATCAAGCCGGACGTCGTAATACTCCTGGACGTCCCAGACGACGAAGTTTCGCAGCGACTCGTCAAAGTTAGCGCTGGCATGGAGACAAAGCCCCGGTTGAAGAAGTACCACGACCACGCGCCTGGCATCCTCAAGTGTTTTTCGAAAGACCAAGCGCTCATTCAAATCGACGGCACCAAGGACAAGGAAGTCGTGACGTACTCGTTGATTCAGGCGCTGTCGACGTCCGAGAAGACCAAGCTCAATCGCCAACATCGAACCGATCCGAGCGCAGCGCCGCCGACGTTTGTGATCTGTGGCCCTCCTGCGGGCGGCAAAGGCACCCAATGCGAGCTTCTCGTCAAGCAATACGGTGTCGTCCACTTGTCGACAGGGGATATCCTCCGCGCAGCGATCAAGGCTGGTTCCGATCTTGGGCTCAAGGCACAAACGTACATGAATGCAGGCGAGCTCGTCCCGGATGACTTGATCATCCGTGTGGTTCTTGACCGCCTCAAGGAGCCCGATTGCCAACGGCAAGGCTGGCTCCTCGACGGGTTTCCGCGCACGGAAGTCCAGGCGCAAACGATGGTCGTCCACGGCATCGTGCCACAGCTGCTCATTGTGCTCGACGTGCCCGACGCAGAAGTGATCAAGCGCATCTCAGGACGCCGCGTCGACGTCGACACTGGCAAGACATACCACTTGATCTACAACCCACCGCCCCCCGAGCTCAAAGACAAAGTGACCCAACGCGCGGACGACACGGAAGACACGATCAAGGTCCGCCTTGGCCACTACCACACGAATTGTGGCGCAATCGTCAAAACGTTCTCGCCAACGTCCACAGTGTTGACGGTGGACGGCATGCTGGCCAAAGATAAGATTGCTCAGGACATTGCCAAGGCACTGGCGAAGCCCTCAGTGACGGAGCAGGAAGCGGTACCCACCTCAGCGTCACCGACGCCATGGATGGAAACTCCCACAGGCCCGCCGAAGCTCATCATTTGCGGCCCACCTGCCGGCGGCAAAGGCACGCAATGTGAGCTGCTCGTGCAACAACATGGTGTGGTCCACTTGTCGACGGGAGATATTCTTCGCGCTGCCATTCAAGCTGGCTCCGACGTTGGTTTGAAGGCAAAAACCTTCATGGATGCGGGGGAGCTCGTGCCAGACGACGTGATCATTCGCGTCATTGTCGATCGGCTCGACCAGCCCGATTGCCAGCAGAAAGGGTGGCTTCTCGATGGGTTCCCCCGAACAGAAGTGCAGGCGCACGCGATGGTCGGGCTCGGGATCATTCCTCATCTAGTGATCATCCTCGACGTGCCGGCGTCCGAAGTGATCCAGCGCATCTCGGGCCGCCGCGTCGACGTCGCCACGGGAAAAACGTACCACTTGGTGTTCAACCCGCCGCCGCCTGGGGTCGAGGTTGTCCAGCGGTCGGACGACACGGAAGACACGATCAAGGTTCGGTTGACAAAGTACAACGAAAACTGCGGCGCCGTCATCAACACGTTCTCCAAGACGTCGCGGGTGCTTCGCGTGGACGGGATGCAAGGCAAAGACAAAATTGGCGCCGAGATCCACCGGGCGATCAAGGGCGGCGCAACGGCAAAGCACGAAGCGATGCCCCCCAAGCTCATCATATGTGGCCCGCCCGCCGGTGGAAAAGGCACGCAGTGCGAGCAACTCGTCAAGAAGTACGGCGTCATCCACTTGTCGACGGGCGACATCCTTCGCGAAGCCGTTCAAGCCGGAACGGACACGGGATTGAAAGCGAAGAAATACATGGACATGGGCGAACTCGTTCCGGACGAACTCATCATGGACACCATCTTGGACCGACTGGGCCAACCCGACTGTGCCCAACACGGGTGGCTCCTCGACGGGTTTCCTCGCAACGAAGCGCAGGCGCGATGCATGGTGTCGTTCGGCATCTTGCCTGACATGGTGCTCGTGCTCGACGTGCCCGACGAAGACGTTGTTGCGCGGATTTCAGGTGCGATGGAGTGGAAGCGTTGAATCGATAGACACAAACTGTAGGACGCCGAGTCGACCCCACGACGGGAAAGACATACCACATCACGTTCAACCCACCGCCTGCTGACGTCAGCGATCGCGTCGTGCAGCGGTCGGACGACACGGAAGCGACCGTGCGCATCCGCCTCAAGACCTACCACTTGAACGTGAATGCCGTTCTCAAGGTGTTTGCCCCGCTGGCGAACGTTGTCCGGTTCGATGGTCAGGCAAAGTCGAGCGCGGACATGACGACCGCTATCTTTTCGTCGATTGACGATGCCCGCGCGCTCGTCGACGTCGACGGCAATGCGTTCCTGATGACGCTGTTTTGCATCGATGACTCGTACGTGGTGCGGTCAACTGCATTTCTCCAGTATGCGTTTTCGCTGTTTCCGCAAAAAGAGTACTGCCTCGTGACGGTGGCGCCGCTTTCCACGCAGCCGTTGGTCCTGTCCAACTTTACTCTGGTGCCCCCCAAACCGTCGAGCACGTACTCGCATTGCCTCTATCTCTTGCACCGCGACGCGCTTCCATTTCTGTCGCCTGCTCCAACTGCGTTGTCCGTCGACATTGCCCGGTTCAAACTGTCCGAGTCGTTCGACCAACTCGCCCCCCTCGTCGAGACCTTGCCTCCCGCGTCCATCGCCACGCTCGAGGACGAGATGGCGCTCGCTGCCGAAGAGGACGAAATTGGCCTCGAAGACAACCCGAAACACGTGCTCTTTGTCGCTCGCATTCACGGTGCCCTCGCTCGCCAAGGGTTGGTCACAAGTGGTTCTGATTGTTCGCATGGGTGTAGGAGTTGTGGTCGCATTGGCATCGCTGTCTCGCGACCACGAAGTCACGAATTCGTTCAAGCATTATTTCGACGTGGAGCAACTCGTCGTGCTGACCCACCATCGCGCCAAGGATCAAGCGATGCTGACGCATTGGGTGCTCAATCCGCTATACGCATGCGCTGGCCGCGTGATCCTGAAGGAGTGCATGCGCCACTTCAAGAAGACGTGCCTCTTTGCACACATCGCGCCGCAGGCCCACGTGAGTCCCGTGATCGTCCAAGACTTTGTCCTGGCGTTGCCGCGCCGCCAGATCGTCTTGCCTGCAACCCACGAGGACATGGACGACGCTAAAAAGCAGCAGCACTTTGCAAAAGGTGCCCTGTACTTCTTCACCAAGAGACTGCTGTCCGAGCCGAAAATGATCGTCAACACGCGCATTGTCGTCGTGGGGGCGTCCGACACGGGCCTTACTTTGCTCAAGCGCCTTCTCCACGTCCCGTACGCTCGCTTTACCAACATCACGCTGGTCTCGCCCGACGGATTGAATGTGTTTCCGTCGCCGGCATGGCCGCCGGACCTCCGCTACTTTCTTCGACCCACCCTTCTGACCTCGACGGAAGTCACCCAGTACGGCATTGAGTCCCATGCCCGCATTGTCGAGAGCCGACTCGTCCAAATCGATCGTCAAGCCAAAGCCGTCGTCTTGGTCGATAACTCGTGCCTCCCGTATGACTACCTCGTCCTCACGACTGGCCTCACGGACGGCACCATGACCAAACTCCACTTGACGTCTCAGTACGACGGCGACACGTACGTGCCTCCCAGCGTGCCCACGGGAGTGTTCTCGTTGAACGACGTCGCGTCAGCCAAGGTGGCATTTGATGCGGTCAAGCAAGTGGCCGGCAAGTGTCCCCGCGTTGTCGTGAGTGGCGCGTCGGCGTTCGCGTTGAGTGTCCTGCACGGCGCGTTGGCCGTGGGCATAACCAACCTCACATGGCTCAAACCCAAGCCAGGAAGCGCGCCTCCGATGAGCAACGACCTTCGCGTACTCGAAGTTGTCAACGCCCTCGTTCAGCAGCATGCGATCGTGGTGCTCGACTTCCATGACCTCTCGTCCCTCGCGGTAAACGCTCGCACGAATGCACTGGAAGGGTTACATCTGCTTGCGACGCCTCCACCCGACTCGACGTCCATGGGGGCGACTCCGTCCCCTCGACGCGAGCTTCCCCACCAAACTCTCGTGCCTTGCGAAGTCTTGCTGTGCTGCACCTACGACGACGCCGACTACGACGCCTTCCGAGCGATCAACGAGTGCGGCCTCGTGTATGACGGGCGATTGGTCGTGAATTCGCGATTCCAGACCACCGACCCGTTCATTTACGCCGGCGGAAGCTTGTGCCGGTTCTCTCGACGGTTTCCACAGGCTCTGTGTCAACAGCACTACAGCAGTGTCGAGTGCGGTGAGCTCCTGGCGGCGTCGCTCTTGCAGGCGATCGATCCACTCCTCGGCCATGCCGTGTCCGGCACCGACATGGACGTCGCCAAGAAAACGCCACCACCCAAGTTCACCATGCCCAAAGTGTGTTCGCACGCTTGGATGGGTGCGATGCACTTCGTCCACATCAACCTCCCCGACGTCCCCGCGACACTGAAGAGTCTCACCACCGAGCGTCCCGACGGATCGAACTACTGGTACCAACAACACCTTGTCGGATTGCCATGAACGAGGTGGGCTTACGGCACGTGTGTTGCAGCTGCCTCCAGTTTGACGAGTATGGTGTCCTCGCGACCTTGACGTACGTCGGGAATGACGCGGTCGAAGTGTCCAACCTGCAATGCGTTGTGGGGTTGCATGAAGCGTACTTGAATTGCGCGATTTCGTCGTTCCAGCAGAACCTGGTGACGGACTGGATGACGTTTTTCCGACAGCCATGGGCGTCGGCCATCTACCATGACCGGTACGTCCGTTGAATGTGATCGCATGCAACAACGTGTCGAAAGGTTTCAAGAGTTTTGCGTCCGACTCAACACAGCGCTCAAGTACGACGAGGGCATTCGCATCGTTGTCGAGGAGGTCAAGCGTCATGTTGCCGAGACGGGCGACCTCAAGGAAGCGATGGCCATGGCCCAAGCTCAAGCAGGCCGTGGCGGCAAAGCTCTCATGCCAACCACGAAGAAAATGATCGAGCTCAATCTTCTCGACTACCTCTCGGCGAATCGAGAAGTGCTCAACATGTACTTCCTGCCGCACGCTGGCGGCACCAGCGACCATGATTAGAAATGGGACAACTGTCACCCCATTGCAATGTACTATGGGACGACTCCATTGGGTTTATCCGGTGCTTGCAAGTTACTATTAGTACATACTAAACATGATCTTGGCCAATTTGTATGCGAAAATTACGCAAGTCCGAAATGTTCTCTTGGTTTTAGTATAGACGATACTCTCTCCGCGACCAGTTTTCGGCATGATCATTCGTGGAATCAAGTGCCATGATGTCATGGTCGGCCGACGGACAAAGCGATGGACACGTGGCAGCGCAACAAGTGATGGAAGTACCAGGCCCAGATGCGTATATGCCACATGCTCTCCATCTGGGCCTGGTGTCGACGGATCCGTCCGTCGTCCTAACCGCCGATTCGTTCCAGGCTGTGCGGACGAAAGCTCGGCACCTCGCGATTCTTTGTGGATTTCAGATACGCATGGCGAAAGGCGGTAGTAACAGACGTCGTGGGTGGCTCTGCGGCAGCGCGGACGGGTGTCCCTTTTCCATTTTTGCCCACCGCAACAAGCGTGGTATCCAGATCAGGGCCAACCTCGCGCACAACCATGCGTTCCACCTGCCACAGGACCAAGGCAAACGGTTCACGACCGCCACGACGGAGGAAGTACGTATGTCTAGTGCCATTCGATTTCCTCCGCTCGTGACGAATTCATGCATCCCTTTTGTATGTATGCAGCTCGCATGTTACGTCCGTCAGTCCGCCATTTACCAGCAATCCACCAACATCAACAAACTCACGGGCAAACAGATATCCGACGCTATCTTTGCGCACACGGGGCGTCATGTCAAGGCTAACCGTGCCAGCGTCATCAAGAAGCTGCTTGTCCATCATCCCGAGCGCGTCGTGCCTTGTGCTTCGCTGTTCCAAAATCCCTCCACCACGTCGATGGCCCCAACGCATTCGGCGCCACCGTCGACCCCATTGTTTCACCTCCTTCAACGTACTCGCAGCCTCTGCCGATACTTCCCACTGACTCGTTCAACTCACCCGTCAAGAGCATGGCCGAAGCCGTTTGGGACTGCTTTGTCTACATCGCGAATTCTCCATGGACCATCGAGCATCTTGGCGTAGCTCGAGTGCGGCACATGGTAGCAGTTTTCAAGCAAGACCGGGACACACTGCGAGCGACGCTGCTCATGACATGCCCACGGCACCAGGTGCTGCCGTGCCTGTCGACCAACCCGCCAAACGTGAAGCAGTTTGTCGAGCAGTATTTGCGGCAGACGGAGCTGGGCTTCTTTTGACGAATGCAAACAGTGTGAGGGTTTCCTGTATTATATTTAACAGCTTCTAGTCGATCTATTGCGTTCTATAACGCAATCCGGGTGGAAAACGCGTCGTCCTCCATGTTGGCCCGACAACAACCTCATGCAGCATGCGGGGGAGGCTGCACGGCTGAAGGACTTGGCGCTGTGGCTGGTGACGGTGGGTCTGTGGATTCGGACGGCGTGGCGTGGAGAGTTGGTTGGGGGGTATTTGTGCGTTGAGGCTCCATAACGTCGTCAAAAAATCCGAGCGTCACTTGGCGCTGATACACATCCACAAATTTGGAGGGAAGGGGACGGTTGCCTGTGAGCGACGGCGGCATGACGTTGGTGGGGTCACGGACGCTCATGCGCAAGATCGCCCGCAGCGTGGGCTTGTGCATTTCCCGCTTGAAAGTCGCGACCATCTTCCTGACGTTGGCGACGCCGAGTGTCGAGAGGACGTGGGGGTCGTTTGCAAGAACAACGAAGCATTCCCACGCGACACTGTCCGGTGTGCCTTGGCTGGCTCCAGTGGACGCGAGCGAGGGCGGAAGAAGAGGCTTGGGCACCAACGACGGCGTTGACGACGATGGAGGTGTATCTGGACACGGCAGGTATCGGTCGGGTTCGTCGAGGAGCAGACGCTTGATGCGGCTTGCGCGCATTTGGTTGATGTGGAACCCCGTGACATCGAAGATACACTTGGCAATCTGCATCCCGGAGATGTGGAACAAGTCATGGTTGGCGAAGAGGGGGGATCGCCGCACGATGCACGCGAGCTACCATCGTTGCAAGCAGCGTCGGGCACAGATTACACGCGAGAGAATACAAGGGAAACACACACCTCGTGCGTGGTGCCGGTGGTAAAGCGCTTGTTCATCGCTTCGTGGACGTGGAATGCATGGTTGTGTCCAAGTCTGGGCTTGACAAAGATGCCGTACCGGTTTCGATTGCCCACAATGGTAAAGGGGCAATTTCGACGACTCGTACATTTCCACTGCCGCCGTTTGTCGCTGCGGCCGTCCAACTTGACTTGAAATCCCGAGTGCAAAGCGAGCTGCCGCACTTTGGCCTTGAGCACGTCAAAGCTCTCCACTTGAATGAGATTTGACGTTGAGCCGTCATCAAGGGCAAGACCCAGCTTCGTCGCAAACGGAATGTAACCTTCTGGAAACTCCTGCACCAGAACGTCCTCGAGCTCGCGCGAGTCGCTGTTATCTTGGTCGTATAAGGCTTTGTCCAGAGACTCCACCGCATCCACATGCGCTGCTGCCACTGCTCCGTCGTCGCCTTGGGGCATGGTGTCGGTCTCCATGTTGCTCCTCTGACAAGTTTGCGCTGAGGTGGGAAATATGATTGGTCAAAAACATCAATATTTAACAAAATAACTAAGTTTCATTGGATATAAATTTAAACCGAGCAAGAATTCCACCAATTACAAGGTACACATCACTCGAAAAACCCAAACTGCTCGTGCCGGTGGAATGCGTCCAAAAACTTGATGGGGTTCGGACGATTCGACGTCGACGACGGCAGTGCTTCGGGATTCGGGCACGACATGAGAATGATGCTTCGTAGGGTGTCTTTGTGCAAGGGCTTCTTGAACGTTGTCACCATCTTCTTGACGGCAGCGACTCCCACAGACTGCACTGTGACAGGGTCATTTACCACGATCATAAAGCCGTCCCAAATCGCTTCCGCCAGCGTCTTCCACACAGTTGCTCCTGTTGCGGTTGTCGAAGACTCTGTGGCGCTAGAACTCGTGAATGGAACCGACATGCCAGGCACAAAGTAGCGCTCGGGGTCGTCGAGAAGCATGTGCTTGATACGACTTGCCCTCATCGCGTTGATGTGGTAGCCTGTCTTGGCGTGGACGACGTTAGAGATCTGTTGGGCTGTGATCTTCGAGACAGAAGGTGAGTTTGCATATAGCTCTGAGTTCCGCACAAACGTCGCCATCTACGACATGTACATGACGTTCGTGATCTGTCGTGTGTCCAGCACCTCTTGCGTTGATGCTTCGCAGAGGCTGAGGGCTGGGGCGTTGTCCGCGGAGAAGTGCAGCGTATGGTTGTGCGCAAGCTTCGTGACAAGGCTAACTCCCCGCCGATTCTTGTTGCCGACGATCGCAAACGGGCATCGTGGCTTACTTTTGCATATCCACACACGGCGATGGCCGGAAGACGGTCGCTGTACGCGTACACGAAACCCCGAGCGAAGGGCCAATTGACGAACCTTGTCCTTGAGTAGTTCAAAGTTGTCGAGATCGTTAAACTTGCCTCGTGAGAGAATACCAAGGGCATAGCACTGTGCAAGGTACGCTTCCGACGGTTCGAGGATGTCGTTGTCGTCGTCCACGTTGTCGTCCACTACGTCATGTACCACACCGCCTTCAGCTTCCACAGCATTGGCATGAAGTTGTGCAGGCAAGTAGTCAGAACTTGTTTCGTCGGCAGTCATGGCCGTAGCCGGCATTGGAATGATGTCAGGCGACGTGGTGGTGTCGATGGATTCGTTTGGGACGACAGCAACAACAGTGTCAACATGCGCGTGAACGACTGGGCTTTCACTGTTGACAATGTCGATACCCATCTCACGAGACTCACGTGCTTTAGGCTTGAAGCCATCTTTGCCGACTTCCACCTCGATCGACGCCACCAACGCGTCATCCGGCCGCGTTGCAGATGCCGTGGCAGAAAACATTCCAACGGACTGTGCTGGCAAAACCAATAAGGAAAGAAATACAAAATATCAAAGGTTCTTCACGCTGCATCTCGATCTACTCAGACCATGCCTGGGGGCTTGACACAGGGCTTCTTCCGTGCACGACGCGCCGCACGTGGAGCCTTCAGTTCGCGGCGCTGCACATAGAACGACGTGATTATCTACCCAAGGCGATTCCTGTGCTGATTTGCACCTAAACGAGAACGTCGTCATGCTTGGAAAAGGTTGGGTAGAACGACGACATATATCAGCGTGACCCACAACCGGTGATGATATCACAGCTTGCGCAAACGAGGAATCGAGGTAGGGGCAAAGGGAGGCTGTGGCCACCAACGCCGTAGTTGTGACTGAAGCCACCCGTGGCGCCACATGAGAGCGTTCACCACTTGTCGAACGACTCGACATGGACGTCATGGGGTCCACGACGACACATACCATGATATCATACAAATGTCGTCGTCATCGTCGTCTATAACAAAAATGTCAACAGTTGGCGACATGACCTCCACCCCATTTTCGTCCTCGACGTCGACCGCGCCTATGACCGACGGAGGTGCGACGCTATCGATCCAACTGCCGCTTCCAGAGCAAGTCGCTGTCCTAGCCACACATCATTCGGAGATCCAATTATCCCAGACAGAGATCCACGCAGACTCGACAACGTTCCTGTCTCGGGTGCAGCGATACGCCGACACTGGCAAGGTCGACGTGGATGGGCTAACTGCAACGGACGCCGCCGCGCTGGTCCATATCCTGCGCCGACTCCACGCGACCTTTGTGAAACAGATCGATTGCGACGAAATCAAATGCGACGCCTCGCGGAAATGCCCCAAATGCGGCGCTTCCCGCGTCCCATCGTCGCCAGAAACGTCGCCGCAACGAAACGGAACGGGCACCACTCCAATGTCGCCGACGGCCGCCAGCTTTCGGCTCAATGGCAGCAATAGTCCTCCTGCCGACGTTGACATGACTTGAATGGATCTTGCTTTGTCGATTCTCACGATACCGACTGCCCTTTTATCCTTATATGCATGGTGGCAATTGTTAAATATGTATGAAAATTCGCAAACACCACACGCTCCGTTCTCGAGATTGGCAGGAACGAAGCAAGTGCCTTTAACACCCACGATGCATTCCATCGCCAGGACGACAAAACTAGACATGGTGCTGTCAGCGGCAGTGGAGCTCGCGTCCATCATCCATGACCTAGCCATGCCAGAGGCCATCATCGACCGTCGAAGCCACCGTCCTTGCTCCCTCGCTGTTCGTGGTTCCATCCCACTTTCCCGTCTAGACAAACACGAGGGTTTTGAAAAATTCATGCGCATGTCATTCTTCTCGCCAACACCGGGCGAATCGGGGGCTTTAATACACGCGGGCGACGGGGGCCACCGTCTTGCATTCGTCTTCGTCCAGTGTGTGGTAATGCACCGGTCGGTACGCAATGTGGGTTTTGGTCGATTCGTCGTCATGGTATGCCAATGTGTGCTTCATCCAGTTGACGTCGTCACGGGCGCTGAAGTCTTCGCGGGCATGGGCGCCGCGCGATTCCTTGCGCGCTTCGGCACCGTGCATCGTGGCCGACGCGCATGCGAGCAAGTTCTTGAGCTCGATCGTCTCGATCAAGTCGGTGTTCCAGATCAACGAACGGTCAGTCACGCGGATGTCCTTGAACTTTGGCGTGATTGCGTCAATCTTTTGAACACCTTCCGCCAGAGTTTCTTGCGTGCGGTACACGGCGGCGTCGCTCTGCATCGTCTTTTGCATTTCCAAGCGAAGTTCGGCAGTCGGGATCGCGCCGTTGGCGTATCGGATCGAGTCGACCATGTGCAGCGATTGCTCGCCAGCGTTGCGGGGGAGAGGACGCTTGGCCTCGCCGGGCTTGGAGATTTCGGCGATGCGGAGAGCAGCGGCACGGCCGAATACGACAATGTCGAGCAGCGAATTGGCACCGAGGCGGTTGGCGCCGTGGACCGACGCCGACGCAGCTTCACCGGCGGCAAACAGACCCTTGATGACCTTGTCCGGGTAAGTCTTGTTCACGTCGGGAAGGCCAGAGGTGTCCGGCATAACGACTTCGCCGTAATGATTCGTGGGGATCCCGCCCATGTTGTAATGGACGGTCGGGAGCACGGGGATGGGTTCCTTGGTCACATCGACGCCGGCAAAGATGGCGGCGGTCTCCGAGATACCAGGGAGACGTTCGGCCAACAACTCAGGCGGCAAGTGGTCCAAGTGCAGGTAAATATGATCTTTTTCCTTGCCCACACCGCGGCCTTCGCGGATTTCCATCGTCATCGCGCGGGACACGACGTCACGAGAAGCCAAGTCCTTGGCCGAAGGGGCATAACGTTCCATGAAGCGTTCGCCTTCCGAGTTACGCAAGATGCCGCCTTCACCGCGACTGCCTTCCGTGATCAAGCAGCCAGCACCGTAGATCCCGGTAGGGTGGAATTGCACGAATTCAGGATCTTGAAGAGGAATGCCGGCGCGAAGCGCCATGCCGGTTCCGTCACCGGTGCACGTGTGGGCAGAAGTGCAGCTGAAGTACGCGCGGCCGTACCCACCAGTAGCCAACACCTAATCGTAAAGGAATGCATTGTGAGATCGTCGAGTCAATGGGAGATGGATGCGGACCGTGTTGTTGGTGTGGAAGCGATGGATTGTACCGTCTTCCATGTTGAGGGCAATGACACCGCAGCATTCGCCTTGGTCGTTCATGATCAAGTCCAACGCAAAGTACTCGATGAAGTACTCCGTGTCGAACGCCAACGAGCGGCCGTACAAAGTGTGCAACATGGCATGGCCAGTACGATCGGCGGCGCACGCACAGCGGTACGCTTGGCCACCCTTGCCGTACTGCAAGGATTGACCACCGAACGCGCGCTGGTAGATCTTGCCTTCGTCCGTGCGGGAGAACGGCAAGCCGTACGCTTCGAGTTCCAACACGGCACGTGGAGCTTCCTTGCACATGTAATGAATGGCGTCTTGATCACCCAACCAATCGGACCCCTTGACGGTGTCGTACATGTGCCATCTCCAGTCGTCTTCGGTCATGTTGGCCAAAGCGGCGTTGATACCACCTTGGGCAGCAACGGTGTGACTGCGCGTGGGAAACAACTTGGTGATGCAAGCCGTCTTGAAACCTGCTTCAGCGCAGCCCATGGCAGCGCGAAGACCAGCACCACCGGCACCGACAACAACAGCGTCGAATTCATGGTCCACGATGGTGTACGCACCCTTAGCGGAGAAGGCACGGGCGCCAGTGCCGCGGACAGCGCGGGTCACACGGGAAGCCGCTTGCAACATCCTCGCTCACCACACAAAAGCGCTAACTGACTTCGCGCTGCTTCACCGAGTGGACAGTGGTGATGATCCGGATACAGCCGGATAATGTGAAGCACTCCGGTGTTAAATGTACTGAATCTTTGTATGCATCCCAATTAAATTCGCGAACAGAGACAGCCAATCACGTTGTCGGCGGTTCAGCAGGTCAAGCAACGGAACTCAGCGTAGCACGATGATGTGGCACGATGGCATGCGGGGCGACCAGTCCCCGCACGCGAGGCGCTAGTCGTCGGCGCTGGCCGAAGACTTCTTGTCGAAGATACGTGGCACGGTGCAGCTCTCTTACTATGCTGGTGTAATACGAGCATCGATGCATGTGATGCACGTGGCTCTCCTGGGCATTACTGGAGTTTGGCGGCTACATCGACACACGTGAAGCAGCGCAGACAACAATCGTTGTGTGAATTATAGTGCAAAGGGATTGCACTGAGGCTTCTGTTTCAAACTTGCCATCTCCGCATTGTCTGCATACCCCAGGTTAGGCGGTTGAGTCCTGCGTGTGCAGAGGATAAGTTGTGGTCGAGTTGTGTGAGGTTCGAAGGAAGACTCGCACGTGCGTGCTTGAATGGCCCTCGCTCAATTGAAGACAGCACGCCGGCCGTGTCCATTCGGATGGTTTCACCCAAATATAGATGCCATGAATCGCTCGTGTTTGTATTTTCCTTCATGGACGGCGTCGACGGGGTGTCGTCGACCGCCGATGACGTACATGTTCCTGACGACGTGCAGCCCTTGTGTCCACCACCCTACGTCGAGCAGTTCGTCGCCGATGATGCGTGTGCTGCACTTGTGGACAACTTGTGCGATAGCATTGCATTGATATCCGAGGCAAAATCCATGGAGGCTCGAGTGGTACTTGGCCCACTTCGCCAGGCTCACTCGTCTCACTCGCATCTGTAGTTGACGCGCGTTTCCAATGACGCCATCGCCCAGCTCTTCGCGGCCGTCGGCATGGTCCTAATCGAACGAACAGACTCCTTCGACGCGATGGGTGCAGATGCTCCCCCTCCACTTCAAGCAGACTCTGCCACCGATACCAGTGGCTTCCTTCGGGCGCTCGGTCGTCTGCATTCATTCGTGACACGAAGGCGTCACTCTGCCCAAGCGTACATGGCACAAACTAGCTGCGACGGCTCCGTGTCCCTTCGGCATGACGACCTCGCGTCGTTTCTGCATGGGCTGCCGCTGTACCTTACAAAGCGCGAGGTTCGTTCGAGTTGTGCGGCGCTGCAGGTGCTCACTTGGCCCGTTGGTACGCAGGTGAACTTCGTCACAAAGGAGAGTACGAAATCGAGCAACACCGACCTCGACGTCCGACTGGACGTCCACAGCATCGCCAAGGTCGTGGCAAATGCAATAAAGACCGCCAAGAAGAAAGCAGGACAGTCGCCGTACCGTCCCCCTGTCGTGTTTCTACCGCCGGAGGAGTCCTCCGCGACGCCAAACGACGTGCATGCCCCGAAGGAACTCAAGGCGAGACGCCCCGCCGACTCCCCCGAAAGGGCAGACCCCCGTCATCCCACACAGCAATTGTCAACCTTCCGCACGACCCATCGCAGTAACTTTGCCGGAGGCGACAAACGAGGTCAGTCGCTTCTTCGCCAGCAGAATAGGCCACATTGATGGATACTCACGCCACAGGCACAAAGTACTCGATCGTGGCGACGATTCAAACGCACAAGCTCTCGATGGACGACGTCGAGCTGCATGTCGCACTTGACGCAGTGCCGCCGCCATCGTCGCCAGACAAGGTTGACCAAGCGACCATGTCCAACATTTTTTCCCTCGGGACACCACGCCTACTGAGTCCACGAGAACTCGCACGACGACGGGACATTCTGTCGTACTTGGATTCGATCGAGGCCGCGGCGTTGCAGGAAGAGTTGCTGGCCAAAAAACGGAGGGCACTGCTGGAGCGCCCTGTGAACGTAATCGAAGGCGATGTTCAGCAACCTTGTCCAAACCATTGCCCCACGATCCATGACGCGTTCCTGGCCATTCCCACGACCTTTGACATTTGCGATCCGTCGCCCCACGACGGTACAAACCTCGCCGTGTTGATGATGCAGTGTGTGTCGACGCGATTGTGGGTGGGCGAATAGGACCCGTCAAGTCGCACAAATCCAAAGGGTCCATCCGAAAGCACCAGCACGACAAAATCGTCGAGCTGCCCAAAGTACTCGTGGCCCGTCGACAGAGTCCTCGCTGACCCTCGATCGTAGCTCGCGGACGACGAAGCTGTGACGATGCCAGACTTTCACTTGCCCCACATCGATACGAACCGCCTCGAAGTCGGCGTCAAGGTCGTGTATCCCGGCAAAGAAAAGGTCGGCGGCAAGAGGAACCCGAGTCGCAACGCCCGCCTCAAACTACACAACTACCACGTACAACCCCCACTTCCATCCTCTACGAACAAAACTCGCTTGACTCGATTGAAGGTCAAGACGCCGCCCCATCCGCCGCCGCCCGACGATCGTGCCCCCGCATCGCCAGACACGTACACCCCGCTGTTCGCGATTCATGTAAACCTCCTGCACTCGGCTAGGCCACCCCCCGAGGCCGTCGTATTGCCGAGGCTTCCCATCTCTCCCATCAAGTCTAGCCAAACGCAACCTGTACATTCAACCTGTCGTCCTCAACACAGTCATGGCCACTCCACGTCGTAGGCAAAGCCCACCGCCCCTGCCGCCCCCATCCTCGTCCTACCCAAATCCATCGCGAGTCCCATCAAACCCACACATGTACGGGACGCCCTCGACACCAGCATATATCGACGCCACTCTCACCGGAATGTCGACGTAGCCAATGGGGGGCAATGCCTCTTGCGACGCATCGTCGCACCACTCGCACGCCGCCGATCGGTCGCAGATTTCCCATGCCAGAGTTCGCGGGAAGCAGCCCGTTCGTAGTCGATTCAAGTTTTCAGACACATTGTTTCGATCGCTCCAGGTACTTCCCGACATGTCTTTTCAGTCAAGTTCCCATGTGCTCATGACGTCGCGTTCTCGAGTAGAATTAATTTCAAACGCTACGACGAACCTCTGCCGTCGTGGTGGTTCCCAATTCCGTTCGCTTTCGACATTGTCAGGTGCTTCTTGATGCCAACGCTGGCTTGGTACCCGCTGTACATGACAAACCCGTACGGGTTGACCGATCCCCCGGTGACGAGACTGCCGTCGCCTACAAACACGTTCGATGTGCCTCGAACGAGGAGGCTCGAGTCCACACACGACGTGTTGTCGGCGCCGACCGCGCAAGTGCCGCCAAAGTGGTCTGTAATGAGTGTGTGGTGGCGGACCCACTCGTGGGGGGATGCGCTCCACGACGACCCCATCGTAACCTGTTCCATACAATCGACTTTGACGATGCCTTTTGCCACAGAGGAATGTCCAAGTCGTACGGGGGTGGGTGGGGGAAAGATGGGGGTCGTGTTCACTTGGGCCAGCCGAGACATTGTCTCGTTGATAAATGCGACCATCATGTCCAGATCCTCGTCGTTGTCCCAGTACAGCGTCGAGTTGGGCAGCATGCCGTACACCAGGCGGTGCCGACGCGACGTTGTCTTTGGAAAGAACCCGAGCGCCGCGCGGGACGTGGGGTTGTTTAGGTTGAAGCACAGCGTAAAGTCCATCGGGTCGGCGGTCGAGTTGTCGCCGCGGGGCAAGGTGTGGGGAAACACCGTGATTTGAAAATGGTACTCGCGGGCAGTCGCGGGGTGGACGACAGACTCGTACGAGACAAAGACCGGGTTGGAACTGGCCAGGGGGCCAGCACGTCCGTCCAAAAATTGGGCAATCGCGTCTTGCGTTGGGTGCAAGTAGTCAAATCCGAATGGGTGGTCGCCATCGTCCGTCTCAAGCGCCGCTGCTTTCGGCGCGCGGAACGTGACGGCGACTTGGTGCGTGTCAAACAACTGCGCACCCACCGCTTCGTTTGCAATCCACGACTCGGACATTGGCAGCGCCAACGAACGGACCTACCGCATATATCGATGAGATGTGTTTGTCGTGTGAGAGAAAGGTAGAGCTGGAGGAGAGGACCAGAGCGTCTTGCCGTTTGGGACCAATGCCCGACTGAAGGAGGAGCTTGGGGGTATTCAAAGCCCCAGCTGCTAACAGGATCGCACCGCCATGTGACCGCAGCTTGGCTGTCACCAGCTAGAACGCTGTCAGACATGAGTAAAGGGCAGACAGCAGTACCGCTTTTCCTTTATTGTACGACACGCCTGACGCCTTCCCGTCATTGTGAAGCACTTGTGCGACGATCGCCCACGTTTCGAGCACGACGTTGGCGCGTTTCGCCATCGAGCCGAGGAAAGTCTTGGCAGGCGAATCGCGCAAGCTACGGTGGATGACCAAGTCACGATATACGCCCCGTGCCATGCGAAATCACGTACCCGTGCTTGATCGTGAACGGCGGGTGGCCATACACGAGATGCTTCAAGTCGGGGTTTTGGTTGATCTTGTGCTCCGAGTAGTTGGCGTGCTTGAGCGCAGCTGCCATGAGCGAATACACGTCCTGGGCGTACCACAGGCCATCTGTCGACGGGCAATCGGTCCAACCAAACCCTTTTTCGATCTCGGCAAACCTGCCGTCGCAATCGCCCGTGAAATTGTGAAAACACATATCGTGGCGAGATGACCCTACCCTGTCGCGACGTCGGCTGCTGAATACGGCCACTGAATCTCTTCGAGGTACGACGTAGGGGGGCGAAAGTAAAGCGCTGCGTTGATAGAGGACGAACCACCCACGAGCTTGGCCAAGTGGTTTTTTGGAGACTCGAGCCATTCCATGTGCCAGGAATTCGAGATGGAGGGAGGCAGCATGAATGCCACGTTTGCGTACTCCCCTACTCTCGACGTCAGGATTTAACTGAGGAAAGCCAATCAACCTGGAATGTCAAAATATGTCAGATTCGTGCCGTTGGCGTATGGGGGAGCCAACTTCCCCCCAGTACACTGGAGGCCGGCAGGCAACCAATGAGGTCTCTGACGTATTTGGGACTACGGCGCTCACCATACCTCGAGGCTTGGACCGCCAGCTTCCAGGATCAACACGTTGACTTTGGGGTCGCGAGACAGCAGTTCTGCCGCCACTAGACCTGCAGGTCCACTCCCCACAACGATCACATCGAACGTCTGTTCGGCGGACGCCTCGGTTGCTGTGGCTACAGTGTGTGGAGACACAACAACAGGATACACTATATCCGAGGCAAAGATAAGCATGGACACAACAAGCGCGAGAAAGAAGCCCTTCCATCCCAGACTCTGGCGCTCCGGCACCGCCGGCATCGCAATGCTGCCGTAGCGAGTCGCCATGGCGATCTTCAAGCAGCTCTGGAACCGCACGAAAGACCTGATTGGTGGAATCCTCTGATGCAGCCAATCAAATCGTGCCAACATGGTTGCATATCTTCGCAACGGGGTTTCGGGGTTTTGGGGTTTCGAGGTTGCCATCCAACTTGAACAACGTGCACATCCCCACGACCATCAGCGTTGGCAAAGTTGTGGCTGCCATCATCCCAAAGAACCCAGGTAGACGTTGCTGTGACTCGAAAACGACGCTGTCTAATTGAGGTCGTCTCGGTGCGCAAACAACATTGCTAACGTGGGGGTTTGAAGTACTCTATTGCTTGGCGTATCGCACAGCAATGATAAAGCCAACTTGAAGCGCATAGCTTTTCCGTCACCATGCACACGATGGCGGCCACTAGACAGTTCAGTGACGAGGCGTCGAGCTAAACAAGGTCGTCGTCTCCATCGTCGTCTAACGCAGCACCAGTCATGTGCTGTTCCTGCGCGCGTCGACGATCGGTTTCCGTGAGCATGGTGCGGCCAAACAGGGTGAAAATGTCATCCTGCGGGGCGTGGTCGATGTAGTTGATCACGTCTATGCTCGACACCACGCCGCTGCCAGTGGGGTGGAGCTTCAACAAGATTTCTTCCACGAACTGCTTGGTGACTTCGTGGAGGTCGTCGTTGGGGGTGTTGACCATGAGGCTCGAAATGAAAAACGTCATGAGTTCGTCGCGGCCGATGGTTCCGTCGCAGTTTAGATCGTACACCTAATAGTCCAGTTCGTCACGCGCCGCCGGCCCATCCGTGTGTCGACGCACCTGAAAGAGGAACCGAATGCGGTCGCGCACATCGCCTTTCTCAAGCGCGGACATTGCGCGAATGAATTCCGGCCACTCAATGATGCCCGACTTGTCGTCGTCCAGGATCGAAAACACGCGATCGACAAACAGCGTGTCTTCGATCGAGAGGAGCGGCACCCCCCGACGAAACGTGTCTAGGTCTGCGGGGGTCGTTGAGTGCCGCCACATCGAGGCCATCCAGACGTACCGACTCCCTTGGGCGACTTGGACAGCGAGCACAGAGCTTTGAATCGACACCACATCGTGTACAACTCTGCACGAGAAAATCCTGTGTCCGCCATCAGCCCTTCGATGTTGTAATCGCTGAGATGGCCGTGGAACTGCGTCACGATGTGCGTCGGATGGCAGCACGCCACTGCAAAGGGACCATCGGAGGAACGTCCATGACGGCGTCGGGCGATGGTTGGCATGCTGTGGCTTCGTTTCCGATTGGGTTTACTCATCTGGCATGACCGGTTCTGTTGGGCACAACGTGTTTCATGGGCGGGGGACATGACAGGTTTGAGAGGACTCGGCGTTTGCGATTGGGGTGGCCGAGGGGTGGCTCGATAGGTGACTTGGAAGGATGTCCTCTTGGCTTCCGCTGTGTTGGACGCACATGGAACAGATAGCGGCTCCGGTGTGCTCAAAGCGGATGGCGGGGATGGACGAACGAGAGAGTGGAGGTGGGAAGGGCGCTTCCGCGAATACCGTCGGGGCGACGCACTCGGTGAGCCTGGAAATGTGTGGTCGTGCGCGAGTGACGCTTGAGCTTCAAGCTCCAGGGTCTTTTTGCGGATAGTATAGGCTGTACATCGTGCGAGGGTGCTCAGGGATTCAGGGTGCCGGCGAGCTCTGTATGGCACCATCTCGTCCATGTATGGCAGTTTCGACAGATCCAGCCCCCGCAACGCCGCGACATTCGCTTCAATCACACCAGCGGCATCCTGCAGCTTGGTCAATACTCGCCCACGCTTGACTGCCGCCGCCGCCCCGCGGGTGTCGTCGACTTTGGGGAGGACCATCCTTAAAATACTTGTTCTGACGAGTAACTGTCACCGTCGTCCGGAGTTTGAAGTGTCGGCCGATGGACAAAGGAAGTCCAGAGTACAAGGAGGCAGTCCGAGAACACGCGCGCACGCTCGGGTTGGACCCGGACAAGGAACCCCAGTACCTCTGGATTGTCGAGGAGGCGCTGACGGCGCCGGTGCCGGAAGACTGGGAACAAGGTAAGTTGAGTTGCCAGCAGAGCTTTGACCCTGCCGCGACCGTTTGCTGTGGTGACATGAAACCATGCACTAGGCGAGACTGACGACGGCACGATCTACTACTTCAATGTGAACACGGAAGAGAGTGTGTGGGAGCATCCGATGGACAAGTATTACAGCGACATGATCAACACAAAGCGCGCCGAGGACAAGGCCGCTCTTGACGCGAAGAAGTCGACCGCGGCCGCGTTCAACAGTGCGCCCAAGAGCTCGGCAAAGGCGTCGAACAGTGCTGTCGTCGAGGAGTTTGACATGGACGACCTTGACGAGCCGAGACCATTCAAGCCGCTGCCATCAACCAAGCCAGCGACAACCACAGCTACAACGTCGTCGTCGAAGCCCGCGGGATTCGGCAAGGACTCCCAGTCGTGGCTCCTGGACGACGACGACGACTTGCATATGGTGCGAACTCTCTCTCTCTCTTCGTCATTCGACGACTTTTACAGATCGCACACGTAGCCGAGCGCAACCTTAGCTAAACCCAGCCTCGTCAACACGATCAAGAAGTACGACGATGCTCCAAAGGCATCCGTCACTGTAAAGGGGGCGATGGCCACATCAACTCCACCCGCTCCGACCATCGCCCCCGTCCCCGCCACGCCCCCCTTTCATCCACGGACTGCCACCACGATCGCTCCCGCTACAGTCGTCGGCTCGTCGTCGACCTTGAATGCAGCGCAGTCGGAGAAGATCGAGAAGCTGGAAAAGCAAGTGGCCGCGTTGACGGCAGAGGTGCTCCAGCTTCAGAAAGATCGCGAGGCGCTGGAAAAGACGGAGCGCCAAGCCAAAGCTGCGTTAACCAACGAAATTGGCACGCTCCAGCGCGCCAAGGAACAGGCCGAACTCGAAGCGAAAGAGTCCAACTACTTGAAAATGAAAGTCACCGAGCTCAAGGCAAAAGTAGCGGCATTGGAAGCGACAAAGGACGGAGACATGGCCCCCACGAAAGCTGCAACGACAGCGATTGAGGCGCAGCTAGCTGCCAAAACGCAAGAACTCAATGCAAAGTGTATTGAGTTCGATGCCAAGTGCCACGAACTTGCAGCAAGAGACCACGACCTTGCTCAGCTCCATGCGAAGCTTGTCCAGCACCAAGCGGACCATGACCGCAACTTGAAGAAGAAAGACGACGAGTACGCGATGAAGGCCAAGGAGCATTCGATTGAGGTGCGACCTTGCGGCGAGTGATCGATCCTCCCAAGAGTTGGCGATGGATGGCAGGTGGAAGATTTGAAGGAGCAGCTCTTGATGCGTCAAGCCACCAACATCACGCTTCAGCACTCGACGGGCGACCTAGATCGGCTCAAGAAGAAGTGCGCTGAACAAGACGATGAGCTGCGAGTTGCGCAGACTCAATTGCACGACCAAACGGCAATGATTGCCGACTTGGTACGGTCGTCACACAAAATACCCGACGCTGACGATTCCTTGGACAGAAAGCGTCGTTGGAAGCCAAGGAGAAAGTTACGACCAGCCACTTGGAGATTGAATCGAAGAAGCGCCGAGCGGTCGAGGCCGACTTGGAGGCTGCTCGCGACCAAGTGTCTGCCTTGGAGCGACGCATGGACGACCACGAACGAGCAATGCTGCAACATGCTCGTGAGAAACACGACCTTGAGTTGCGGTGCCAGAGAGTTGTCGACGACCTACACCGCACCAAAGAGCTTCTCGACGAAGCGGTAGCTTCCTGGTACCGTCGTGAGCTGGCTCCTGACACTGCCTTGTGCCAGGTGGGTCGCACCAAGGCCGCCGAAGAGAAGGAACGACAAGCCATCGACGAAAAACGAGTGGCCGAGCGGGACTTGAAGATAGTGTATGGCAATCGTCGCATGCCTCGCGACGAGCTCGCAATGTGCGCTGTGTAGACATGACAAGCTGCACGATGCTATCCAAGAGCGCGACGATGCAGAAAAATTGGTCAAGCGACAACACGAGCAGCACGTTCATGCCCAGTCCAAGATGCAACTCGACATGGAGGAGGTACTTCTTCGACAAGGTGACAACTGACGGCATTGTGGGCGAGTTCAGTTGCGACGGGACAAGGAGCGAGGAAGTGCTCAGACAATCGAGGTGCAAGCATTGAAAAAGGAAATTGAGAGCTTGAACATCGACCTGGCGCGGGTGCGGGACGCCAAGACGGCCGTCGAGTACGACTTGCGCAACCTAAAACAAGCCATGTCGCTCGAGACGTCGCAGTTGATGCAATGCAAAAGTGCGTGGCGAGCCGAGACTCCCCGTCCTTGTCTGCTTCACACGTCGAGTTGTGTAGGCCAAATCGAGGAGTTCACGCGCAAAGACTTTATGGAGAAACAACGATACGAGTTGCTTGGCAACGAAAAGAGCGCCGTCGAGAAAAAGGTCATGGCGCTCGAAGCCCAATTGCAAACGATGCGGTCCGAGGTACCGCTAGCACACCACGCTCCGTCGTCGCCAACCCGTTGTAGAATCGGACCGAAACAGACAAGCATTTGTTCCGCATCCGCGAACTCGAAAGCATGAATGCTCGGTGCGTCGTCCTTCGGTCCTCCCAACCACGTCGTAACGTGGGATTGTAGCTACGAGTACGACATGTCCCGCGCAGATGAAAAGTTTGCGACAGCAGAAAAGTGGAGACTGAAGGAAATGAGTCGCGTCGAGCAGCGTGACGCGGACATCTTGGATTTGTCCGCGCGCTAGCCAAGTACATACGTCTAACGAATGGACATTGGCTGTAGGAAGGAAGAAGTTGGGCGGCTGAAGGCAAGGAATATCGAGGGCGAGAACCACCACATCATCAACGAGCTGCGCACGGCGGCCAAGGTGCTCGAAGCGCAGGTGAAGGAGCTCAAGACGCAGTTGCAAGACGAAGCGACGGCCAAAACCCAGCTAGACAAGCAGTGGGCTCAGGAAATGGAACTCATGAAGTCCCAACTGGCCGGGCAGATTCCCCAACTCGCGGCCGCTGCCACCCAACGGTTCGTGTCGCCGACGTCAAACACCTGTGAGCAGGAAGTTGCATGTAGCGCCAGCGATGAGTGGAAGCGACGATGCAACGACATGGTGGACAAAATCAAGGCCGAGTACGAGGACGCATGGGTGTTGGAGAAGCAACGGTCGAGCCAGCGTGAATCGACGTGGTACGATGAAAAGCGCGAAATGGAGCGACAGATCAAGACCAGCATGTCCGAGAAGGACTTTCTCAACAAGGAGATCTCGCGGCTCGAGGACAACAACAAGCACCTGATGGTACTTTGCCACCGGAAGCACGCACTCGAACGCAACATGATGTGGTCTTGCAGGAGCAATTGCACACGATCCGAGTCTACTTGACGCAGCGGCCCGTCCACTCTGCAGGTCCCGTGTACAACCACGTGCCACCTTCCGTCAACCCTGAAGTCGTGGGGTCGATGCACCTGCAAAACCAACTCGGCATTTTGCACGCCCAGTTCCAACAACTCTTTGACCACACGGCACATGCCGCGGCGCCACCCAAGCACCATCCAAGACCCCAATGTGATCGAGACCAACCAGAGTCCAAGCCTCCAACTTCCATTTACTCTTCCACCAACACCCAGCAAATGCTCGAGGAAAAGCAGCAACTTGTCCGGGCAATGGAGGATCTGGACACAGGAGCGACCATGTCGTCCGATTGGGTGCCTGTCGTCGACACCACGGCCGACGGCAAGAGCTTGTGGTATCGCAAAGGGTATTGGAGATCAAAATACAGCTAGTCCTCGACCAGATTGGGCATGAACCATGGGAGACAGGAGGTTGACGTGTGCCATTGTGCGAAGTGGAAGCTCGCTTCAACCAGCAACGATGGTGCGCCGCCCCCGAGCTTCTCCTTCCTGCAGCTCGTTCATGAAAGCAAGGCGAGTCTGGCGTCGACAGGTTGAGACGAAGCCCGCCCGCGCGCAAGACACACATCAAACTATACAATTGCCGTCGCAGTGGAGCGAGAGGACCAAGTCCTCTACAAATCTTGTGTATGCTTCTGGACGTGGCAATGCTAATTTTTCGTCGTGTCATCCACAACAACCACAATAAAACGAGAGCAACGGACACAGAGAATCAAGGGCAGCACTCCACAACACTTCTAGAGAAAAAGATGCTCGTCGCAGTGGGTGTCATCCTCTAGAGATGGATGCATCTTGGGAAAGATGCGATACACTGCAGGTGACTTCATTGCACTTATCGGGGTTCGAACCCAGGACCTTCCGGACCGTCCAGTTCAACCCTGTGAGCTAACTCAGCTTCTTATTTACCTTGAAATGTTATGTGTAGCATACACAGCGCCACTTCGTTTTGCAACAATCAGGTGGAATCCGCAACATGGACGATGTCATCGCATGCGACGATTGCCATGTCTTCCAGAACAAGAAAGAAGAGTTTCGAGAAAGTCAATGGGATAACCCTCGCCCAGTGTGCAACTCATGCTCGACGAAGAGGGCATGGGCAATGTTTGCGACAGACATTGCTGCGTGCCCAAACGCTAGAGTTATCCACAACCGCCAACACGTCACGTCTCGAAACCCGTCCACCGGACCACCAGAGTCTGGCCACCCGTTACAGACTCCTTCGTTGAAGAATGCTAAGCCTGAGGCATGGGAGCACGTGGCGGCTGAAAGGATCAAACGACAGCTGGATGATGCGACTCCACGCGGCACGAATCTAGATGCAATAGCAGCCTCCGACGTTCCCGCAATTCAACGAAACAAGTGGTGCGTGGGCTGCAGCAAGGGTGTGCCGTCTGCCCAACGCTGCAGTCAGTGCAAACGCGTGCTCTTCTGCAGCACGGCCTGCCAAAAGTCTGCATGGGCCAAGCATAAGCCACGATGCCACGCAATCCCAGTTGAGACGTCCGTAGCGGCTACATGGAATCCTGTTTTGGCGGCAACTCGATCGTCCAACCCTGACGAATCCTACCGTGCGTTTACTCAGGTGCAAGCATGGATGGCCGAGGACCCCACGGCGGCCGCCGCGACGTTTCGCGGGCTGGATGGAGTGTCGCTGTTCCTACACCACTTGGAAACAGTCGACCTCGAGTCAACTTGGCAAAGCCTTTTGCTCCTGACTCGTTTCATCGAATCGTCTGCGGGTATCGCAGCGGATGTTATCCATTTGGGGGGCGTTGCCACGTTGCTGGCGCTCACGACCGACTCCATCGACTTTCGCATTCAGGTATGTCGTTTGAATCACCCCGTCCTTGGTAAAAGCGCCTACGAACTCAGGCTTCCGCGGTCGTCGCGGTTGGAACACTCATCGCATCTTCGACGGACGATGCGATTGCACTTACCGCTCACCTCATCGACGATTTGGACGCGGTCTCTGCCTTCCTCACAGTTCTGCTGTACGCAAGCACCCTTGAGGACGACGTCGAGCTCGTCGCATGCGTCCAGTCCACCGCGCTTCTCTTGCAACTGTTGGAGCACCACCCAGACGCGCTGTCCCAACTCGCGTCGTTTCGAGCGGCGGACACTGGCGACGACATCGGATCGCTGCTGACTCGTCTCGTTGGAAAAATCGACACGATCTACCGCCTCAATAGGTCTACAGGAGTCCAAGTAGGGCATCACTTGTACTTGAACGTGCTCGGGCTGGTCGGGGCGGTCGTGCACGCACATCCGGAATGCAAACCGCAATTCGTCAAGGCAAAATTGGTCGCAGTTGTGTGCAACATCATCCAACAGCACTGCCAGATCCTCCCGCTAGCGCCCATCACGGTCTTCGAAGCGGTCGTGGCCTGTGTTGTCTGGTTTGTCTGCACGTTTATCTACGACTGGCGTGTACACCTCACGGCAACGGAATCCATGGAAGTCCTGGACCGCCTTGTGCCGCTGCTAACTCCGTTTTTGTCCGATCCGGAAGCGTGCGAAGACTTTACAAATTGTCACCGCGGTATCGCCTTGGCATCGTCCGTCTTTCGATGTGTCCTTGCGTCGAATGTCGCCCTAGCTCCACGCATGCGACTCTCAGCATTGGATTTGTTTGTCTGTGCAATCCTGCCGCCATTTGACGTCCCCGACACCGACCGACACTGCCGCATTCATGCAAATGTAGACGTGGTGCTTACGACGCTGAATACCGCTCTGAAGGTGGCCCTGACCGCCCAGGACTCGGTTCTGTCGCCAGAAGACGATGTGGGTTTGTCTGGCATGCTTTTGGCCGAAGCCGTCAAGTGCTCCGGTCTCGTAGCCCACTTCGGGCAAGCTATGCCACCTGTACAAGGCACGAACATTCCCAAAGCACTCGTTCAAGTGTTGGGTCACGAACACGTCCACTCGGAAACGAAATGGACGGCGATGGCTGCGTTGATTCAATGGGTGGGTCCTTCCGTTGTTGCTACCACAACAACTCTTTCCTGAACACTCGTCGTAGGACATGAATGGAAATTCGGTGGCCAGTGGGCTCGGCGACGTGACGGCTGTGGAGAGCGTGGTCAGCACCCTCTCGACCGCGGCACAGGCGAATCAACTCGACTTAATACAACTTATGCGCGACCTGCTCGAACGGCACAAGAGTCCAGTGTTGTAAATAACGTTGCTTTGGTTCTACTTCGAGTTATATTTTGGTGTCGTTCGAGTCCGATAGGATGGAAAATCGGGACGAGCACTCGGAGAATAGCCGTCCGTTGTCCATCACAGTGGTCGTGCGCATGGCGTTCTCGTCATGGTCGAACACGTCGTCTTCCTCGTCGCCTTCGACCATCATGACAACAGATTCGTCCCGCAGGCGCTGCTTGTGTTGCATCGGGTCGTCGTCCCAAGGGTCCATCATGACCTCATGCTCCACCACAGTCGACGTCACGCGCTTGGCGTGGGGGTGGGTACGCGGCGAAGGGGCGACATGAAATACACTGGAAACGCTCGACAGCGACGACGAAGTACTGAGCAGGTGCTTGGGCTGCTGCTGGAAAATGCTGTGGGAAAATCCCGCCGACGACGCCGTCTGGAACGACGTGACCGACGATGCCGACGACCCCAGCACGTCGGGGTCACCTTCGGCGGACGTTTTGTCGCCGAAAAAGGCGCGGCTCGGACCTTTCTGTGATGCTGCCGTCGGCACCGTAACCAGTGACAAAGGTGCATGGGGCATAAACTTGTCCGAGGCATTCGGCGTGCGACCGAGAGGACTTGCGATGGACTGCCGCGACGTCGCCCTCTTGTGTCGGACAACCAACATGATGCACAACACTAAAAACGATACACCAGCGCTGATTGCGAGGTACGGCGTGATGGACGACGTCGACGGCGCCGAGGATTCTGGCACGGGGGTCAAAACGGACGAAACATTGTTGACGATCGGGGGAGGCAGTGTGGGCAATGAATTGGTTGGTTCAAGCATCGACGTGTCTATAGTGTTGTTGGGCGCAAATATTCCGACACCATCTAGAACCGCAAACCACGTGACATTCTCTGGTGAAGTCACCGCGACATACCACACGCCGTGGACGCCGTGACAGGGCACTCTGCGGCAACCCTCGACACACAGGCCAAGATTCCACTTGGAGCTTGCGTGATGCACGGCGGGCAATTCTTTGTGCAGTTCGTGCCATCAACGGAAATGCATGCGCTGACTGTCGCGCACGTGATGTGGGACGACAGGGCATCGGCAGTCCCGTGAAGCTGATTCACCGCGAGAAGGATCCATCCTGGATATAGCACGCGATGAAGACGTCGTGCCATGCAACGTAGCCTACCTAGCTTGGCAACGAGGCGTCGCGATCGCGACGACGGTGGCTGCGGCATTGACAGCAACGGGACCAACGAAAGTATGCGAGGCAACTCGTATGGTCGCTGCTGGTCTCGTACCTGCCTCTACCACTTGTCCCAGCATCCCGCCCCGATGCGCTTTTTTCGCATTCATTGAAAGTTTGTATGGGATGGGTGACTCGCCAGCGTCGACACTCGCACGTGATTGGCTGGGCAAGAGGCGGCAGTTACATTCGGCTCATGCACGGCGCCGACGAGTTCAAGGGGTATGACTACGCGGCGCTGAAGCAAATCCACCAGGACTTGATTCGGCGGCGGTCCAAGCGCGGCGTCAAGAGCATTCGGAACCCGCGGGGATACTTCCTCTTGGCAACCAAGTTTGCCCAGAAAGAACCATTGCCCGTGCATTTGGTGGTGCTGTCGCCAAGTAGCCGACACCATTGGCATGTCTAACAGCGGTTCTAGACCAAACAACCCAACTTGGGTTCGAATGCGATTGCGTCCAACGTGGCCGGATATCTTGATCCGAACATCCAAACGTACATACGGTCGACTTGGTGGCCGCTGGCCCATTTCAATCCGATTACGTTCAAGAAAAACAGCAGTGTACTCGTGCTTTCGTCGACTGTTTCGGGCTAACACGAATGATGACAACGATTTGCCATAGCTCGACATCACAAAGGACGACTACATCCGCTTTAATTGTAAAGTGTACCGGTCGCTCCTACCCGACATTCCATTTGCCGAAGCGCTGCGTCGTATCGAGGTGTGAAATGTCTCTGAAAACAGTCAGGGGACATCGGAGCGGCCAACGTCCCTGTAGAAAGACTGGCGAGACGATACCTTTATGGGCACTCTCAAGTACGCATCGCTCTCGAATTCTCTGATCCCGATGGGATTCACCAACGTCAACTGTCCAGCGAAACTACGATGGACGTGTCGTCCAGTGACAAGGAATTCGACGACTCGGTGGACGACGCGACCCCCTCGTCCGTCGCATCGGCCGAACGCACAATGGACTTGAACTTGTTTAGCATATCGGTCTTGGACCTTGCCACAGCATGCACAGTACATCGGGAACTCGTTCGAGCGCGTGTAGGTTATGGTTTCGATTCAATTGTAGGCAGGTGGAATGGATGCGCTCTATCTGTTTTTGCAATCGTTGCGCATCAGGTTGGTCTTGAAGCGCCCCAACACCCGACGTGGCACTGCTCATGAGGTTTGAGGTAGAATGAAAACGGTGCGAGAGTTCGACGAGCTCCCCAAGCCCAAGTACTCGTCCGACATCATGGACACGTCTGGGTCGAGTCGAATCACGGTCTTCGTCGAGTGTGGAAAGACTTACACGGAGGACATGACCGAAACCAATTGCATGGCCCATACGGCGACGCTGTACCAAGTGGGGGTAGGCACCTCTACATCCATCGCCATTCACCCATGATGCGCTCATCGTCTGGTGGTCTAGTTGTTTCCGACAAAGTTGCCGCTCGTCACGCTCTTCGTCTCGTTGGATGACACGTACAACTCTGCTCGTCGTAGCCACCTGCCATCTGACGCTTCACGTGATGGATAGCCCAATGGACATGCATGTCAAAGCCGTCGATTCGAGCAAAGACATCACCGAATCAACTCCGACGTGGATTGTGCGCAATGCTGTCGCAGGCGCGCTTGTGTACAAGGCGGCTGAGATTGATATCACGTCCATTCAGTTCGAGACCCTGGAATACTTTGTGCTGCCGGCCTCCGCGATGCCCCCGTCGCCCACCGACCCCAACAAACCAAAGCCGTCCGGTCGCCATCCATCCTATCAAGTACTGTTCATTGACCTCACGTGACACGATGGCATGTTCTTAACCTTTGCTTGGCATGCAGATGACGTGCGTTCTTCAGGAAGCCACGGCCGTCGAGTTTGAAAGCACGTTCTACGGGTCTGTCGCGGCCAAGCGCGTTCGCGTGTTTGGTCTGCAGCATCCTTCAACGACTCCGCTGATTGTGACGCTGACGACCGAGCCGACAAAGACAGCGACGACCGCCGGGAGGGACTCGGGTCGATCTGGCAACGCCACCGTCAGCGGGGCATTCTACCTGGTGAAACAAGACGTGCCCAGCCTCGCGTCGTACAAGTTGCAACAGTACCAGGTGTTGTCCGATTCGACCACTGCAGCCAAGACCCAGATCATTTGCGAACCAGCGTCTCCGGGCTACTACTATGCGATTCTCTTTAGCATCCACGAAATGCAGGTATGACCTTCGTTGACGGTGCTTAACGTGTTTCCGTGACCACAGTGGGGTGTAGTTTGCGATGGAGTACAACCACACGACGTTATCTGACGCGGTGCCATCGCCATGCGACCCAGCGCGTGAAAACGGCGTGAGCGCCATCGACGATGTACCCACGCATCCACGCAACAACCTGCCGTGCTTCTTTCCTGGTGAAAAGCTCGCAATCCAAACACCACACAGCAAGGCGTCGTTGCGAGCCAAGGTACCCAGCACTCAGTTTCGTTCCAACTCGACGCTGAAAGTTGGTGGTGCGGACAGATCTATTCGCATCGGATGCATACGCGCATGAGTCAAATGCAGCTGCTCGACGAAACGTTTCGAATGAAGACGGCTGCGCAGCGGCAAGAGATTGACGCACGCCACAAGGCTCGTCGGCAGCAATTGCAGGCAAACATCGCGTTGGACAAAGCTCAACAGGATGCTGAAGGTACTGGCCGAAAACATCGTGGAATGCATGCTGAGTGGTGTGTCGTTTAGCGAAGCGACAAAAGGCGATAAAGCACGGAGGTGGTGCCACACTACAGCGGGAAGTCGAGCTGTTGCACGAGTACTTTGAGCACATGGCAAAGACGCAGCCGACGTTTGAAGGGCTGAGGCGCCTTGACGAAGCCTACGCAATTCGATTCAGCGAAGCTGACCAACTCACAGACAGCTTCGACACGGTGTACGACGACGATTCCGAGTTCAAATCGTCCAGCGCGAAGGCCAGGTCGGCCAAGTTTGGAGTCACGGACAACCGCCCTTCTAAAGATGGCGTGTTCGCTGCGGAGGAATACTCGTACGCGGCCACCTACCTCGAGGTCTCCACGCTGCTCACCTTGTGCGCGAGAAGTTACGATGAAATGTAGAAATTGGCAGCAGACCTGGCGCTGCAGCAGCACCAGCACGACAACGCGCCGAAAGAGCAAGCGGCCACAGACGCCTTGGAACACAATCTGTACATGGCCCTCGCCGAAAGCAAACCCATATCTCAAGGTAAGCCACTTGTGTTCGACCTGCCTCCAGATCACCCACCTGACGACTTCCAAGACGACATGCTGAAACTTCGAGAGATCCTCGTCGAATCTGGCGGTCTCGCCGAATATCGGCGACCAGGAAAGCGAGAAATGTCGACGGTTCCTGTCATCTTGCCCAAGAAATATGTCGAAGCCAAGCTACCGTGGCAAGCGATGTGGCAGGCGCCGCCTGACCCGTCGGTTCCCGACCCCTTGTTGCCCACAAGCCCAAAGAAACACCGAAATTCGAGTCCCCCCAAAGTGTACCCCGCCTCAAAATCACATCAACACAAGGAGGACGAGTATCTACCACCATGTTCATCAGGGAAAGTGGTGGCAGCGTCAAAGCCGTCGGCGGACATTTCCATCCTCACCAACATCCTTACTCGGCGCCCCAACAACCACGTGGTTTCGAGTAGTGCGTTGGACTGCGATGGCTCCACAAACAGTCTAAGTGTGGTCTCGCCAAGGCCATCCACAGCTGCTCCTGTACTGCAGTCACAGCCCCTACCTCAGTCCGCCGTATTGGAGCTACCTATCACGAGCAAGCCATCGTCCGTCGATGTCACCGCACCCCAAAGTCAACCGACTGCAGTCCGTCCATCTACGAAGCAGCGTATCACTTCTTCGTTTCGACGGCGACAGCACCAACCGTCCAAGCAACTGTCCCTACCTTGGTCCCGACTGCAAAAGGGAGACGCCCCACGCCATGACCATACATTTCTGCCCGTCGCGACTGCTCCGTCCGTCCAATCGGACATTGTACTCATCCAGCAAGTGCCATACAATGTCATTCGGCACCACAACCAAATTGTTGCGCTCACGGACGCTACCGCTGCCCATGTCTCGACGCTGCATCCCAACCGACCAGGCAAAACGAAGCGCAGTCGAGGCACGAAACAGCACCGGTCGGACGATGCAAAGCAGAATCTCGACAAGCTGGAGCTGGCCAAAGTGCTCGGGAACGAGCGCATGGCACTCATGTGGTCTCAAGTTAGCGACGAATTCGCGTGGATCGATGACTCGACAAGTGAGCGCACATGACCGTGCCGACAGGGTGAACGAACGCAGTCGAGTCCAGCGGAGCGAATAGTAGATGACACGGCAGCTGCATTGTACAAATAGCATGTCATCAAGTGGCTGCGGGAGTCCATGAGTCGGTCTTTTGGCGTTTTGTGGGCTTGGACTTCGAGAAGAGGGACACAAAAAGGCCACCCATATTCTCGAGCGGTGTAAAGCGAATCGTGCGGTCCAGAAAACCCGGCTACATACCAAAGTTACGTCCGACGTCGACGTGGGCGGCAAACCTGATGGGGGACGTTCAACGTGTCGAACGCTTCGAGTTTGGCCGTGGGTTCGTCGCGGAGGAATGCCTCGACTATGTCTTCGTTTTGCTTGCGAGACAAGCTGCATGTGCTGTAGACCATGCGACCACCTTCCTTAAGCAGGCGAAAGCCATTGCGAATGAGGTCGTGCTGGAGGTCCAAGATGGCTTGGACATGAGCTGGGCTCAGGTACTTGTCCAGGTATTTGTTCCAGTCGACTTCAGTTGTCATTTTGACCAAGTGACGTAGCGACCCGTCGTGGGTGCACTCAGCATCCACGAGCACCTTGTCGTATAGGGTATTGGTTCCAGTGCCGTCGAGGTCTCCGATTTCCGTCGCACAGCGGTCAGATTCGGACGGCATATCCTTGGCGAGTTTGGCCAACCTTGCTCGAGCACTACAATGATCGTACTGAAGAATGAAGAAAGAAAGCGTGCGACGTAAATGCACCTCTTGTTGACGCGCTTGCGGGCATGGGATTTCGCCGACCGAGCGGTAATCTCCGCCGTGTCCAGTATCGTTTCCATAGCACTCGATGCGTCGTTGGACAACGGAAGCACTTGGAAGGTGCGGCCATCTGCGTGGAAAAGTCGACATCTCCACGCAGTCACAGGAGTGGGCGTTTGGCTCTCCAACTTGGACGGCGATGGCACGTGGATGAGATTGTATTTGTGCACGAGAGCTTTGCATGCAGAAATACGACTCTTGGAGAAATCAACCTGTGGCGTGTATGTCTGAGTAAGAAAGCTAGATCTTGCCTGCATCTTACCCCTGTGACACTGCCGCGTTTCTGAAGGACATCGGCCAACATGGTTAGCTTGGCGCCAGGAGCGCAGCACAAATCTAAAACATGGTCTCCTACAGCACTACTTGAATACCACAACTGGAGTCGCTCAGGGTTATGTACCAGGTTGAACGTCCAAGACACTGACAGCATAACCTGAGCTTGCCTCCATCCCAAAAATATGGCCTCGCGCGTAGAGTTCATTCGTCACCAAAGGCGTGGAGGACGGGATGGCGTAGAAGTTTGGCAGCCAAGGCACGATCTCTAGCGCGGGAAAGTGTGCACGGAGTTGTTCTTCGGTGATGTTCGCGTTATCAAGGGTTCTATCGCACCACGCATGTGGATCACGCGAAGCGACACAAGTCACGTGGATTACCGAAAGTATCTCGGTATTGCGCTTGGATCGACATCGTAGACCTTTGGATCGATGCCATGCGCATGCACGAACGTCATGAACGCTTCGGGTAGTTGGAGCTTTGTGCATGTCGTCGCTGGGAGCTCCTGGTCGTCTGCCATCTTGATCAAAAGGCTCGTTACCAGTGTCACCAAGAAAATGCAATTCTTTGATTGGTTCATGACACGGACGTAACGGCGTCTGATTGGTGGGTCAAGTGGACATACATCCTCCACATCGACCCGAAGTCTGGCACACACAGCACAAACTCTCGTGGCCGACCGCACCTTCCATGAGTCTATCGTGCATCCGATGGACTCTCGTCTAAGAAAAGATCACATGGATACCAGGTCGCCGCGTCGAAGCATTTCGAGTAATACACTCTGCACGTTTGAGTTACAGTACTTCGTCCTCCAATATGAAGCTTGAATAGCTCATGGGTTTGAGTCCGAGTGTCCGAAAGGTCCCGGGTTCGATCCCTCAGAGTGCTATGAAGTCACCCGCAGTGTAAAGCATCTTTCCCAAGATGCATCCATTCCCGTGAGAATGACACTCGCTGCGACGAGCACCTTTTTGCCCATGACTTTGTGGCTTGCCTCGTCTTCCTGGGTGACCCAGTCGTCGGGCTTTGGAGTTCTGTTCGACAGGTGCGGTGAATTCGTGTATGTAGGGGGGGCAGATCATGCTGTCATCGAAGCGAAGACGGTATGATTGACGCCCACATGCACATTGCCAGGGAATGCTTCGCCCTATGGGCTGAAACTACTTGGTAATCCCATCGCGTCATGTTGAGGTGCTTTTCGTCAGAGTAGAGCTGGCCGTTTGCGAAGCTCTCTCCATCCCTCTAGCTCGGCAGATAGGTCTCAGTCGACAAGTGCAAGCTCCCATTGCGACTCTGTATTATAGCGGTGTGGACAACTTGACGGCACGACTTCGGCGACTTCCCACGCCGCTGGTAGCTCCAACAACGGCGAACGTATGGTACAGATCCGACTATATCCCGTAAAGATCCTTGCACTTGCAGTAGTGCTCCCCGTGGCGTGTCATCATCCAACTGGTGGGCATGTCATCGTCGTCGCACGGATATTGCTGCTCGTGAAGTGCCATATGCGTGAAATACCAATGTTCGGTGCGACGGCTTTTGTTGAGCGATTCGTCGGCAGTAGGCGATTCTCGCGGTGGTTGAACTTTCAAGTGGTGTGCGGGGACATCACAACGCGCTCCATCGTGGAGGGAGTGCGACCGTAGGCGACGAGGGATGCCATTGCGAGAGGTTCGATGTCTTGTCCGTGTTGAATAGCTCGGTTCGTGACCGGCGCATGGTGCGAGCCCGTTGGAATTGACGTCGACGCACGAGGCGCGGCAGGCTTAGGCACGTCCCCTTGACGAGTGGACGACGTTGACCATTTGCTGTTCGCATGAACTTGTCCAGTCGATGGGAAAAGTTCGACTGGAGGCAAACACATTACCATACCATGCAATCGATCGCAAACGTGGGTCCGGAGTGACAGCATCCGAAGCCTTGTTGGGAAGCATTGGAGAGTTGAATTCGGAATGCGTAGATTTGCAAGTCCGTTCAACAAGACAGGATTCATCATGGCTCTAGCGCCCTGGTGGACGTGGGTAGGCTTCTTCGGTCCCAGCGGTGGCTTGATCGAAACGCCAAGATCCGTACGCGTGTGTCGATCGTACCAAAGTAATGATGTTGCATCGTGTGAACGTTAGTGTACATGTTGACTGCATCCGACTGAGCTTGCCAACGGTCGGCGCTGGAAAAACACGATGACTGGGCCTCCAGGGCAGTCCCCGTTGTGGTGCACGTCTAAAGTTGTTAGCAACAAATGCCTGCAGCAGCGTTGCGCGTGAACCAAGAGCCGAGGGGCGGACGACGTGCGCCGTCAGACTGCCGCAGTTGTGGACGGGTGTATCGTTCTGCGCGTGATTTTAAGGTATTGCGGTTGACCCCAAGCGAGTGGCTTGCAAGTGACCGAGAAGACGAACTACCTTCACGACATTGTCGAACGGGTGTGGAAGCAGCACGACCCACCTCGCGGACGTCACGCAAACGAACCCCTGGTTCGTGCACGATTGGGGCGCACTCCTTGCAAAAACGCGTCGCCTGCAGAAATTGTACACACGCCTTCCCCTGCCGTGCGCGCATGTTGTCAGGGCGGATGGTCTGCCGTCGCTCTCTTCACGCAAAGTCTGGTCACAACTATCGAATAGCATTTCTACGTGCAGAAGCACTTTCCCTGTGGTCGACAAGGCACGCACGGCTTCGTCGTGGATGACGCGGGGCCGCATCCAGACTTTGCTCGTGTCGGAGATGCAATACGCACGTTGTTATACAATTACTTTTTGCTCTTTTGTTTGAGCTTCATTTGATGGATGGCCTTCTCCATGTCCTTGGTTGCACGCACAGACAGCATTGCTTTGGGCGTCGGTCGCACAGCTGTCTGTACCTGTTCTGGGGAAGCAGCGGTGCTGTCAACGTCGCGATTGATTTTTGAATCGCCCGTGGTGCCAAGCTGAGTCATGTTGGACGCTTCAAGTGTGGCCTGACGTACATGACCAACTCGTGGCGGGGACGCGTTGCCAAGCGTCTTCTTCGTGTTGAGGAGGACGTATGCGCCGGAGGGCTTGGCGTCGTCGACGACGGCGGTGACTATCTCGTTGGAGTCGGCACGTAACTTGGACGTCAATCTTTCCACCTACAACACACCCAAATGCCATCCATCGATGCTTCCTCCCTGCTTTTTCTCTACCTTGTTCATGAGCTGCTTGGAAATGGTCGTTCGTTTGTCTTTTAGATCGCGAAGCATGTTCTGCTTCTTCACTTGGGTCTTCCCTTCCAGCGACGACGACAAGACGAGCTTGTCCGTCGTGAGATTCGCCACTTGCTGGTCTTGGTGGTACCCCCGAATGCACGACATGGCGTACATAAAGTAGTCTTGGTCAATGAGGTCGACAAAGCCCGGGTCGAGTGCCTCGAGGTATTGCTTCACCACCGCTGTTGGAACCTTTACCCCCAGCGCGTACACGGCTTGGGACACGACCTTGTACGAGACCAAGCCTGTCTTCGCATGGTCTGCGTCTCGAAATAGCACAGCAAACGCGTCGACTTCCTCGCGCGTGAAACCAGCAATTGCTGCTTTAATCTGGCGGGCGCGGGATTCAATGGCGACGCGATGAGCGTTCTCTCGCGCAACGCGGAGAATGACCAGGTACCTTAAACGAGCGAGCTTGGCTACCCACCGCCGCTGAATCACGATTGCCGAACTGTGGCGAATGCGCAGAAACGGATCCATGATAGTCGTCGCTTCGTCTGGAGTGGCGTCGTCCAAATGCAGGATCGCCTTGCCCATGCCAATGAGCGCCGCCATCCAAGTCTGCTTCCACCACGCCGACAACGTCTTCGAAACGACCACACCAAACACGTACGCTGGCTCGACCACAACGCCATGCAGCACTGCACTCCACACGAACACTCCCAGCCACGGCAGCGCCGCGAAATTGCTCAGATCCCACGCGACCCAGATCGCACCGCCGCCGAACCCAATGCACCACAGCCCACACACAACGTACACCACTTTGACAATCCAGGACGGGTACCGAATGCGTAGTTTTCGCTGGAGTTTCTCTTGGGCCATGGGCTGGAGCCGAGTCTGCGACGACAACGGGGTCTGCGCCAGTGCAGTCGCGACGGCAACGCTGATGTTGTCGATGCTCGATTGGACCAATGACGACGTGATTCGACCGCGCTGCGGCGGCGCAATCGTTGCCGGTGACATGTCAAACAATTCATCGGGGGGAGGGGCATCGCCCTTCTTCACGGACGCTCGTCGGAGCTTGGCATCCCACGAAATGAGAATATCACGGGCGAGGAAGTGCGTGCATGCCGCCACCATGAGCTCCACGATCCTATGCATCGAGATCAACGCCATGATTACCTTTCGTCTCGTCATGAAACGAGTAAGTGGTGGTGGACCTCACCCCATGACAATGAACACGGCCAAGACGATCTGTGCCACGGTTTGCACTTGTGCGACCATCTTTCCCTGACATCCTTCCAAGTCTTCCACGACCGTGATACGCTTTGTGATGATAGTGCCGTCGACTTTAGTCGCCGTCACGTTCTGCAGCGAAGACGGGCCGGGCGGACACGGCCTGGCAGGAAACTCTGGAAATCCACAGCAACCAAGCTGCGACTGCCACTGGAGACGAAGGACGCCAGAAGTGTCGGCGAGCCAAAGCTCCCGCAGCGCATCCACCACACTGAATCCCTGTATCGACATGATTGAGCAACGAAAATGCTGCTGTCGCACGGCCGACGCACCGTGTTGCGCATGGTCCAGTTGCGAGGGGTCGTCGGCTCTTCCAGTGCTTGCAAGATCAGGAAGACAACCAACGCGAGGAGAGCGACGAGAACGAGGCTGGCCCCCGTTGCGACTCGCAGACCGATGTGGGTGTACCTCGAGTGGACCTTGCGCCGCTTGAAACTCGTACACATCAAGACTGCCACGGCGGAAAGCAGCATGAGCCCTGGCACAGCGACGAAATCGACGGACGAAGGAACTTCGAGCCCAAACATGTAGAATCCGAGCCCGACCTTGCCGAGGACCATGTACACGACTAGACAACTAGATCAGCATCCAATTGGCATGGGATGACGTACGGATGGCGACAGCCAAGAAGACGCGGAGCCAGCACAGCACAAACGCCACCCAGTCGACTTGGTTGACAAACCAGCTACCAACAACAAGGCGTCATGTCGAACCAAAGCAACACCCGGTCGAACCTGTAAAAGCGCTCTTCGGATGTCACCATGGTCAAATGACCCAACTTGGCCATCAGTGCATGCAAACTGTGCTGCATCACATCACGGAAGTACACTTTCTCCTTCCGTCGACGCTCCGCAATCTTGGCCGTGTCGTCGTCGTCATGGCGATGGCGAATATGAACAAACAACCTCACAAACGCCACTTGAACGACAGCACTCACAATGCTGTACAAAAATCCCAGAGAGAGCTAGGCACACGAGAGTCAGGTGTAAAGACTGCGTGCGGGTCGCGGTACCAGGGCGGCGGTCGAGTGCGGCTGGCAATCCATGCTCGACATGCGGGTGCATCCAAAGCGGGCTTGAACGGCGGCGTCAACAAACGCCAATGTGGTCACAGCGCACAAGATGCACGTGAGGCGCTGCGGGCGGGTGAACTTTGCGTCGTACGTCTTCCACAGTGACAGCGTCACGTGGCGACGGTCGATGTCGTCGCGGTACTTGGCGCCCCACCATCGCATCTTCTTGACGATGCCGACCCACACATCTCGGTGCAGCACGGACAAACCACGCAGCAAGAACGCCGACGTGATGAGGGCAACGGTTTCCAAGGTCGAAAACGCTACCAAGAGTTGGAAAAGCTGGCCGAGGAGGATGGCGGAATCATGCAGGAGGACGCTTCGACATCCAATGCGGAGGTTGCGTGGACATGCCAGGGTCTTTCCATCCGCGGAAGTCGCTCGATCGTACTTGTACAACGCTCCAACCGGCGCTGGGTCGTTGTAGCCGCAGCACTGCCGACTGACCGCGACGAACATGCGCGCGTCGAAAGACAGATCGGTCCAGAGCGCGTCGAGAGTCGAATCGAGGAGGGGTTGCCACGACGACATGGACGTCGTCATCGAACTCACGATGGCCACCGAGCTCCACCCGAGTACAACAAGGCCGAACGTGAGGACCATGTAGATGAACACCACGTGCAAAATCTGTTGGATCGACCCGTACACGCCATAGGAAGTGACGGCGCACGCATACGTGACACAGACGACGAGAAGGGCCCCGAGAGAATGTCCAAACAGGGTTTGAATGACGCTAGAAGTGAACACAGTCGTCCCGGCCGCCACGTCGACCCCGACTAGCGCTAAACCAAGCAACGTCAGCGCCACGCCGGACGCCACCACCACCATGACAACCTGCAGGATCCAAACTTGCCATGTCACAGGCTTCTTCTTCCCTTGACGGTAGTAGAGCACCCCCGTGGCAAGAAACACAATCGCCAGCAGCGCACACAGCGCCACAGATGATCTGGTGACGACGGCGGCGGTTTGAGTCAACGTTTCCATCATAAACACGCTGCAGCCCTCTGTCGCTTCGTCCGGGCAGTGCGGCGTGTACACAACATTGGTTAGGTTGTTGGCATCGTCCCATGTGGGCTCTAGGTACGGCAGCGTAAACGTGACATCACCCGCCGCCGCGACAACTTCGGCGAAACCACAGCACGAATATGCTTCTTGAACAAAGAGCTTGGTCGACGGCGCAAAGTCGGTCCATGTTGATAGCAACGTGGCATTCAGTGCCGTCGGCGTTTGCGGGTGCTCGATGCGATAGGCAGCCGCAAAGAGTGACAAGAGTGAAATAGCGACACCGCAAAGTACAACAGCTAGCGCCCACAACCACTTCTTGCGACGGGTGAGTCCGGCGTAGATGCCGAGGCTACCAACGGTCAACACAGCTAGGCCAAGGAGCAACGTGTACGTTCCAGCGTGGTAGCTGAAGGCGACCAAGGCTGCAGACACAGTAACCAGGTTGGTTGCAAAAAGCAAGTCGCACGCAACAGCGACTAGGATGCACCCGCTGAACAAGACAACGACACTAGCAAACACAAGCACTTGGGTGCACACGCGCGTGACGACGACGCTTGTGGAGTCGGTGAATTCGTTGGTGGTGTCCAGGGTCAGCGCCATCGTGTCCACATGCGAGTTTTGGTGCGCCAGGAAGACGGCGGTGAAGAGCAACAAGCATGCCTGGGACGTTAGGAACACAAGCATGCGATTGAGAGTCGTCAGGCAGAACTGTTGGACCGCAGCTGTGATAGGCGCAGCGCAGAGGGGGAGCGTGCTCGATGTGCAAGTGCCTTGGGATTGCATGCTGTAGCCACAACACATGAGTGCTGTTTCCAAATGCAACTTGCTATGCGTAGGCAACGCGACGTAGCGGGCTTCGACCATCGATTGCAGGTTGGCGTACGACCCAAGATTCGACGCCACCGTGTACAGAGCAATGGACGAACACACACCAGCCACCAACAGCACGACTTGGCCGACAGCAAACCACTTCATCGGTCTCACATGGACTCCTGCTAATGCCCACCCACCCATTGTGTGAAGCACTACCAGTGACACAAATGTCAGTCATGCCGACAAAGAGATGCTGACTACAGGGCTACGTACAAAAGTACAAGCCACTGAGCGTAACAAGGGGCAAGCCCACTTCTAGCTTTAGGAAGACAGACGCCGACGCGAGCGAGAACAAGTCCCATTCGAGGAGGACGTCGAGCCCTCCCGCAATTCCAAGCACGACGCTGCACCCGCTCAAATGGCAGCACACTGGAAGCGTGCAACGCAGAAAGATGGTGAACAGGGATGTGTCGCCCTTGACGCCTACATGAACGGGTAACTCTCCCTGGCAACGCATTGCAGGGTTCGCACCTTGAGACAGGTTTTCGATACGAATGCTTTCCCACCGCACGAGGACGTTTGCGATGGCCAATGCGACGATTTGGCTCATGACGACGCCACCCAACGACGACAGCACGTTCTCAAACAAGGCTGATGCAGCCACAGTCAGCACGCGAAAGCACGTGCGAGGCGCCGCGCTGTCTTGGATGGACTCTTCCGGACACGGCAGGACTGGGGCGTCCGTCGTCGCGACAAAGCCACAACAACCCAATTGAGTTTGTATATCGCCTCGAATTGTGCTGGAGAAGCCGCCCCAGAGCGTCTGGAGGTAGGCGCGCGTCGTCTGCGGAAAGGATTCGAGGTCGACCAAGTGCTTGTACGCGATTGCGAGAACCACGCACTCGCCAACCAAGAGTACAAACATGAGAAACATGTACAGCCCTCGAAGTCGACTGGACGTGTTGCGGTACGCGACGAGGATCCCGAGCAAAGCGACTGCCGCCAGAGCCAAACCAAACGCCAAAAAGAACGTGCCCACCGTGGGGCCATACAGCACCAGGACAACGCTGTGGGTCGTGTTCCCGAGGAAGTGGATAAAGTCGACACCGACGGCGAGAAACACGACGGACACGATGATCAGGAACGCGTTTACAACTTGCAGCGCCTGACGCAGCAGCACATGCTGCGCTTGCAAACGCAAAGTTCCAAACAGTGCTCCTACAAGACAAAGAATCGATTGCTGCATGCGGGGTCCCTTTTCTGAACGTACCTTCGTTGAGAGCCATGTCTGCGAGTTGATCGAGGGCGAAGGATTCCGCCGCAATCGCAGTCAAGGCCGTACTGTCGTTCGCAGGCTTCGGGTCGTGGCTGTTGGTCGTGTGGAACGTGGACATGAACGCATTCGCAGTGCTCTGCTTGTACATGTCGAGCTGGGGCCCTAGAGAATTTCGCAGCGTGGCCGTTGCTTTGGTCGACTCATGCAGCAACAATTCCTTCCACGTCTCCTTGCTTAGCATTCCTACATCCCACCAAATGTGTCAGCCGCATGCAAGCACGGCGCAGCACCATACCGAGGCGCTTCAACCGAACAGCTTCTTTGTCGGCTTTGTCGCGACGGTTCCCCCAAACAAGACCCGCAGCATACGCCACGAGCAACACACTGAGCGTCGCCACGGGCACCACCGACGGGTTTTCGTTGCGAAACAGCGTAGGGTGCTCGGGAACAAATGACAGGATCTCTTCCGACACCACGACCACCTCGATATTCATCAAGGCATCGCACACACACGTCGTGGACGTTGCGGTGCTGCGCAGTGTGTCCTTGGAGCAGACAGAGGTGGCATCCCAAGAGCTCGTGGCAGAATTCCACAACCGGCATGCCGTGGTAAACCGTGGCCCTGTCGTCAGCGCCGAATGGCCGAACGTGAGAGCGACCAAGGGACGGCTGGCGTCCACGTTGCCGGCTTTCAGGTTTTGATCGCGCAAGCACGGATCATTTGACGCAATCGTCGACATGGTCAGCGGTTGGCCTAGACCGGAGCGTGCGGTGACGATGCACGAACGAAAGGCCAAGCAACCGTACCTTGGTATCGAGCCTCCAACAGTGCCGTCGTCGTGTGAATGGCGACTGTGACGGAGGGAGCGAGTGGAGGTGTGTCTTTGGCCAGCGCGCGGGTGTGGCTCGGCAGTGTCCACACCACAACGTCGGTGAAGAATGAATCCCCGAGACAAGTAGCTGCCGCGGGAGTCAACTGAACGGTCGATGTGAAGGGAGTAGAATCGTCCGCTGCAAACGTCAGCTTGCTCCCGAACACCGAAAACGTTGCGACGCCACTCGAACGAATTTTGACCGGCAGTTCCCCAGCCAAGAGATGGAGACTGCTCATGGCAGCCATGTAAAACAGCGATTGCATCAGTGTTGAGCTGGTGCCATCTAAAGACGATTGTCACTCCAAGAACGTCAACAGTCGAATACGAATGTACCTGCCCAGGCAGAGTCTGCCAGACGACGACGGGATGGGGAAGCAGTGGTTGTCGTGAGGTCTTTCTTCGTCGACTGAAGCAACGAACTTGCGGCCGTCAAGACCGTAGAGCCCACTGACGTGACGATTGTGGACGGGTCTTCTTGGGCCATCATGGATGACGTCGTATCCTTCAACATGTTTGCAGCCGTCGCCACGTTCGCTGCGTCCATGGTCGACACATCATTCAAGGCGACAATGTTGCTCAGAGTGTAAATGGTTTGCGTAAGCGACGCTGGCGTGGGGTCCATCATGGTCGTCACCGACGCCAGCGACGACAGCATGTCGGACGTCATTGCGGTCACGACGGCTGTCGACATGGAACAGGTCGACCCAGTGTACCCGGGCACGCAATCGCACGCCGCCGTCACATTGTTGCATCGACCGTTCTCGCCGCAGGACGTGGCATTGCACGACGCCTTGACACTGACAAGCGCTGACGTGGACATGAGGACAGTCATGGCATCGTTCAAGTTGCCCGAGTTGAGTGACGTGGCAAACGTTCCGTTGCTGGTGGCTGTCCAAAAGGCAGCAGGGTCGTAGACGATGGGCTGGACGACCACTGTGGATGCGGCGACAGTGGTCGACGCCCCCATGGCGTCTGTGACGACAGCGATGACTTGCACCGTGCCGTTTGTTTCGGACGTGTTGGTTAGAAAGAGGCGAGTTTGTGTGCTCGGGAGGGACTGGGGGGATGAAAGGGGGACCCACCCGCGCGTTGACGAATCGAGCTTGAAAAACGAGTACTGGAGCGGCTGGTCCTCGTCACTCCAGTTTTCACAGCGGAGCGTAAATTGATCTTGGATCGCCATCCTACCCCATGTCTTGAGTCATGTGTTGCCCACATCCTCGATAGCGCTATGAGAGTACCCGATCGGCGGTGAAATTGTCAGAGTACCGGGGGTCGGTGGGCTGTTCACTGTGATGGAGACTGTCCCAAATCCCTGCGCGCCGTTCGAGTCTGTGGCCGTGAGCCGAAAGATGTACGTCTTGCCAGGCGTGAGTGTGTTGGCCGCAATGGCGTTTTGCATGGTCGAGAGGGGAAATACAAACGGAGACAACGTTACGCTGCCCACCGACGAATTTCTCGAGCTCAGGACTAAGTCCCCTTGGTCTTGGCTCCACATTGTCGTGTATGGGTACAGCGACTCGACGGATGCGGTCAGCATGACCTACAGACAGTCTTCAGACCCTTTCAATGCCCTACCCGACGTACTCTAGCGGTCGGATTCACTCGGGTTTGAATGGACTGGCAGCGCACAACGGGGACGCGACCACTGACAGTCGTCACCATGACGCTCACCGATCGCGTCCGAGTCGTCGAACACACCATCGACCCCTGCGCACATGACAGTGTATAGTCGGCTTGTTTTGAAGGCGAAGTCAACAAGTTACCGTGCAGTTCTGAACCACCGACACCGATATGTTGAGCACCTTTGCTGGTGCATACGACAGCGCTGGCAGCACCAAGACAGACGAGTTCACCGTCGACATGGCAATGACAGAACTTGTCTGGGGATTGATGCATGGCCGTGCGGCGTCCATGGACGCCCCAGATCGATTCACGTTCGCCGTGACATCTTGGCACGACCACACAAACGTTAACGGGATGGGGATCCGATCGGGGTCGAACGACAGTGATGCGTTCACGACCAACGGATCGGCCGACCCAACAACGTGGTCGCCATTGACCAGCTTTGCCACGAGATCACTCGGTGTGACTGTGACAGTGGCCCAGTCAGATGACTTGAGCGTTGGCTGCGATGGATAAAATGCATCCACTCGAAAGCGGTAGGCGGTGCCCGCCTGCAGGACGTTGGGGGCGAGCGAAAACGACCGTGGGTCCACTGCCGTGTTGACCAGAGTCCAAGTTGGTGGAGATTCCACCGTCCACTGAAACTGCACCTTGGACGTGGATTGTACCGTTGAGCAGTTGGTCACGACGGGTGCAGTCGTTGCCGACAGCAGCAACGCATTGGGACGGCGAATGGAGAGGGTTGTCGCTCCCGCGATCGACACCACCGGAACGGGGTCGCTTAGAGTTTGAACGGTATACGAGGACGCAGACTTCTCGTTGAAGTAGTTGGTCAGCTCGACGCCAAACACGTACGACGTCGCCGACACCAAGTCGGCGCGATTCACAGTCCACATCAGGGACGTGGCAGACGCCGCGAGCGACGCGAGTTTGCACATGGAAGTGAATTCGTCCTCGCTCGACAGCGGGCTTGTCATCTACGCACACAAAAGTTGTCATTGCTGGGAACATCCATGGAGGAGTCGCTACCGAGTCATAAGGCGACCCGCACAGAGGCGTGAGCGTGGAGTAGAATGTCGTGGCGGCGGCATGCAGCGCGGTGGCGTTGGTCAGAGGCACGTCAGACGGAATGGCCGAAGTCAAAATTCCAAACCACTTGATTCGAAATGGACGGTTCGCGTTGCCCGTCGAGGCAGTCGCATCGACCGTCAAGTCGCCGCAAGGGCCAATGAATTTTGCTCCAACGAGCACGATGTTTGGTTTCACCTAACAAATACCAGCGACTTGAACTCTCCACCTCGCGCGTCAGGTTGCTAGAAGGCGAACGCACCACGGACGGGCCGACCGTGACGGCAATCGAGGCGGTGGTGTACAAAACGTTGAAGTCGCGTGCTTTCACGACAAATGGGGACGTGCACACGCCATTGATGAAGTAGGTGGGAGCACAGGATTGCAGCGTCAGCGTGTGGGAAGGCAGGAGAGTGGCGCGGTTCCCCAGCGTGATTTGAAGCGTTTGGAGGTCCAGCCAGAGACACTTTGCCCCGTCGCCGAGGTATCCGGCGGACGTCGTCACATTCCACACAAGGTCGCAGCTGAAAAAGGCGCTGGGCAGGACATATCGTGCCGTGAGCTGGTCGATGGGCTTGGATTTGTCTACTGTCATAGTTGCTGCATGAAACACCGGAGAGTCAAATGAGATGACGACGACAACGCCAGTGCCGTCGAACGCCGCACGAATGGGAATCGGGGGCGGAAAGTCTTCTCGACCGAGGACCGTGGCAACCACGACGGGGGAAGACGATGCGTTGTACCGACCATCCCTGGACAACGGGCGATGGGACACTGTCGTTTGCATCGACAGAGGCTTCGAGGACCCCGTTGTGAGGGCTGACAGGACGACAGATCGATAGTCATTCCAGTCCCATGGCGTAAACACGATGAAGCGCAAGACTTGGGACGAGTTGGTGGCGCTGGCGACGTACACCAACGGTTCCTGGACAACGCTAGTGTTGTCAAATGCGCCCCGTGGCACGAATGCTTCCAACGGAACGGACAAGAATACTGTCACGTTGTCGTACGGCTCGGACGCAAGCGCCAAACTGTATGATGCGTTGAAGCTGCCTTGCGCAACAGTTAGCTTGGACGACGGCGTTCGCACGATAACCCCAGACTTGTCGACATCCGTGATGCGAATCGTCATGGACGGGGCTGCCACCGTCACGCCATACTATACAGAGCACGTGAGGAAACAATTCGACAACGTTGGCACGGGGGGACGGGTGCCTACGTCAGGATCGCGCGACGACAACGTGTGGCTGATCGTGGCCGTGTGCACGGGCGCTTCGTGCAGATTGTCGAGCGTGATCGCCACGGCCACGAATTGCCACTTGTCCCATGTCGCGTTGGTAAACTGGAGCGACGTCGTCGCCATCGTGACATTGCACTTTTGCCCGACCACACTCTGATAACATCCTTGCGATGCATTGAACGTGACGTTGACAGGAAACCATGGCTTGGAGCTGAGCCGGAGCGCATACGACACAACGTCGCCTTCGGTGCCGTTCACCGACGCGTGCGACAGCACCACACCGGCGACGTTCGTGTCGACCGTGAACACCGTCACGTTCGCGACGGGTTTTTGAGCATAGATGAGATCGTTGGTCGCGACAGTGTGCGAAAGCAGGGTCGTGTGCGGCAGCGGATCCACAGTCCAGTCGTGAAATGCTTGCACCTACTCCAACACACATCAGCAACGACTACATGCCCCGAGGCTCACCGGCATCCGCTGAGGAATGTTCCAGTTCCTCCAAGTAAACACAACAGGGGGCGGGAGCACAATGACGTTGCCGAGCGCGTCCGTGCCGTTGGAAACGGGCGATATCGTGACTTTGGCAAACGGCTCGGACGACAGCACGATCGTGTACTCGTCCGCGCGCCCGAGCTCCGCCACGACGACGGTGCTCTTGGACGTGATGAACGCCGACACGTCGTCGTCATAAATGACAACGTCGATCGTCGGGACTGCCAAGCGATGGTACTTTGGATCGGAGCTGAACACGGCGTGCGAGATGCCACTGTAGTGAACATCGGCTTCGTCAAGCGCATCGTTCGTGGCGCGCATGCGGACTTGCTGCGGGAGGTACCAATTCTGTGGTGTGAATGTGACCTAGCCAAAACGTCGAGCGTCATTCGGTCACGAACAGCCGCCACGTCGTACGTTAGTCGTGTCGAGCGTGATGTTGCACACACCAAACCGGTAGCAACTGGTGTTTTGTGAATCGAGCCACGGGTACACAACGACGAGGACGTTGGCGCGAGGTTCCGTCATGAGCGTCAACGTGTACGTGTCGGTCAGCGTGCCGTTTTCACTGACGGTCAAGAGGGTTCGGGACACTACCACCTGGGCCCGATCGATGTCTTCGACGTCAACCGTGACGTTGGGAACGGCCATGCCAGCATAGATCATGTCGAGTGTGTATGGAAAGTGCATGAGCATGGACTGCGTTGTGTTGGAAGTCGGCGTCGTTTCATCGAGGTGGTCGTGCACTGGCGCGACGTGAATTTCTTGCGGTATGTACCAGTTGGAAGCGTCAAATTTTGGCCGCGGCGTCAAGATCGTGGCATTACAAAGGTACCGGTCGGGGCTCACCATGACGACGAGCGGGTACACGCAATACCCTCGCAAGCCAAACCTACACGAACAACGTCAGGGGGCAATTCAAGCGCTCGACGCGGTGAACGCACACGTCGGTAGGATCCAATTGAAATGTCGTCGACGGGTACGGAGCACATCGAGCACCGGTCGGACCAAATTGCGTGGCTACCAACGGCGGCACCTGGTAGGTAGGACATGAATCGAGGGCTAGCATGCACTTGGAGCAACGTACTACTTCTTGCCCAACCGACGTCGTGTCGACGGATATGCCAACGTCGGTGAAGCGGAGCCAGTCGTTGAGAGACCAGTCCAAATGCCACATGTATCCGCCATCCAACGCAGGTCCTTGACGGGACACTCGAACGCCTTTGGTCGCCTTTGGAATGACCAGAGGATTCGCGGGGTCGAACGCACTGTCTTCTTGGCGAGATGAAGTGACAAACGGCAGTGCTTCGAGCGCTTCTTTCACGCCGTCCGACGTGACGTTCACTGGCAGCGGCCACGTCGTCCCTCGATGGACCCTGCCCGACTCGTTTAACGTGAGAGACACTCGAAACGAGCCCGTCAAGTACGTTCCATTGGCAACTGTGACCACGGACAACGCAGCTCCTGGGCCACGGAGTTGACTCGTGCCGACAATGGAAGGAATGTCACCGGGCGTATTCGGGAACGAGATAGCCCACGTGTACTCTCGGCATCGTCCAAACACGTCGCATCGGGCGTCTGACCGCGTCACTTCAATGCCTGTCAACGCGACTCCGAGCGGAAGCGCCAAGAGCGCGGCTTGGACAGCGGACGCGTTCGCATTGAACGGAAGAGACGGGGTTGTTTGGGGCGACACGACCTTGTCGTAGATTTCCGTCGTCGGGTACATGAATTTGAATCGGCCCCCCAGTTGCAATTGGAACGATCCAGACAGTGCCGCGCCTTGCTGAACAAAGGCGCTGACAACGGTCGAGCCAAGGCCAGTCAGGTTGAGCGATTTTGCCGTGAGGTTGGCAACCTGCCCCACGTTTCCTGCAAACTCGATTGTCCATTCAAACGTGAGCTCGGGCGACAGCGCCCGGCGACGGACTTGCACTTGGCCGACCGTCGGGATCGCCGCCATGGCCTGGACAACCTCAACTTCGGTGGCGTTGTAAGGCAAGGGAGCGGACGACGCCACAAACGTTGTGTTGACTGGATACGATAGCTGGAACCATCCGCTCACGGTATTTGCTTGCTGGAGGCACGTCCACGTCACGTCGATGGGTGCGGCTGCACCTGGTGCACCGATCAGCTTGGACGCGTCCACAATCAGGCTTGGAAAGAACGCTGGAACGGACGTGAATGTGATTGCCCACGTGACATTGGGACCGCGGCCAGTGCTCTGCGATACCATCACGTCCTTGACCGTGGTTTGAGAGGTGAGGTAGGCAGCCACCTGATCGGCCGTGGCATTCCATGCAACACCAAGCAATGGCTTTTGATTACCGTACCCAACCACGATCGAACCGGACGGTGATTGCAATGCTGTCGTACGATTCACAAGTGCCACCGCCGGGAACGGGGCCACAGCAACGCTGAGTGCAGGAACTGGCCCCCCTGCCAAGTACGTGATGCGCCACGACAAGACGAGCTGCTGAGACGATGAATCCACCGTCAAAGCCACACTGTACACCGCGCTTGCGACAGCGGCATTGAGTGCCGCTTGAACCTGCGATGCGCTTGCAAATGCGTCCAACGGCGCCGCGTTCACCATCGAATTCAACCGCAGCGTGAATGTGGTACCGAACGGAGCAGACGACGAGTACTGAGCGGTGGACGGAAACAAAATCTGAAGAGTCCAAACTTCGAGAACATACCCTCCGGTCATGGTCAACTGGAAGATCGGGTTCACGTGAGTCGTCGACGTCATGACGCGCTGAATGGCGTTTGTCGTCGTCATCGATGCCGTGACAGTTTGCAGCTCTTTCGACGACGATGTCCCGAGCGCGATCGAGTTGGCCGCCAACGCTCGAGGCAGCCCGCATGAGCTCCTGCAACAATTCGGATTGAATCACCCGACAAACGAGATTCGAACAGTCGATCAGGCGCGTACATGTCGAGAGGGTAGCCGCAAAGACGGTAGCACTCGTTGGCGGCTTCGTTGCTGACGGAAATATTGACCTCGGACCATGGTTCAGTCGTCAAGACAAGTGTGTAATTTTCTTCGTCGGCTGGCCGCGCTTCCGTCAACGACAACAACGACCGAGACGCCACGACTTGGGACACGTCGTTGTCTTCTACAGCAACGCGGATGTTTGGGAGCAACGCGCGGTCGTAGTCCTACAATTGCTGTGAGCCACCCATTCGACGAGGACAGGGTGTCTCGCGTACCGGATCTTGACTGACTGTCGTGGTTTTGATCGCTGTAAAATGAACGTCCGCTTCGTCTAAGTGATCGTCCACCGCTTGGACCTAAGTTTGCGCGCAAGTTAGAAGAACTTCCAACGCAACAGGGCCATGGACGCACCGTCACGGCTTGAGGAATCCCCCATGTGGCTGGTGTGAACACGATGGAAGTCGGGGAGACGGTGGCATTGCACAACCATGACTCGTTGCCGACAAGAGGCGCCGCCACGACTGGACATGCGTTTTGCGCCGTCGGGACACCGCAGGGTCGGTAGCAGTCGGTGCTGGCGTTGAAGTGGATGTGGACATCGTGCTTGGGTTCCGTGGCAAGCGCGACTTCGAACACCGCGTGAAGGCCATCTTCCGACACGGTCAAGTACGGCGATGACAACACGACACCAGCAACGGCCATGCTTTGGAGTTTCAGTTCCACGGGAGGTGCCGTGACGTCGGCGTAGCTCGCTTGGGGCACCCATGTTGTCGACGTGGTCTGGCCAGCCCACTCCATCGACAACAAACTGTCGACTGTTTGGTTGAGCGATGCAGCGGTCGCTTGGTTGAGGAGAAGGTCGCGAAAGTACTTTGACACGCTGGCGCGAGACGCTTCCGAGTAGGTTGGAGTCACGATTTGGATGGACGGGGACGACGCTGGCGCGCAGAACGCTCGGTGCTGGTTCGCCAGGAGTTGGAGGCCCTGGGCCAACGAGTCGTCCGTGCCGTGGACGATAACGTGCTGCGGAGTGTTCCAATTCTACACAAGCCCTTCGTGAGAGAGATTTATCCTCAGGACCAAGGAACTCACCTGGGCCGTGAATCTCAGTGTTGGAGGAATCGCACTTGTGTTGCACAGCCCCCATCGGTAGCACTGAACTTCGGTGACCACGTCCACGTCCACCGGCGTCGACGGTTGCGATGAGAGGTTGATTGCATATGTCGCGTAGCTTTTCGACGGTGTCGAGTAGTAAAAGTGCTCGAGGGTTTCGTAGTTGGTCAGCGCCCGCTGGTACGACGCCACGTGGGCAACCCGCCACGGCACTGAACCGGACGCCAACGTGAACGTGCCTGTCCACAGTAGCGAAATCGTGTCGCTGCGACGAACGAGGACCGAGTCGGACGTGGTCAAGTCATTCGTCACAACATTCCACCCGTTCGAGGCCAGCGTTTGCACTTGCGAGCTCCAGTCATACGTGGCCACAACGTGAGTCCACACGTTTGGGGCGGTGCCAATCGCTGGTCCCACGAGGCTGGTAGTCACACCGCCGTAGGTCAACGCAAAGAACGTCGTCTGGTTGGCAAACACGCCAATCTCGTACGATGCCGATGGTGGCGGAGCCGCGTACGATACCAAGACCAGTGGTGTTGCGGGAGCACCGCTTGGAAACGAGACCCAGAACTCGATCGAGAACGAACTGTCTCCAGCATTGAGATAGGACTGACCAAACCATTGCACGCGGCTCGGTGGTGGTGCTGTCAGGACAAGATTCGCGTTGTTCAGGACGGCAAACCCGAGTGGCCAACTCGACGATGTCCCAAACGTGGCGTGGCCGACTTGGACTTGGCTGTCGGCGTTTGCTTTTTGAAGTCGCCAGTAGCTCAACGGTTGATCTCGAAGAAGGATCGCTCGGTAGCCGGTTGGAAGGAGGACAATGTCTTGGGTTGGAAGCGACGGCGGGGGCACGAGAAGCGCGATGTCGAGAAAGCCCGACGCGAATAGCGTTTCCCCGATCATGCCATTCGAATACGAGTTGACGACGCAGGTTGGACATTGAAATGTCGCGCACTGGTTGGCACATGACGAAGGAAGTGCTGCCGATATGACGCCGAGGATGGACGATGTACATGCGCAAGGGTCTGTGGATGATGCGGTGGGGGGCACTGTCCGGGCGAGCTTGGGGTCGCCGTACACTGATATCGAGAAGGCGCTTACGGGCTCGACAGCCCCCGCGCACGCGGACGTGTCGAAGCTCATTTGAATACTCTGAACCTGTTGGACCGAACTGAAGTCCACGACAATCCATTCGCGATACGACGCGGCGGCAGCCTGGAAGCACGACGCTCCCCACGGCTGCAGCACGTCAAACGACTGCGGGGAGCTCATGCTGTGGATGCGGTACGGCAGCAACTTTGTCGTCGAGTCCATAAACGTAAACGCCGGCAACGCGATGGGCCGTTGACCCGTCCCGCGAAGCTCCAAGAGGACATATCGCGTCATTTCGGCGCGCCACCGACGCACTTCGACGTCCTGGACTGCCAGAATCCCACGGCCAGTCAGTTCGACGCGCAGGTACCTACAGCCCAACAGTTAGTCTCCTCGCTTTGTGGTGTCACGTGGCCGCACCGTCCAGAGGCGTAGACTGGCCAGTCCACTCGTCGGGAAAAGCATTCCCCGAGCGGCTTTGTCAGCGACACTTCCTTGGTAGGATCGGGTGTTCCAGTCATGGACACAGTCGAAAGGCGCAGCCGCAACTAACTCGATCGTTATCACTTCGTCCTTGTCGACACATGTACGCACCGATGTGAAGGACGAAATGGTCGCTGCGTTCACGGGCATGGTCGGGCTTGCGCATGCTGCAAGTTCGTCCAGCGTCCGGCCAAGCGTCAGAGACACGTCGCCGATGGAAACGACGGAGCCAAGATCGATACCCCACCACGGGTTGTTTTCAAATGCTGTCGACAACGAAAGTGTTCCGACACTGCTCTGTGTCGTAGGCATCCCAATAGCCACGTTGTCGTCTGACACAAACGCCCCCGATGCAAATTCCCACGACGTTCGCAACAGTCCGTCGTTGAGTTTTGGCTCGAGCAATGCAGTTGTCGACCGAAGACCCCACCCGTCATCCGTCGTCGTGATGGTGATGCCTGGACCGTAGAACTCAACTTCGGCCAGGGCGATCGACGGCGCGTAAATGCGAATGCATCGTGCCGCGGCTTTCACGGGCCACAGCAGCACAGGACGTAGAATTGGCACACGCCGAAATGCTGTCCCTTGGGCTTGCGCCGTGGCCAAGTCCCACGTCGGGTCGAATGGGTCGGTGGCGACCACAATATCCAGATATCCTGTTGTGACAGCCAGCGGTAAGAAGATGGCGAGGGTTCCCGAAGGCATCGTGGTCGCAAGGGTCCCCTCCCACCACGACACGATCGCATCTCCTGACGTCGTGCGGCTGCCGTCCGTCGTAGCGACAACATGGCTGCTGCTGGGTTGGACAACCGGTCGACTCGCCAGTAGGTTGGGATATTCCGTCTCAACAACAAGGACGGGGGGGAGGTTTTCCAGATGGGCACGCGAGTGCATTTGCAGGTTCGCTGGGTCGTGCACAATGTCGACCAGGAACGACACGACGAACAACGGGGACACGGATTTGAGCAACGCGGTCACGTCGATGGTCAAGGTGAAGTCGGTGCTGAGGGTCACGTTTTGCTCGATCGCGGCGAACGGCATGGCTGGCGGCAGGGGCGACGTCGTATCGAATGTCGATTCGGACCAGTCGCTCGCAACAAGCGAAACACGAAGCAGCGCCGTGGGGTACAGCGCGCTGCCCGTCGTCGAGTTGAGCTGGGACGAATTGACCACGTCGTACTGTGTTCGGAAGAGCACGATCGACGCCGACGACACGGATGACTGGAACGCGGTCAGGTGCAGCGTCGGGACGTGAAACTTGAGCAATGTCTTCGACGCGTCTGTCAAGAGCAGCACGTTCCGCTGGACGCCGAGACCAGGGACCACCTGTGCACGCCACACCGCTGGGCATGAGACCCGGCAATGCTTCCGAAATTGGTACCGTTAGACTGTCGACGCACGTCCCACGCACAGTATCCCCCACATGATTCGTGGCGCCTGCCGACTGCTTTAAGCTCAGCAGTGACTTGGAAACGACGACCCCAGCCTGGTCGTTGTCTGCCACCACGACTTGAATGCGGCGATGGTCCGGGGCTTGCAAAACCTAACGCATCCGCCGTTCAGTCGCGACTTTTGTCCTTGTTCAGACGCGCAACGTACGGTCGGCACGGCATTGTAAGGAAGCGGGAGCGGGAACGTGTCCGGGAGGTTGGTCGGCGGAATCTCGTGCTTGAACCAGAACGCTGCATTTGCATACGACGCCGGACCGAAGATGGTGTGCGTGATAGACGTGTTCAGCGTGCCCTGGGCAACTGCGTCGTCGACGGCCGACACGGTAAAGGACTGTGGAATGAACCAGTTGGCGTTGGTGAACTGGACAAACTGGGGCGAAATCCGCAACTGAGCAGACGATTGCGCGACCACGGACACCTGCCACAGTGCTAGGTCAACCCGACGTATTTCAATTGACTCTGCACGCACCGTGTCCGATCCAGCCCCAGGCGGAAATGCCGACGTGAAAAATGCCGGCGGCAGTGTCGTACGGCACACGTTCAAGTTTGGGGAGGCGTCACAGAACGATACGGCCGATGCCGCTCCCGATACGGACGGCGGGGCGTGCAGCACGACGGTGTACTGACTCGTTGCGCCACTGCCTTCGCTCACTTGAAGCAGCGGCGACGAAAGCGTCACAGCTGTAAACATCCTTATGAAATGCCCCCGTAAAGTCTGACGACAGAGTGTACCTGGGTCGTTGTCAAAAACCGTCACAAGCAGCTCGGGCTGGGGGGCGAACAAAGCCATGCCGCAGTTCCACAACTGGTTCTCTCGGACGACTGAACTTGGCAGAATACGAAAGAGTGCGTCGAGTACTCGGTCGGCCATTCCAGGAGGCCACGATTCGAACGCCCACCGCTGTGTCGTGAGGCGTTGAACGCCGAGGCAGAGTTGCCACAGCAACTTGGCTGGGTCTTGCGCCAACGTAGCCAAGCCAGGTCCGTCGAGTACGCCCTGGACACAATACACTTAGTTTGACTGCGTGGACAGCCGACGCAATCGAACCGCGAACGTGTAAAGATAACCCAAGACGTCCGCTGGAATGGCGGTGAGGACGAGCCCGGGCACGTTGGAGCTCACAGGATTCGGGTTGCGGCTGTCCAAACTTTGCACGTTTTGCGTCGACCACGTGCCGCCCCACCCGTTGTCCATCGGCGGGGGGTCGAACTGGACATAGCGCACGGGCAATTCAATCGTTTCCGATAGGCTGTTCACCATTGTGGAAACAGACGTCGGCGGGTTGGGATTCAGAGCGTCGTGGCCATATCGCACTGGTATAGCTTCTAGTGGGCTGGTCAGGTTGCCGCCCCGAAGTTGTACGACTGACACGCCGTTTCCGAGCGGGGCAGTCGCGTTGGCGTCCACGTCGCACACAAGCAGGGGGGTTCCCGCCGCACATGCCGCAGAGATCTACCTTTTGCCATGAGCAATCCGGAATCCAAGGTCTCACACCTGTACGGAAGTACACGACCCTCGCGTGACGATGCCTGCACAGTCGCATGTGGCGAGGTAGTAGCACGACGGCTGACGCGTGTTGTAGAAACAGTCGCGGCTGGTCGCGTAATGCACGATGGACCCGCCGTGGTGCACACCGCCGAATTCGTTCTCGGACACGTTGTCGTCGACAGCGCGGACAACGATCCATTGGACGACGTTCCAGTTCTGTGGCGTAAAGACCACGTGTGATGGCACGAGCTGGGTTTGGAGGGGCCGCATGGCGACCGCAGTCACGGTGACGTCGAACCACGGCCGTGTCGCCAGGACGACTCTATCGAGCCATGAGTGTCCGTGCCAAGGTTTGCAGACGGTACCCGTATCGGTCGGTAGCTCCGCCTTCCACGGTGTACAAGTTCGAGCGCGAGAGCTGCACGGTGGCTCGATCATTGTCTGTCACGGTAAACGTCACCACTTTGCCGAGGACGAATGGCGTCGTGGGGGCAAAGTGCGAGTCCGCGCTTACAACGGCGTGCGTCACATGCCCATAGTGCGTATCCTCCGCGATGCTGTCGTCGATGGCGGTGACAGTCACTTCTTGGGGTAAGTTCCAGTTCTCTGGCGTAAACAAGACGGCCGCTGGGGCAAACAGCACTTGTGCAATCCTACGCATGTGGCACGTGGGAGCGTTGTCGGAAGGGCGGCGTCGACGGCACGTACGCTTCACCCGAGGGAGACGGGATCGCAGGACTCGATACGGCCACGGTCACGGGCGCAGTGGGTTTGCGATTGAGCACGAGTGTGTATCGACCGATCGTTGGCGATGGCGTCTCGGCGAGGCGCGTTTGGATCGGTAGGATCGACACCCCCCCGTCCACGACGTGGTTCACCAACTGGCCCGCTGGACTAAACATGGCCAGAAACTTGACCTGCGTGTGCCCCGCCCCCCCTCCACCAGCGATGACTACACTGCCGTCCTCGCTCTTGCTGAGACCATACGTGAAATCACTCGCCGACGTTCCGAACTACACGAACCATTGGCGCACAGGTAGTGGCGCAAGATCATTCGCTTCACGTACTTGGCGGCTCCACAATTTTCGACCGCCCGTGGTGAACTTGATGACAAACACATCGCGCCCGCCAAACTGTCGGTACCCATTCGTTGCGTGTAGCGCTTCGTCCATGGCTCCAAACGTGACGCCACACACGTACACGTACTCGTTCCCGTCGCTTTCAGTTTGAAGCAGCACATGCCGCGCCTCGTCGTGCTGTGGGGTGCCAATCTACGCAAGCGCATGCGTCACTCGTGCCGGTCCACACGGTGATCGTACTTGAGCGATCCACTGCTGCGTTCCTGTAGCAGACAACTTGGTCAGAAACAAGTCGAAGCTGCCCGCGTTGCACGTGTCCGCCGTGACGTTGCCTTTGGTCGACCCGACAATGTACAAATTCCCACTCGCATCCAACGCATTCGCGCCAACGAGCTCGGTCGCACCGGAATCCAACGAGTTGGACCACGTGATCGTGCCGTCGGAAGCTGCCTTGGCACTTATCACATGAACATCGTCACTGTTGATGCGCCTATCATGGAGTTTGGACGAAGAGTCATCGGGGAACAGTCGCACCAGTCCGTGGATGAGGTCTTCTGTGCTCTCGACACATAGTAGCTCGATGCGCCATCGGAGACTACTTGGTTGGCCCCGCACACGGCCAAGGTCACCAATATATACGCCGCGACGACCGCGCGCCACCTCGCCATGATACAAGCGGCGGGTGGGTAACTGTGACCGTGCAAAACGTTCTACATTTTTCTATTTGTTCCAAATCGTCTATACGATCGTCGCCTTGTGCAAGTCCAAGGGTCGCCCCGTGTGCTGCGTTGGCAGCCAGCCCAGCAAACGTATCCACACCAGGTTCGGCTCAAAGTCGCTCGCTCGCACGACCAGGTCACGCAGCGCCACCGTGCGAAGGCGGACAAGGTGCCACGTCATCCGCATACATTTCCGGATGTCCCCGGTTCGGTTACACGGCGTTTCGTCGTTCTCCGCGTTTCAAAATAATCGCCATGATGCCTATCATGCTGGCCCATTTTGCAACATTGCGATGTGGAAACTCGTGCGAGTGTGCGCGGCCTTGATGGGGGTTGTGTCGGCCAATACAGCCTGGACGGTGTGCAACCGCAAGCTGTTGATGGATGGCACACTGTACTTCATCCGGGGAGTCAACTACCAACCGGCGCCCATCGACACGTGGAGCGGCGTCGACTTACTGCTGCGTCCAGACCTGTGGCAACGCGATCTACCGCTTTTGCGCAACATGAATGTAAACACCGTCAAGGTGTACGCGTTCACGTCGGGGTTTCCGGACGCCCACAGGGCGTACTTGGACGCAGCGTTCAACAACGGGTACCTCCCGATATACACGATGTTTTCAATATGGGTGTCGCCATATCCCATGTCGTCCGCCGTCGCGATTGACAGCGCCGACTTTCAGACCTTTGTGCCGAAATACGAAGCGATGGCGAAAGAAGTTGCATGCCATCCAGGAACGATGGGGTTTGTCATTGGCGGCGAAATGAATGGCATTTGGGTGCGTGCTCGTCAGGATTCAAGTGATACACATCATGACTCTTTCTTCGCAATGTGTAGGAAGTGAGTACGCAGCAGTTCTGGACGAAATTCAACGCCCTCAGCCAGGCCGTGCGCCGAGGAATCGCTGGTGCCAACTGTCCGCAACCAGCCCCCAAGATCCTCACGACCAACTTTGTTGACGACTACACCGAGTCGATCATGCAAGGCGAAAAATTTCGCGCAGACGTCGACGTGTGGGGAATCAACGTGTACGACAAGCGATTTAGCACCGACAAGATGCTCGCGCATAGCCGGGCGACGTCGAAGCCGATTCTTTTCGGAGGTGTTGTCATTCTTGGTCGACATGACTGTGTGATGACGGTGTCGTGAACTTGGACAGAATATGGCGTCCCGTTCGCGTCTAACTGGAAGGAATCCACGGGTACACTGACGCATTGTGCCCTGACCCTTTGACAACTGCGTTCAGGGGCATCGACTTGGGATGTTGGGCTGTACCTCGTGTCCATGGCGAATCTGCTACGGGATAGCTTCTTGGGGAAGAACCCGAGTGGCACGTCGTTGATGGTCGGGGGATTCGTCTTCGAATTCTCGGACGAATGGTGGAAGCACGGGTTTCCGTCCTCCCAAGAGTTTGGATGGGATGCGGACTCGATCTTTCCTCTCGGGTATTGGTCGGAGGAGTACTTTGGCCTCTTCTCGGTCACCCGCGGCGCTGGTACGTACCGCATGCAGTTGTCTTAAGCTGACTAACTTTGGAGCAGGAGTGAACAGACTATCCCCGCGCCAAGTCGTCGCTCAGCTAGCGAATCTGTGGGCAAAACCCGTGGATGGCCAAGCGTACAGCTGCGCTAACCCCACGCCACCCACCGTCCCCAGCGGGGTACCTTGCCATGCCTTTCGTCGCAGATCCTTTCAATTGACGGACTTGTGCTGTTGTAGTCCACCGCGGTGGTGAATTCGTGTGGCAAGGACATTCCAAACGGGGTTTCGTCCTTCGCTGACTCGATTTGTTCGACAACGAATGGAGCGTTGGGGTGCCAAGGGACTGGTGGCCACTGCCGATACTGCCAACTCGTGCCAACTGCCCAAAGTGCTCCATACGTGGGGTGTCCCGCGACTGTAGCTACACCAGTGGCAGCAGCGACACCAGCCTGCACCAACCCTTCTCAGCTATGCCTCAATGGTGTAGCAATGCTGGCCAGTCCCCAATCGTGCGACTTTGGGACATGCCCTACGACCACGTGCGACCCTGACCCCGTCATGCTCGTGCGTGGAGTTGGCATGGTGTACGATGGCACATGCGTCACCAACAGCGCTCAAGTTGGTTGTGACCTTCTTCGACCGGGGTGCCGCTACTGCAGTCCACCCAACTCGGTAAGAACTATACCCTGATATTGTGAAGTTGCCGCGAGATCCTTAAGATTGCATAGCGCACGGCGTTTGCCCCGTGCCCGTCCATTCCTGTCCAGTCGTCGTGCGTTTGGACGTTAAGCGATCTCAACCTGGGGCTGGGCGTTATCGAAGACGCGACGTGTGCAGGCGGTGGCATGGGATGCGATGCTACGCGCCCCACGTGCCGCTACTGCAAGATGAAAGAGAGTCCCCAAAGCAAGCTGCTCAATGCGTGTCCAGATGTGACGATTGCATCAACGTCCGGGTTCGCAGCGGTCGATGACACCGAGAGCGCCATGGAGAGCTCAGGCACCAGCAGCAACGCGTCGACGGGTCTGCTTCTCGTGGCAGCCGTGGTTGGCGTCGTCGTTGCCAGTGTGTTGGTGGCAAAGGTTGTGTTTCGGAAGCCTCAAACGAGCGAGAAGCAGCGCGCAGTCGCGTTGAACACCCCCAATGGAGCTGGAATCTTGTAAGACTACATGTAACATGCATATCCGTCGCGTCAACTCAGCTTCCCATGCCCGGCCACGCCGCGCTGCCGTTGATGAGGACAACTGGCGCATGGACGGTGCAAGCAGCGCATAGAAACCGCCTGGGTCGTATCCGGATGAATATCCGGTAATCGTTTTATTTAATTAATATACATTGGATAGGATATTATTTTGAAGAGTCTTTTGGGTGGTGGGAACCACAAGTCAGTTGATTTCGTTCACTGCAGCGCCGACCCGATGTCCCCGATCCGCAACCTCGTCAAGTACCCCAACAACGTGAAGAACATGCAAGCTATGTTCAACAAGCATCCTCACTTGCACGGTGCGGAAAACCCCACCTTCTTGAAGGGTCCCAACGACCAAGCCATCTTCTACACGTCCCTCGCGTTGTTCGGCTTGGGCACGGTCCAAACTCTCCGCGGCTGGGTCAACATGTCGGTCGGCTGGGGCAAGAAGGACTAAACACAAATAGCATACCAGTGAAGAGGTACGACTGCTTGGTCATCTTGAAATGCTCATACTTCGTGGCTCATGGTTGGAGGATGTCGTGTAGGTCAATCCCGCGCCTATTCGTGTAGTCGATGGGACGGTGCCCTTGACTTTAATAAAGTTGCCTGTATACGTGTGTGTGAAGCTTTTCCTCGGTGAGCCCTCGTCCAGGAGTGTCAAGAGCAGGGAGATGCCAAATCTTCTTCGTCGCACGCTTGGACTGTGTGCGTCACGAATGTTCTTTCACAGAAAGTGCATGCAGGGCGTTGGAAAGGCTAAGTGGAGGGCTGCACGAAGTGTCATGGAAGGCATTTGCCATGACGTGGCTGATCATCATCGGTTTTTGGCAATGTTGCACGTGCTTCTCGAGGCATTCCACGCTGTCTCGGTCCGTTGATCGATCCTGCATAGCATGTGACACAAGTGTTGGGCGTGCATTTCGGGACTACCCACCATTGTGTGGCAAACAGCAGCTAGCGTTCATTACCGCCTAGCGAGGTCACACAAGTCCAGACAATTTCACGCACAGAAGAGAACTCAAAGCGAAGTAGGTGCTGCATGCCTGCATCAGCCGAAGCGGTCCGTCGGCGAGCCCACGAACGGCATTGCTTTTCTTTTGCATTGAATTCCATACAATAATCAAGTAATTGAATCGAATTAAAAAGAAACGACGACTCCACACGGAAGAGTCGTCCTCGCACCAAGGACGGGTTCGACCGACGAGCAATGGCCGCGTATGCATTACACAAAGCGATATGGGTGAGCACGCTGGAGTTTCGAAGTGCGCAATCTTACCTGCGTGTACCATGCGTAGGATGGCAACGTTGACCAAGTGGAATCCATCCTCCACACGACATCGTTATCACAGGACAAGTCAGAGCAGACGACGCTGCCTCTCCTGAACGAACGTGACGGCCGCGGGAACACTCCATTGATGCTCGCCCTGAGATGCGCTCACGCATCGCAACTTGCCATCGTGCAGCTTTTGCTGGTTTGTCACGGCACAATTCCACCACGAATCTGATGCGCATGGCCACTTGCAGAATTGCGGCGCGAACGTACACATGCGAGACGCCATGGGATGGTCGTGCATTCAAAACGCGACGCTGTGCGACGACGACGACGTACTCACTGCAGTTTTCCTGCATGGTATCGTGATCCTTTGCCTTGATCTTGTCATGACTTCGTCGCAGCTGAGAAGCAAACATTCGAGCGGCTGCAAGCGCGGTCCATGGTATTGTACAGCATCCTCCACGACATTCCAGACTTTTACGTGGAAGTCAAGGTGCGTCTCGAATCTGTTGCTTTCAACCTTTCACCCGTGGACCAGATCGAATTGACGTCGTGGGTGCCCCTCGTGTCGCGAGCGCTTCCGTCGGACACGCTCAGAATCTGGAAGAAGGGGTCGAACATTCGATGCGATTGTTCCATCAAGGATCTACACAACACGACGTGGAAACGCGGCCGGCTGTCCCATCTTCTTCGGACGTTCCCAGATCGACCAGGTACTACGCATTGCAATCGTGCACGGCATGGACATTCACGGGCAGGCCACGTCGTCATGCTCGACCACGACGCAAAGACGGCACAGGACGTGTCCAAGTTCATGGCGAACCCGTCGAAAGAGGACGTTGACACGAGCTTGGAGATGCTCTACACGTGCAAAATGTCGACCTATGCCATGGACATTGCCAAGGTACGGCCGACAAGTGTGCCAGCCTTGATAGTCCTGCCGTCCATTGCGTGCAGATCACACTTACACCCAAGAAGCGAGTGTTCGGCTCGAAAGACGGATCTGGCGCCGCGGGCAAGTACGTTGCCAACCGGCATCAACACTACTGAGGGTCCATGGGTCGTAGGAAATACGACATGACCCATGCCCACGTGAAACTTCGACTGCGCAGTGCGTCGCAGCCGCATTGGACGCCCGACGGGGTCGCGGCGACGCAACGACCGACGAAACTCGCCAAAGCCAAGCAGTTTTTCGCCCAGCTCACGCCCACGCAGCCGGCCGCTTCCGACAAGTCGCGCTCTCCCAACACTTTCGTTGTCACGGTGGACGCGCCAGTAGAAATGCACTTGCAAGTCCAACCAGGCGACAGACTGCACTGGCACGTCTCCAGCACCGTGCCGGCGGTCCAATTTAAGGCAGAGCTGTGTGCCAACAACGCTGTCGTTCAAGTCACGGCAAATCCGCTCGCCGTTGTCGACCACGGGCTTGTCGTGTTGACTTGGATCAACCCGACCAAGAAGACGGCGGTCGTGACCCACCAAATCGTGCACGAGCGCATCCACGCTCCCGTCCTACACGACGAACACAACTATGCCGGGAGCCCGCGGCGGTCGACGGCAACGGATGAAAAGCCCACGTCGAAGCGCATGCCCAACCCTCGGGTCCAAACTACACCGTTCCATGAGTACTTTGCGTCCGACCCGGAGCTGCACCAGAGCTTCCGCGGCCTCACGTGCCCGCCCGACGAGCGGTCGATCTCCAAGGAACTCAAGGGCACTGTCACCATGTCGGAAACTTTCCCGTTCCAAGTGTCGGATTTCTTGCCCGTCGCGCAGTTTTTGTCGAGCCGGGCGGAACAATTCGACTCGCTGCGCGAGTTCTTCGAGATGAAGCTCCCGCCGGGGTTCCCCGTCAAGTTTCACCTCCCCATGCTGCTCAGCATTCGGGCGTCGTACACGTTTGTGAACGCCGGGCCGTGCACTGTGGACGACAGCCACTTTGACATTGCCGCCGAGTACAGTTAACACAACATGTGGGCAGGAGTTGTCGTGATTTCAACATTACACGCAATGGGACTCAAGGATCGGTCGACTGGGCGAGCTCGTCGCGGATCTGGGTGACTTCTTCTTCCAGGGCTTGGAGGTGCAGGTGCAGCTGCGCTTCACGAGCGGCTGTGTACGCTCGCGCGCATTCTGGAGTCACCAATGCACTGTGGATGTCCCCTGCGGCAGTCTCTACCGCCGCGATTTCGTCGACAGTGCACTCCGATGGGTACCCGTCTAGCGGGAGCAAGACGCTCGTCTCTCTGCGTGATATGAGTGCTTTGCCTCCTTCTTCCAGGGCAAGCAATTTGTATGCGGTGCGGCATGCTTCCGACACGGGGTCGTTTGCCAGCAAAGCTTGTTGGTCCGCATCCGAGCATTGTGGAGGGAACGTGATCGGTTTCCGGTGTGGGGCTCCGATGCCAGAAGTAGAGCCCTCGCCATCGATGATCGGGATCGTGGTCAGAGTGGGTACGGTGGGGATCTCGTCGAGTGAAGTCACAATCGGTACGAGGTCGACAGGGACCAAGGTAGTCGCGACTTTTGTTGTCGGTTCGATTTGTTCTGGTCCGTTCGTTTCATCGGTCAATGCCAATTCGCCGACAACTTGATGCTCTTGAACGTCGGCGTCCATGTTTGTGAACTTGAAATCGTCGTCACCAACTTCAGGTCGAAAGCGGTTCGCAGTCTGAACTGGCTGAGCATTCAGGTCATCAGCCACGGTGGTGATGCTAAGACTGTCGTGTTTTGATGGCCACAACACGAGCGGCACCATTGCCAAGCACACGAGAAGTCCACCAACCCAAATCATGCGCGTATGGCCACGGCTCTGATAGTACGACGACGTTGATGAATCTCCATCAAGCAAGCCACGGCCGAGGTTTCCTTTAGGCTCCGAGTACACCGCGGAGGAGCTGTCATCATCGTCGTGGAAAGAGCGCAGGAGCGATTGCATCCGTCGAAGTGTTCTATTCCAAAGTGCAGTTCTCACAGCAAAAATCCGAAACGACCGAAGATCTTGTCGCCGACGAAAGGTCACGAGGCTATCCGGACTTGGAAGATGAAATTTCTGGAGATGTGGCGCGATCTCGGGAGAACTACATTTCGAAGGCCAAGACCGTCGGCCGTTGGTTCGAATGGCCCTCGTGCTCGTATCGACGTGAGAAAGGATCGGACGATGACGTAAATAGGTTCTTAGGTCATTCGAATGCTACTCATGGATTTCTCGCACTTTGCCTTGCAGATGATTCTTGATGTGGGTCGCTGGCAGCGCTGTTCCCATTGTGTTGTGCAGGCGGTTCGTCACGGAACTTGTTCGAGGTGGAATCGTCGTCGTTGTCATTCGGGTGACTTTTTGCTGCATCACTTTTTTCACTTTGCACGATCTCCGACGCACGGGCCTTTTCCACGGATGACCAAGCGCGTGGGCCTTTGATCTTGTCCGCAGCATGGATGGGATGCAGACCACTTCTCGACGTGACATGGCCGCGATGCCGCCTTTCGTCATCGTTTGCTTGAAACTGTCGAAATGCAGACAGGTCCTGGTGGGCTGCGTTAGCGATTGAGATCTCTTCGTCGTTCCTCGCAATCTGGAGCGCATCGTGTTGTTGCGGCCACGACACGAGAGGAATAATGCCAATACACACGAGACAAATGACAAGGAGAGCATTCACGAGCAACTGCTTTCCATGCTGCCAGTCGATCCGAAGAAGGCGCAGTTTGATCACGACGGGGCTCTTTCCTTTCACGGGCGGCAGCTTGTCTTCTTCGCATACCGCGACCGTCAGGAACGGATTGAGTTCTTCCGTGTCTTCATATCTGTGAATCAAGAACGACGCACTCATGCGTGGGGTGTGCGCAATTCACGGAATCTCTTCAACTGCGAGGTTTCGAAGGTTCGTGCAATCCTCTAAAGTACGATATTGAAATACTGGCCAGGGTCAGCGCATACTTCTATCAAATTCCATCGCAAGTGCTCTGGTAGGTACGATTCCTCTCAAGATCGCCTCCTTTGCGCTTGGATTGCGCCCATCAAGGACACACGCCATTGCCGACGACAAAATCGCGGATGCGTCGCTGCAGAAACCTGGTATCGGAGCGCACAACTGCATTCTGTGGGCAAGCTGGCGGATCAGGAAGGTCTAATTGGACGGTGTCTGACAAGGCAAGGGCATCCGCACACCCAAGTAAAGCGGGGAGTTGAGGTGTGGATCAGAGCGTTTCTGGACAGGTAGTGTAACAAGGTATAAATCCTGACCATATCAACTACGAGTTGTTTGAAACATCATCATTTGGGAAAGAACTTCATAGGAAGAATTTTCCCACACCTAGTTCAAAATTGAAAATAGAATTTTGTTGCTGGCAAAAACTACTGCGCGCGCGTGAAAAGCCACGGAAAACATCCGTATAATGTTTTTATCCGGACTGCTTGGGCTGCCATCACCATCGATGCAAAGGAGGGAGGGCTTGACATGGCAACGTCGACGTCGTCGTTTGACATGTGGCTGTATGCCCGATTGGAAGCACTGTCCGTGGACAGCGAGGTGACTTCAACGAACCATGAACTAAACATGACTTGCTGGTGCAGGTGTATGGCGAATATGTGAAAGGAATTGTCGCTGATACCGAGACAGAGCTCGGAGAACGGTGTTCTTCTGCGGTCGACATTCTACGCGCTGTCTTGGGCGACGATGCTGCATTGGACACCATGGCTGGTGAGCTTCAAAAGAAATGGTTGGAGCACGAGCGTGAACTTGTCGAGCTGAAGGCGCAAGAACTGGAAGAAGTCAAGGCTCGCCACTTGGCTGAAAAGATGGAAGAACTGAAGTTGGTAGAGCTCAACAAGCAAGCCGAAGCCGAGAAAGCCCTTGCTCGTGCACACATGTACGATTTTTCAAACTCTATTTGTCTCACGTGTGCATCTGGGTTGACTAAGGTCCAAGGAGGAATTGCAGCAACGCGAGAAGATATTGCGCGACTACGGGGCAATTGGCGACTCGGAATTCGACGAGGACGGAAACGTCATCTTCAAGGGCTCTCAAAAGGTACTTTTCTCTGCTTGGCATAAGTTGGGATGATCTTGAGATGCGTTCGTAGACGGAGGAGCTGTCTACCGTCAACACGAACCGCGGTCAAGGAAAGGTTATGCAGCAAGAAATGCGCGAGAAAATGAAGAAGGAGCATGATGCCAAGGTCAAGCGTGAGAAGGAGCTCCTCGAGGCAGACCGTTTGCGCAAAGACAAAGCCCAGAAGCGAACGCAGAAGCGTGAGAAGCAGAGAGGGTGTGGCTAGACCATTAGGATGAATGAACTACTCTGTCACTTGCTTCGCACGAACTTTTATCCGGATGTGGTCGGATAAATGTGCCGATACCCGAGTGATATCGCCATGTCGACCGCCAAATCCAAGCAACCAGCGAGCTTTGCATGGCTCTTGAGGGACACGTTGGTGACGGTGGGAGTGACGTACGTGAGCCCAGAGCATCTGCGGAAGTCCAAGACCAGCGACTCAACCAACAACGCCAACCATTCATCGCTGGTACATCTGAGTGAGCATTGCATGTTGAATCATTCTTCTGTGTGCTCAGACCACCTTGCTATGGAGAGCCTTGCACGACTTGAGTATGGTACTCCTTGCGGACTTTGACATCGACCCAGCCACGCTGGCAATAGAGTCGCAAAGGTTGAGCGAAGAACCCTCTGGGATCGAGGTAGCCCGACGTGGTCATATTCCGTTCGACTCACAACATGACGCAGGTCTGCATTGATGTGTCGCGATACTATTTGTACGATTGGGGCTTCCTCTGCCGCGAATTTTATGTATCGCCGTCTCCACTGGGCCTCCCTGGGGCAGTTCTGTTGTCTGCATTGGCATTTGTGTTGACATATGGGGATTTCTTCTCACGGCAAGCTCTGGCGATTCTTCGCCTTCAGTTGTCCGACAACACGGCTTGCCTCGCTCCCTTTCCACACGTATTGCTTCGAGCATTGTTACTTTTTACTCACATTTGTTCATTGTAGGAGCCACCTCTGCAACGAGATGACTACATGAATGCCATTGACGATGCCATCGAAACCCATCGTCCGTCCATTGTTCATCAGGTTCGAGTCCAAGGACCTGAATAAAACTCATTCTTGGGTAGGTGGAGTCCCAGCCAACGATTCCGGGTGTCGTGCATCGAATTCACGCCGCGTATGGAGCGTTGCAGTACAAACTTCGAGTACGCCGTCATGACATTCACGACGCCCACGAAACCGATGCACGTGTTGCGATGTTGTACAACGTTTTCAGGAATTCCATGCATTGAAAGCGAGCCATGCAAAATACGTGGACAGGATTCGCGCGATTCAGGTCGAACAACTTGGTGCGAGCTGACGTGTTCCATGCATTGGGTCACATCCATCCAACGAGTAGGTGGCGATATGCTGGTGGACGACGAAGCGATGGCCGACCGCGTGTTGACGCCTTATGCACTCTGGCTGCTTCGCCACCCTGCACAATTGACCCTCCACGTACAAGCCCTGGAGAAACGGTGTGTGTGGTAAAATATTGACCTGGCGTCATGTGATGTGGATGCGATTATTTTGTGAAAGGCTTGCCAATTTCGCAGACGAAGCGCGGTTCTACCAATGGATGGGGTCGGTGGCGGGTCAAGTCCGGCCGCTTCCCAGGTTGTGCATGCTTTGAACTACATCCTGTGACGAGAATGACCCATGACGTGTCTAGCATCGACGATAGTGATCCAGGCAAAACCACCTTTGGCGACTTGCTTGCAGTCGCTACCACCACCAACGAAGCGTTCGAATCGCCCAGCATTCAAGCGGTACTCCGTACCGTGTCGAAGCAGTGGAAAGACATTAGCCCAACGGAGAAGACTCGATTCCACACCAAGATGGAGCATGCTGCGGCCAAAATGCACAAAGAGTTGCCGACGATGGACTTGTTGTATCAACCTCTCTCCAAGAAGAAGCTCCCTACAAAAACACAACGTCACGATGCGCACGTAGAGACCTCGAAGAAACCTGCGGTGCTTGATCAAGTGGAGGCACTGTTGGCGCTGATAGAACGCAGATTTAATGTCAAGCTTGTGTAGCATGATTGATGTGTCTCGTTCAGCAGAGTCCGTCCGACCGACGATGGCTTTGGCGACGCATGGCGCAGCAGTAAACCAGTTCCAGTGCGTTGCTGGGGCGTCGCCAATAACGAACCGCGCACTGCACGTGCCCCAAGCTCAGGGCGTGGAGCCATCAGGGCGTATGACGCGTTATCGCACAATTGTGGCCTTCACACTGCTGCATGGCTAGCCAACTCCATTTACCATCGATGGTGGCCATGTTTCAAAATGGCCTGCTCTTCCGACAAAAGTCGAGTTTACCACTCGCCATGTGCCCGACCACGTGGTGGATCGTCCAGAAGCGGTACTCACTGCGCCACGAAGTGCTCAAAACAGCCAAGCGTGCTTTGAAGACTCAGCTGAAGGTGTCCCTACGCGGCATTGTGTTCGCTCTGCAGAGACACACCCGACAGAGGGAACGAGCGCAAAGCAGCGTTCCATCGACTGGAGTTGAGCCTCGAGTCTGTTTCGATCGGAATGTGTCGTCGACGTGCTCCAAGCACACAATCAAGGACAGACCACCCTACTCGATAAAGTCACAAACACGATCGAGTCGTTCCTCCAAGTCCCGGACCACCAGAAAAGAACACAAAGGCCGGCATGCTCCGCCAGCACTCTCGAGGACAAAAACCATCGTCCTGCGATGTCGACATGTGTGTCGCTGCTTGCGACAATGAAAAGTGCCCCATTTGCCGGGTTGAATGTACGACGCGGCTCCAGAATGCACGCTGAACGTGAGCGGTACCGACGCGTTCCGCCAAGACTGCGTGGTCCCGGGGGTCGAGCAAACCATATCCTATTCAATGTGAGGTTCCAATGACAGTGTCATGCGGGAATGGAACGTTAACTGTATTGGACCACGATTGAGCCGTTTGACGTATGAGCTTGCTCACGGGAATAGTGCGGTTCGAGTGTGTCGAGTTGGCCACAGAACTAAGTACCGCCTCACGTCCGCGCAAAGCCAACAGCGGACACTGGTGCGTGTCGATGTCATTGTTCACCCAAACTTCTTCATTCTGGTCCTTGAAACGACACGTCGGAGCGTTGCTTCATCCTTGGACTGGATACGATCCGTCGCTTCGCAGATATCAAGCGAAGAGCTCTGCCGCATGCAGGACATGCCACCACACGCACCTTGTTGCCCCCGTCATCTCGAAGAACACTTGCCACCTCGCACCTGCTCAGGAACTTGATCAAAGAAGAGTTAGCAGCACCACGGCGCGGTCTGATGCGGTCGGCGACCCCCGCCAGCTGCGCGGCGCATCTGCGCGCCACACGTGCCGCTCCACATCTATGGGTGAAATACAGAAACCATATAGCGTTATTGTATGGAAGATTTCGAGACTTGCGGTTGTTCAACCCAATTGCTGGCTTTTTCCCCCATCCGACGGTGGAACCACCGACGTCGATCGTTGCCATGTCGAACGTGGGTGCCGCGATCGCACCCACAGGGCACCCAACAGGATCAAGGGCGTGCCAGCAAGGTCACGGCCCCCTCGCTGAGTTTGACCAACTGCGGCCAACGCGGAGGTGGCCACAAGATGAGCCCGAGATATAGCACGTCCGATCCGCGACCTCCATTTCGCGCTCTGAAAGGATGAACACGTGTTCAGAAACAAGTGATAGGTTCAGCCAAAGGGAAAAGAAGATGGTCCCTGGTGGTCGCGTCGTGTTCGCGCCAAGGGCATGGCGAAGTACGTGCATCGGAGCGTTGTCGAAGCCGCGAGCAGTGGCCGCGCGCGTGCTGAGTCGAAGGACATGACTATTGTTGGACGCCGCATCATCCGGTGGCACGTTCGCTCTCTCCCCACAATTCCAATGAACGTCTCCGACAAATTGGTATACTGAATCGCAATACAAATTCTTTCTGTGAAACTGCGAAGACTTGAAGTAGCGTCGACCGAGGCAGCTGCCCGGGAGGATGTGCGACTTCTCTCGACGGTGACGCAGCAAGCTCCGTTCTGGTGAGCAACCACGGTCTTCCCCCGCATCACACGGACCAGGCCACCAAGGGATACGCGTGGCGTTGGCGGGAGAACCACCGGCAGGTCGCTTCAACTTTTTTTAGAAAAACGCGTGGCCACCATACAGAATGGGGGATGCATGTCGACGTGCAACTTCAACGTTCTGTTCTGCCCCACCGCCGCCGCTTGGGGCACGACCGTCCACGGCACGCAGCGGCCACTTCTTGTCCTTCTCTCCCTCGCTCGCTCTCCGCCTGACGTGGCGTCCGCGACAAGCCATTCGACGTCGCATCTGCTCTTCCCGTGTGCAACGTACCCATTGACGTTTGCACAAATCGGAAAACGTCTTGGTTTTAAGTATAGGTGGCGAATGTTGGTCTTTTACAGCGTCGTGTTCTTCGGACTGTGATTGGCCAGCGCGGTTGATCGGGGCAACCAGGCGGCACTTTTCGTTTTGCCACATCCTTGTCGCATCGATGCCGCCGTCCAAGCAACACTCGATGACGGCGTCGCCCGCCGACCGCGTCCACACCACGCAAGACTGGGTCCAGTGCGCCCATGACGACCTGAAGCAAGTCAACGTCCACACCAGCGCGCTCCGGATGGCGTACCGAGACAGTGACCCGTTCACCGTGTACACATTGATTGTGTCGTGCGCGTCGACGAAAGCGTGGTGGGTCATCCGCAAACGGTACTCGCATTTCTACGCGCTCCGGCAAACCCTTGTCGAGAAGATGCGAACTATGTCGAAGACCAAGTCGATCTACTACTCGGACCTGCAATTGCTCCTCCAACCCATCGTCAAATTTCCATTCCCGAAGAAGTGCCTCCGACTTGACACTGTCGCGATCATGACCCACCGCAAAAACGCGTTTACGACTATCACAACCATGCTCATGCAACTTCGATCGGCTATGCTCGTGCTGGCTGTTCGCCAGGCAAACAACAAAGCACTTGTCGACGAGTTGAACGACTTGCGCTCCAAGTTGGACACGTTCCTAGGTGTTCCAGATCGCCAAGTAGTCGAAGAAGCGCACCGCATGTCTCTCCGCTCGTCCTCATCGTCCGAACCCGAACACACACACGAACCAAACGACGATGAGTGCCCTATTTGCTTGTTCGCGTTGAAAGAGCCCTCCGAAAATGGTATTGAGGAGCGAGTCGTGCGAATGGGCTGCAGCCACGCATTCCACGAGAGCTGCGTTGTTCAATGGCTCGAACGCAAGCCATCCTGTCCAATGTGCCGTCAATACGCAGTCGATGGTGTTATTTTCTAAGTCCCAAGAGCTAATTTAATCCGATACTTGTATTAACGATTGCGCACGGTGCTTCGATCACGCTTAAACGTCGACCACATTTATGACAGCACGTCCAACTCGTTGAGCGGCAACATGGAATGGCGTATCGCCCCGACGCAACCACGCAACTTCATTCACTTGTCGGCTCTGTTGCGAAGGGTTCAACGACCCACCTTCGTATTGTTCTATACGTTGAAACAACTGATTGCAAATGTCAACCTCGGCCGTTGGCATGTTCATGGCGACAGCAGCGCATGGCGCCTTGGCGGTGGGAAGAGATCTGCCGCGTCCAGACTGGTGAACCGCCACTTTGTATGCAAGTTCTCGGACTCATTGCGGCTTTGATTGGCTAAAATTAAATGACATCAGCGAATAAGGTGCAGTGTTCGGCTATGAATTACGCAGAAACGGTTTCAAAAGTTTGCCCACAGCGTGAGATCCGGTCACTCCAATCCGCGATTGTCATCGGTGGCATCTTGCTCATGTGGCAGACGTACACGCCGCCACTAACGTAAGTTGAAGACCCACGGTCTGCTCAGCATCTCTCGAGACATCTTCAGGAAGGGTGTCGTGGGGCTCTACATGGGCTACGTCCCGTCTGTGCTGACGTACGCCCTAGAGGGTGTCGAGGAAAACGGAGCGTGTTAGTTAACCGAGTTTACTTCGTTCGCCGCCGGCCGACTTGTGTCTGTTGTTCGCGAATTGTTTTCTCGATTCCTGGCGCGTTCGAGCGCGCGCCACCATCAGCTTTGTCGCGACGACTTGGGGCGCGTCGCAGTCGTGGAGGTCGTGGTGCCTCGCATGGCGTTGGGCAAACGACCGGCCACACTTATCGCACACCACCAACCGATTCGCACACTCGGTCTTGCGATGTTTTGGCAGCGATTTTCGTGCAATGTCGGCTCCACATCCAAACGGGCACTGCACCAACTCGTGTTTGCGGTAATACTCAGCTGCCAACGACTCTCGCAGCCGTCGCAATTCACACGTGGCGTCGTGGGCTTGCTGCTCGCTCGCCCTGATCACGTGGCCGCAGAAGGGTTCGCTGAAGGGCTGTGGTGAGGTCTGACAGGAGGACATTTCAAGGAGAAGGTACCGGCAGGTCGTTGTACGATGGGGGCAGTCAACTTTGTGGTGCTGCTCCATGAACTTGATGGCCACTGATGCGATTTGATCAGTGCATGCGAAGCGAAACGGGGTGAATGGCATACCGTCTTGGCCACATCCGAGACTGCACTTGGCTGTCCCGTTGCGTTGGTGATGTTTGTGGGCCAGGAAATCCCTTCGTGCCACGATTTTGCACATGTTTCGCTGCCGGTACGACGCCGTAGGAGGGTCACCAAGCAATTGCGCCATGTCTGAGGAATAGCGGACCCATTCGACGTTGACTGCCGCAGACCTTCAACCTCGTGAGTTCGAAGCTGTTGCAAGGAATGCGGGCGACATACCGAGGAAACTGACCCGCCATGTCATCCACGTAATCGCCCAGGCCTTCCTCCAACGTCCAGTACCCTCGTAGGTCAGGCGCAGGGTCTAGCACGTCGTGCATGGTCGTGGCGACGTCTGGACGATGCTGTGCCCAAAAGCGCACTTCCTTCAGCACAGTCGAGGTGAGTGTACGTCCGGGAAACCGGGCGTACTTGAAGGTACCCACGAAACGACTTTTCCTCTGCTCCAATCCACCCCACAGGAAGTTGAAAAGTGCCTTTGGCGGCGCTGGCTTTGGCTCCATTGACAAACAACCTGATGGCATCCCTGGAACCTTTTCAGCAAATGATCGACGGCGCGCAGTCACGTCGTACGCTGTTGCAATGAACGCCACGTGGATCCATTGGCACCGAGGCAGGTCGGCGTTGAATTTTGCTCGTTTCTCATACGAGTGGACACCAGGCATTCCGGTCGACGCCATCTAAAGAGCGCGTCACGAGAGACGATACGAGGAAGCGCGTACAATCAGGTGAAGGCCGGATGTGCTGGACGACGCGAGGGTGTGAAATCCGTTGCTCGGTTGGACTAGTCCTAGCGGTATGTCCACGCACGTGGCCAGCTTCTCGTCAAGCCTTTCCAGTTCCTTTTTGGCTTGTTTCAGAAACCGAGCCAGCTCCCGAGGGTCCGCCGGATTTGCCGTCAGAGCCTCCGCTTGGCGCGACTCGATCGCTTTGAGCAATTGCATGCGCTTGGCTAGCCACTTTGCGTGATTTTGGTCCTGTTTCACCTGTTAGGGTACGCTCGAGTTATGTCAACACCTCGTCGGGTTTAGTGGATTGCACCAACTCTGACCACTTGGCGACGCTTCCATACACATCCAGCTCCTCCGGCGTCCATGTTGGATGCAGGCGTTGTGCCTGAGCCCTCACCGCCGCGTCAAGCTAGTCGAGAGGGATTCCCGGTGATACCATGCTATGGCAGAAACAGTACCGAGTCGCGATCCAACGGATCAGCAATGGAATTGGCAATCACAAGGGCGTCGGACACGAAAGCCTTGACACGGGCGCGTGCTTCAGCCAACATGGAATTGCATCCCGCGATGCCTGCGATGTCACAACGTTGCAGACACTGACTCGGTGGCATGTTCAAGCACCTTCTCCGACCGAAAGGGCTTCTGCTTCCAGGGTCTTGGTCGTGTCCGAAATCTCGCGTCCGGTTTTGACGGTCTGCTTTCGAGCTGCTTGGAGCTGCTTTTGCTTTTCTCGCCACTCTTTCAGTCGAAGCGACATGCAGTCCATGCGCTCTTGCCATCTTCGACCGAGAGGTCAGCCCGCCATCCTATGTCTCGACACCTAAGTCGTACCGGATGGCCTCCTCCATGAAGAACAACACGTCGTCTTCCTTGGAGTGGAGCCATACCCAGAACTCAGCACACCACGGCGGCTGGATGTCGTCGCCGCCCTGAATGCGAACATGGCCACTGCGCGACGGAAATCGCAGCGCCGCCCTCGTTTCCGGGGACACGTCCACGTGCTCGTGGATCTGATGTTCAATATCATACACAGCTGAATAGCACAGACACAACATACATGTCGATCGCGAAAGCGAAGCTGCGCCTTGCACCCGTGGATGACGTTGACGCAAGGGACGAGGCGGGCGGGGCACGTTGCCGATCGGTGCATGGCCATGTGACGTTGCTTGACCATCGTCCCGCAGTCGCGACATGCCATAACACCGTCCTTCAACTTAGCTGACCAAGCATGTGGCGGTTGAAGAATCGAGTCGAGCGATGACAGGCCTGGGTACCTTGGTCAGCTAGTGCGCGGCGCTCCAGCGTCACACAGCATACTGTTTTAACATGCTTCTCGAAATCACCCACGGGAACCCATTCTCGGCAGCCTAACTGCACGGCTCATAAGCTCAGTAGAACGGGTGCAAAACCGTACGTGGGCGTTGGGACATCGCCGCTCTCGCATCGAGCACTCATCTTCTTTGTGGTCGAGTAAGTGGCGCTACATGGCCGTGATGCGAATGCACGAGGAAGGTTTGAATACACCTTGACAACGGGCTGGTTGCACCAGTCGCAAGGGATAAGTTGGTTGGTTGTCACGGCGGACGCAAGCAGCGCCCTCCGCCGCACGCCGACAATGCAATCGTCAGCATCATGCGCCTACACTTGCAACATTGAGCCTTCTAAGCTTGAATGAGTAGGCGCGTGGAGAGGCTGCACGTACGTCTAGCTGGTCAAATGGAATGTCGGTGCGGTTGCAGCCGAGTCTGGCCCGCGGACATGGCACGAGGCGCTTGATGCAGTCGGCGGCAAAGTGTGCGGCTGTCGTACGCAATGTAATGACGCTTTCGCAGTCCAAGCAACACACTTCGAGCTGACCATGGGCTTGTAATTCAAGCCACCTCGCATTCCGTTGAGAGACCACACAGTCGCGTGCTTCGTGCGTGGCTCTGGAATACGCTTGGAAGGTCGCGGCGCAACCAGGTTGATTACACCGCACCACACGATGACTGCATTCTTGTTCCTACAGTCAAATGTAAAGCTTATCCGTATACGCGAGTCAAGCAACCGCGCACTTGATGGAATTGCAGCGCTCGGATGAGAATGTCTTGTCCACACAAGCTGCAGAGCCCAACATCTTCTGGAAACACTCTGTCCCAGTGCTAAAGGAGCTGTCGGTGCGCAGGGATGGAAGGAAAGGAATCCTTACGGGGGTCGACAGGCGGTGCTGCTCGAGTCGGAAGTTCGCGATGGATCGCGTTCGCGGATTGCTCTTCGTGGAGGTCAAGCTCGATGTGGACGCACAGCGTTGTTGTGCCTTGTTCAGGAGCAACGTGCGCTGGCGATCAATATCTTGAATGGTCGACATCAAAAGCATCATGTGCTCCATCTCCGACGTAGCATTCGTCGTTGCGATGGGCTTGCACTTCACGGAAGGGATCCGCGATGGACTCCACTGGAGTGTTGGGAGGCTCATCGCTGCGCCAGTTACATGCAGTTACAAGTTAGCCCTCCTTCAAAGTACGATGCGTCGAACTTAATCGAACTTTGCCGCTCCATCCATCCGAATGACGATGGCGACGCGCGACCTCGAGCAGCTCTACGTGGCCACGAAGACTCTGGAATGCGCAAGGAAGAAGTGCGTCCCATGTGGATACAAGATTGTGGTGCACGCACGTGGCGACGACACAGTGCTGAACCAACGTCCGGAGCTATGTCCTCGGTTCAAAGCCGCAGTGGACTCGACTCCAGTGTTTCCGCTAGTCGAGACCCAGATGAAGGTGCTTCTCGTGCACGACGATGGCCTTGCCTTGACATCAGTCTTGAAAGGCTACTTGAGTGATCCACATCACTTGTCCATCGCAACCGCTGTACCCAAGGCCCAGATCGTCAAAGCGTGTCCAGACGCCACCAAGCGCATCAAGAAGCTCGAGCTGCAGGGCGTGAAATTTCACTTCGAAGCCGACGTTGCGTCATTAAGCGAATATGGCCAATTTGACCGCGTCATTTGGAACTTTGTCGAGTCTGCGACCTCATCGACCCTTGGCCCATTCTTCGCGTCCGTGGGGACGGCGCTTGCTCCAAATGGGCAAGTGCATTTGACAACCAAGACCCCAGGCGTGGTGGCGGTCGCAGCTGCCCATGGCCTCGTGCACGTCGGCTCGTTGGTGTTTGATCGAAGCTTTTGTCCGAGTTACAAAGTCCCGTACAGCGACTGCGACACGTTCGTGTTCGAAGCCAAGGCGACGGGCACGGCATCGACCGCCGCCTTCCCCGACACAGTGCCAGTGACAGCAACTCTCGTGGACGCGATCGTGTCGACGTGCTTAGCCAAGTCGAACCACGACACGACCAAATTGACGAAAGCAGCGATGAAGAAAGCCAGGCTGGCGCTGCTGCAAAAGAAAAAGCAGACGGTCGACGTGCCATATGAGAAGGAGTACTTTGACCTCATGAACCTGAAGCCAAAGGGAAAGAAGCACAAGGTCAAGCGAAAGCAGGAGTACGAGGCCAACCAAGAAGGCAAGGAGCGCCCATCCAAACGTGTGCTGCCGCACCGCATGGAGAACGGCAAGCGGAAAAAGGGGTGGTAGCTTATCAAGACGTGACTAGTTGGCGTCGATTTCTAGACTTGAAGGATGCCCCACGACGCAACGGCATGCGAATGTGTGGCCCATGGCGGCAACGTGTCGATCGCGAGCTGGAGGTCAGGGGTTATCACGTCCAGGTAGAACCCGCAGTACGCCACATTCAACGTCGCGTTGGACTCGACTTCGATCCAAAAGTGAAACGACGATGTCGCGCTGCCGGTCGCGAGCTGGAGGATGTAGCACTCGTCGACTGCCGGTGGCACGCCATCACGGCCATGGCCCAAAGACCTACAAGTCGTGTTGTATGGGCGGCACAGCATGGAAATCCATCTCACCATGACGTAAGGGTTGTGTTGGTCGCGTCAATGTACAGGTTCGCGTGCGACGGGCCGGTGAATGAAAAGTGAATTTGGCGGCGGTTCGCAGCTTCATCAAATGTAGACGACACCACGTCGACACTGCCAAGCGGGGTTCAGATTTGGTTACACTCGATATAAAACGAGAGGGGTGCGCTTACTACGTTGGGATCGTCCGGACATCGGGCGCGTTCGCGGGCAAGTACCAGCTATACTTGGCTGGAATGATGTGTGAAATGGGGTAAAACCTGGAGGAGTGTCTGTCACGCAGCCGTCAAAGGGCGGTTGTACCATGGAAGGTTGTCGAAAATGGTGATGGGGGCCACAGGGCCAGCGGGGGGATGCAGCCGATGACTCCACTTGGTGCTTTCAAACGTCGGCCGCAGCGGCTCGAGGCCACGAAAGTCGAATGCGTTCACCCACATGCCCCAGTCGTCGGGGATGTCGAGTTGGGAAAAGTTGCGGTAGATGTGGTTCAGACCCACTCGCTTGGGGCAGTCGGGCGAGTACGGATTGCTGTAAGAGCACAACGTCAACGATGGAGGTGGACGCGGGAGGGGGTACCTCAGAATCGCGACTACGACACCGGCCATCGATCCAAGAATGGAGTACTTTTGCAGCAATCGCACCGCCGACGGATGCACAAGGCACAAGACAGGTGTGATGGCGCTCAGGGTGATCGTGGTGAGAATCGTCGTGAGGAAAGCCACGACAAAGTCCACGGGCACGATGTTGCCCAGTCGACCCATGATTGGGATGAACACTTGCAGCACAACAATGTAGATTTGCAAAAAGTACACGAGGGGGATGGCAGGGCCGACGAGGAGAGCGAGAGCCGTGCCTAGCGAACAGTCAGGCGCGGTGGCAGACACGTGTCTGTCGCTCGTACGCAGAGAGGATGGAGCGGCTGACGTGTTCCCGTGAAACAAAACGTAGAAAGACAGGGGAAAGATCACCTGTAGACAAAACGCACGAGGTTGCAAGTTGAATGCGGCCTGGACCGTCGAGTACGCACCCAATAGATCGACATGTACGCGCTCTGCACGCCGATCGCCATGAGCAATGCACTCAACGCCATCCACAGCATTGCCACACCTTCCACAAACGTAGGCACTGCCGCGGAAGTCTACCAACACAAGGGTGGATTGGTCGCTGCAAAGCACTTGAAAAAGACCGTACGTCGTCGGGGAAAGCAGTCAGGTAGCCAGCGATAGCGGGGAAGATAAACATCCAGAGATGCGTTGCAGGGGAAGCGTACCACGGCATGGGCGACACCATGGTGACGAACCCTGCCACGGTGATGGAAGCTGTGAACGCTACCGCGTTCATCTTGACCAGCCCCACGACCCCGCGCCACTTCTGAGCGACTGCGAGGGGGGACCAAATGCCAAGGTATACGCCCGCCAGGACAAGGACGAGGTAGTTGATCCATCCACTGAGCGCCTCCGAGTACGTGACAGTGAAGAGGCCTAGCACGTCGAAGAAGACGTGCTGACTGTTCGGTGCGGCTTTTGCATTTCGTGCGATGGACTGCAGAGTTGTCGGGTCAGCGAACAGCTCGTTAAGCGTGCCTTGAACGTTCTCTCCCAGCCGTTGAATCGCCCCGGGCTGGATGCGAGAAATGTCATCGAGCGGCGTGTGGTACACATAGCCGTTTGCGACGTAGGCAAAGTCCATCCCCGCGACGTCCCCATGTTCCGAGTAGACTGTGTAGTCGGTGACCCCTGGAATGACTCCAGACTAGATGGCGGGGTTAGTTTCGTCGTGGGACGGAGGTCGTACCTGGAACACTTCCTGGGCAATCGTGCTGGCATGCGGGTACGGAGCGCCCTTGGCGTATGCCATCGCGAGAACGTCGCTGCCCGTTTGGAAGAGCAGCTCTCGCCCGCCGGCCCCAGACGCCTCAAGGTTGATAAACGCCACGACTTGGTCCCTCCACGGATGCTGCGTGATGAACCCATGGGCGGCTTGCAGCATCGTCTCTTCCGCGCCGTTGAAGTTGAACATGAGGGCATGGTGCTGCGGCAGGACGTCCTCGGATGCCACGACGTTCTGGAGCAGCTCCAGCATGATCGCGATGTTCACTCCGTCATCCGATGCAGCACCGGCACCAACCGCAGCGTCGTAGTGCGAAGACAGGAGCACCGCGGGGGTGCTGGCGTTGTGTGTCTTTCGCTGCACTCGGACAAGGATGTTCGTCACGTTTGCGTACACGTTTTGGAATTGTGTGAGGAAATTCAAGCCAAACGCCCCCGTTGGTCGCTGGACTTCGATGTCGAATTGACATGGGGCGACACATCGTCGCTGGAACGACTCGAGGTGCGCCAGAAGCCACGCTGGCGTTCGTTCTTCGTTGCTTATGCTGCCGACTGTGCGAAACCCCTCGATGCCTTGAAGTTCCTCCAGGAAGACGCGGGCACGACCTTCAGAAAACGCATGCAATGGAATATCGACTGCCTTCGGTTCTGGAAGCCAATTGTGTCTCCAGAACGTGAGACCGATGAGCACGGTGATCCACGCGAGAACGGTCCACAAACTCACACGTTCCACCTTCTCTCTCTTCCTCAACCCAGCGCCATCGCTCTGTTGCGGACCGTCGCTACGCGCAGTTGTAGGCTTGCGGCGTTGGTGCAGCGCCGTGACTTGCATCGTCGGCACCGCGTCTTCACCCAACGTTGCAGTCGTCGAGCGCGTGTGTTGACTGTGGCATCGACGGGCAATTCAAACGGTTTCCGGATAAACGTCCGCAATAGCTGCCGCAATCGGATGGGTTGGTCAGGGGACGCAGCTCTTGCCGTGCTGCTTCCATGATGCCCCCATCTTTAGCATCTCATGAACGTGTCGATTCAGCTAATCTCAAGTGGGGAGAGTACACCACCAACACCGCCGCTTCCTCGCCAACGACGTCTGACGAAAGACCGCTGGAGTGCGCTTAGCTTTGGACGTGTGATGAGACGACCGAACCCCAACAGCGAGTTTATGAGCGCTGTCATGCGACCTTGCAACAGCAGATGACTTATCCTCCATGGAGCAAACGTCGCGGTCGCCTTCGCTTTAAATCATGCACGTCAACGCAAGCAGTTGGAGTTGCCGTGGTCTGGTCACCACCGCCTCGATTCATGAACGGCGAGGGAATGCGATATCTGGCATGATGGTTTCCTCAGCAGAAGCTTCGGTCGATCGTGTCACCTGGCTTTCTGCCCTCCTCCACTTTTCTTATGACAGCGCGTCCAACTCATTGAGCGGCAACATGGACGGGCGCTTCGCTCAAGGGACGACTCAATCACGTCCACTTCCTCAACTTGTCGCCTCTGCTATGTGGACCCAGATCATCGGCATGTTCATGATGAAAGCAGCGCATGGCGCCTTGGCAGTGGGAAGAGATCTTCCGCGTTCCGTCCGTCGAGCCGCGTCGAATGGCGGATGAACCAGCGGAATCTCCTGGGCAAGTTCTCGGTCTCATCATGGCCATGATTGGCTAAAATGCTGCGGCGTCAGCGAATAAGATGCAGTTTTGGCCGATGAATAACGTAGGTCTATGTAACTGCCTGCCAAGAAAAGATTGAGCGGACGCAGTCGGAATCATGCGCGCCAACGCGGACAACCGAACGAGAGGCGATGCAAGCACCGAGAAAGCGATCTCTGTCGGTGCCACGGCCTTGTTTGTCAAGCAAGCAGCGCCCAACGAGGCGCCGTTCACAGTGTACGTCCTCGTCGTAAACTCGGCACCAACGAATACATGGTGGATGCTTCGGAAACGGTTCTCCGAGTTCCATGCATTTCGGTCGGAACTTGTGGCGCTGCACAAGTACTCGCGGCGAGCGACGCAGCTCCAACACCTCCATCGAGTCCTCGCACCCATCGCAGCCATGTCATTCCCTACCAAGAGCCTCTTCGTTGATTCAGAACGTACCAAACGTCGTCGTCAAGCCGCGTTGAAGGAGTTTACGATCCAACTGGCGACGTTGCGACTAGCTTGCGTGTCGGACGCAATCCCCTCCGTACAGCTCAAGTACCTCACCAAACGCCTCGACACGTTTTTGCAAGTGCCTGCAAGTCATATCCCCAGCACACACAACCGACGGAGGATCGCGCTCGACAGAACTCCGTCGCGCTCGTCCAGTGACACCTGCGTTGTTTGTTTGGAACCGCAAACCCACCAAGAGGCTGTCCACTTGCATTGCGGCCATAGCTTCCACAACGATTGCCTCTTTCGATGGCTTGTCGACAACCTTTCATGTCCGTTGTGTAGGCAATACGCCAACCACGGCGTCCTCATCCCGCCACGCGGACTATTCACCTAACAAGGCATGCGCGCGCGTACAGGACCCCATATCGCTGCACTCACACGAGCCAGTCTTCATACGGTGCTCCCGCAGGCGCCCGTCGTCGACCCTCGGATGTCACATGGCCCTCTTTAGTCTATGTACCGGCAGTTCTAAGTGGCATACTCCGCTATTGATTGGTGTCGTCGAATCCATATCTGCCGTGTCCTGCAGCACGACGTGATTTTGTACGTGGTGCTGCCGCCCTTTGTCGAGCTTCATCGCATTACGTCGTCAGCGGCAACGCCTCATGGCCGAAGAGCCATCGAAGACGCACCTTGAACTCGTGTGCGAGCACCAGCATGAATCGGTGCAGCGTCACGCTCGAGCCGTCTCCGTGGGCCAGGGATGTAGATACACAAACTAGTACATACACATGAATAAATAGCTGGTACTTTCGTGTAGCCTTCTAACACACGCGATGGCAGCGACCCGTTGCGGTGGATGTGCGCTTGAGCTGTCGCAAGTGGAAAATGTCGTTGAGGTCCAAAAGTAAATACATGGGCGATGCCACGTCCAACTGCTCGAGCAGGCGATCTATAACGTCGTGGCGGCCGTATGCTGTGGACACAACGCACCGCAGCTCTTCGCGAACTTGACTGGTCGGGACTTGCAAAAACGCCGTCAGGAGCACGTAAACTCGATTTGCCCGGAAGAGGAGATTCTCTTGAAGGCATGGCACCGACGCAAGCGCGGTGCAGTCGAGGCGCATGGCTGCCAGCGATCCAGCAAACTCCTGCAGTTGCTGATAGAAGTCTCGTGTGGAGCCAAGTGTTGAGAGCTCGATGTCAACGATGGATGCCAAGAGCGCTTGCATCGCAGGGTGCCGTCGCGACGTGCCATGCACTCGAACGAGTTGGCTATGCAGAACGACAAAGTCCATGTACGAGCGGCGAAGTGTCCACTTGGTCTTTGTCTCGGTGCAAGCGACCTGGAAGACGTACGTGGTCGATCGTGAAGGACGAGGCCGTCGGTCGTATAGAGGATGCATCGGTGAGCTGCTCGTGGACCCACCACTCGTACTTGTCGTGCAGGAGATGGAAGTGCTGGGACAGTAGTGCTCGGCCTCCATCTTGTGGGAGAATGGTTTTGGATACAATTGTTGGAGCCAATAGCCGATCACTTGGCATGTGAAAATACACCCAAAAATCCCATCGACTGGTGCGACAATTCCAAGTTAGCCGAGTACGGCTGTCTAGTCGTCGAGCCAGTCCACATGGTCGCTCCCTCTCGACCGCTACTGGTGCTGGACAAGGTGTCCAAATGCGATGACGCCTCCATTTGCTGCGCCCAAGCTATGCAGGGATGAATCGTCCAACCATCATGGAATGCTGAGTACTTTGGCGCACGTTGCGTGCCCGACTTGCCTGCATCAGGCGTTCACAGCACACGTTATCGTGCAAGACCACATGCGGCGTCGGTCGGTCGTCGTGGATTGGCGGCGCTGGCAATGCCATCGCAGGCAAATTCGTTGCTCCCTGCTCAACATACCAGATGATGCTTGACAATGGGCCTCCCGCGTCAGCTGCAGCCGCTGGTCAGGAGGATCCACACGATGTATTTGAAACGTGCTGACGTTGCTCTTGGGTGCACTTGCACACACACACACACAACTACTCGGTCGCAACATGAACATGCAGTTTTACATTGAACGAACGCTCGTACAGGACAGCGGCTAGGACATGAAGCCATGGCAAGACTCGGATCTGCACACGGGGCAACTCTTGTGCGAGCTCAGCCACTTGATGATGCAGGGAGGATGAAATCTGTGACCACATTCTAGTTGACGGCATGCCGTATCCTCCACCATCAGGTTGTCCAAACAAACGGCGCACGCGGAATCGCTGTTAGGGGGCCGTTCCATGAGCCGATGTCCTTCTTGCAGAAGGAGCGGCGACGCTTGCATGCGGGCGAACGTTGTTTGGCATTGTCGCAGCTGACCCAGCAAAGTCTGGCCAAGAGCAGTCGACGCCGTTAATATCGCGCTGACTGTGCAATCGATGACGTAGCTGTGGTCGTAGGACAGGGTGCAACACAAAGGACACGTGGAGTGGCTCTTGATCCAGTCCTCGACGCACGCTTTGTGGAACGAGTGGCCGCAAAGGAGGACGACGATGGTCGCATCCCCTCTTTCCATGTCGTCCAAGCAAATGGCGCACTCGACGGCGGGCACAGCGGGGTTCCAAGCGCTGTTGTCCGAGCTGGTTGGCAACCGACCAACATCACACGTGGCGGTTCGAACGAATTGGCGAACTTCCTCTTGAACTTGAAGCGCGGGGACTTGAAGGAAGGCTGTAAGGGCTGTGTAGAGCAGATCGACTTGGTCGAAGACGTCCGACTCGACACTTGCCATCGCAAGAGCCATGCACTTCTGCCGCATGACTGCCAGAGCAGCGGTGAACGCTTGCAGACCGATCGCTCGCTCGGCTTTGATTTCATCATTGTCGCCCTGGATTTTGCGGCGTGGAAACGGGAGCAACGACATGGGTCGAAGGATCGCTGCGACTGGCTTGGTCACTCCCGGGAGACGCACCAACTGCTGGCGGATGGCGTAGCACTCGGAGAACCGTTTGCGCACGACCCACCACGTTTTGGTCCGAGTAGAGCACAGCGTGAGGATGTATGTCGTGATCGGAGCACACTGCGACCAACGATTCAGGTCAAACTTGACGACAAACGTGGCCGGGTCAACCTTCAACGACGCAGGATTTTCTTTGGCAGGCGTGGTCGTAGCTTGCCGTCTCTGAAGCATGGATGAGCTTGAGTAGTGGGGTTGCACGATGAAATCCAAAGAACACGATCGCTGGCAGCACACAAACACGTACAGCCAGCGTCGTTGCAATCGCCAATCTCTCGAGCACGACTGTGTCGGGCCACCTGAGACATGGCCATCGTGGCAGCTGCTCCGATGAAATGCATAGCTTGAGATTCCGTGTCCGACGACCAACTGAATCATGTGATGCGAAGCAGTCGAGCATCATCGGCTAGTTTTTGTTATTGTCATTTCACATGATATGATTGATTGTGTCATGCAACCTAGTGTCACCATCGACGACGACCGGACTTGCTCCATGTAACGTTGAGATTCGCATGCACGAAACATTTGAAAAGTTGAATTTTTCCGTCGTCGTGCCCGAGCCCATGAATCTCGACAACATGTCCAAGTCGCATGCATCGGATCCGACAGTCGGTCTCTTTCGACGCCCTCCGTTTCTGTTGCCAAATCAGAGCTCACTTCTTGAGACGGCATGGTTGGCCGCAGGCATGGAAACCTCAGGAAGCATGGTGGCTGGTTCGATGCGACATGTGCTAAAGTTCAAATTGAACTGGAGCGAGGATGACTCGGTCGTTCCAGGGCCGAAGGAATATTGGCGTCGGCTCGCCTGAGATTTCCTCGAGGCCCGAACAAGTGCTAGTGTCGCCCTCAAACATGCTTTGTCGCTTTCTCCTACACCAATCGTCACTGCGGTCGGGAAAATTTGGCCGAACTCAATGGCACTCAGCAGTGCATGAAGGTCTGCTGCGCAGATGGGACTTCTTTGTGCACGAAGGCGTCCTCGTTAAGAACGCTGACAATGCCCCTAGGTTGAGTGGGATGCTTGTGGGTATTAACCTACATTGGCGGTGGTCCATCTGTCTCGACCGCCTTCGTTGGAAGCGAAGGCGTAGTCGATGCGCCATGTGCAAGACCTCATCCATCGACACGTTCTTCAGGTTGGCATGACTCTACCTCTAGTATAGCCTACGCCATGTCGTCGACGTGCACCAAGGGCACGAAACCCTCTGACCCGTTCTTCGCGACGCCTTGAACGAGAAGTACTTGGTTCATATCGCCTCCACGAACTGTGTTGAGAATGTTGGTACACGAGGAGTGCATGTTAGGTCAGCGAGGACCATTCATATCGACACAGAGACCAGAGACGTTAACCACCAATGAATCACTCTTGAACCTACTCCTACTGGCTTTGCAGCCACGCGCTCGACTACCTCGCTCTAACAAACTGTACAGGCCGTGTGCAGTAGTCGCCTTTGGGGTCGTGGCGGTCGCGTGGTATCAAAAGGCAGCGCTGGTCAAAGCGAACGCTTTGCTCGCCGTTGCAACACCCTATCTTTGGCAAGGGCATGGCGTAGACGATCGTACGACTTCCCGTCGTACGAACACCCGAACGTGATGATGGAATGAGGTCTGGCGCGTGGCTCGCTCGTCGGAGACGCCTTGGTTTCCAACGGAGCTTGTTGAGACGGATGGACCACCGCCAGTGTACGTTGAATACCCATAAGCATCCCACTGAAACTCGCGCCTTCGCCCGTGTTCTGGACCAGCGCGATTCCGTTCACGAAGGAGAAGGCGGGAGGAATCCGTAGTGGATCAGTCGGCGGCAGATCGGACACGTGGTGCAATCCCCCAATCAGGCATAGATGCAATGGCGATGCCGCACTCAAGTTCGACGATATCGTGACGGGGAGTGTGGCGGAACTCGTCCATGCAAACGGCACACGTGGCACCTTCTACGACGGCTTGGAAAGCCCCATGATGGTTGGGGTGGTGATGAAAAGCGCGGATGTTCCTGGACATGTCCTTCTCACGGAACTGATTGAACTGCAGATGAGCTTTGTGGAGGAGATATAAGATGTCCTTATGGCTCTTGGTCAGCACCGTTTGGGTAACGTACTCGACCATGAACTCCTCGTCAAACGACATGGTCCGGCAGAGCGGGCACGTGCAGTGGTCTTGTAGCCAACTGCCGACACACTCCTTGTGGAACAAGTGGCCGCATTGAACCAGCTCGACTGTCTCGCGGGGGTCGCCGATCCCGTCCAGGCAAATGGCGCACACGATATCTGCCCCATCAGTGTCCCTGGCTGAATCATGGCCGCCCTGTGGATGGACCGTCGTCGGCCTCGTCACGGCGGGAGAAATGTGAGGGGATATCTTGCCGATCACATGACGGAGCTCTTGGTGCACCTGAGGTTCCGGTACGTGCAAGAACCCCGAGAGTTTGTGGTAGATGTGGTTAATGTAGTACACGAACAACGCCGTAGGGGCCTCGAATTGAAGCGCCAACCCCATGCAGCTCAACCGAATCGTGACCAAGATGGAGGAAAACCTGCGGAGACCAACGAGGCGCTCGGCCTTGATTTCGTCGCCGCCGTCGCGTAGACGCTTGCGAGGAAAAGGACCGTCGATAACGCTCTGGAGTTGTCAGGTGATCTTGGTAAGATTGGTGTCGCGAGAAAGTGTCTTGTGGAGACGGAGAAGAGAGGCTCGAACGGCATGGTACTCCGAGTATCGTTTTCAGAGGACCCACCAAGCGTGGGTGGCTGGGCACTTCATCGAGAACACGTAGTGCGTCACAGGCCGGAACAGGAACACCTTGTTGAAGCCCATCTTGATCACCATCGCGGCAGGTTGGACGTGCGGTATTAGCGTCTGCACGGTCGTCCAGTGATCGTTGGGACGCTCATGGGTTCCGTTAGTTGACGCAGGTAGCACAACCTCCATGGCGTTGACTGTCGGCTGTGGTTGCCCATCCGTAGAAGACATCGCTCTCTATGTTTTTGCGCCATCATCCTGTCGTCACAAGTATGATACAAACACAATTTTCACGAAATTCAAGAGAATTTCGTCATTTCGCGGTCCACTTTTGCCAATTTTCACAGGAAAGACCAAAACAGATTGAAGCCATAGCATGTGCTTCCATCGACTCCTCTGATTGGCTGGTCCAAGTGTGTATAAATACATGCAGCCAATCAACGCTCAGAGAACGAATATACCGGCACATGCGACGTCGACCATGCCACTTGCTCGAGATGAGATGGAAGGCCACCTCGAGCAGGCATCGTCGAGGAGCCTCAACAACCCATCTCGCACACCCCAGCGAGCCTTCACAGCGCACGCCACTTAGAGATGGGAATTGTCTCTGACTCGCCATTTAATTCGCGTTCCCCGCTTCGTTGCTGCAGATTGCATGCACTATAAACATGTATGCATTGCATGGCCATGGGTCAACGACTGCGAGATTCTTGCGGTGCGGGCGAGAACTGCCCCGGAAAAATGCTCATGGAGCTACCGTGTGGAGTCACAGTGCAATGCACTCGTGAACGTTAATCGTTCACGGGGCTCGATTGGATGTGATCCCTCTTCATGAGCCCATTTTTTGTTGACTCAGGAACGACGGCGCCGTGAGTAGTCACTAAAAGTTGTACCAATTCAGGTTCACCCCATTTTATCTTAGATCTGAGTTCGTCAAAAGCAACGACAGCACTCTCAATACTCCTCACCATATACCTGCTGGGGCAAGTCAAGGCCTTCAAGAGAGCCATGCGATGCCGTACCAGTTCGTTCGCTTCTGGGCAGCGAAGAGCTCCAAGACTTGCGCACTACATCGCTTCAACCAACAAAGTCCATTCTGCAGGGTCATTTTGCCCTAATTGTCATCGGTCTCAACTTGGTCCTTGGCGACGTTCTTGGGTTGAGGCAGCTTGGCTTTCCAGTGCGTCTGCTTGAGCTTTTTCTTGCGCAGCTCCCCATCGTCGGAATCGCCATCCTCGTCGTTTGCATCGCCTGTGGAAACATTCGTCACATCGTCTGGCAATCTCCTATCGATAAAGACCATCCATGATGAATAATACCCAGGACAGTCGCTCCTGCCAGCTCGGCAAACGTGATGACGTTCGAGATGTCCACAGCATTGACGCTGGCCGCCCCCACTTCAAACAGCTCCAGGAAAGGCGCTTGCTTGTACGCCACCGCCAGACGCCCGTCAGCGAGAAACTGAACATGCGACGGCTGAGCATCGCTCAGGACCTCGCGGCGACGATGGCGCAGTGCGTTGTCCTCAATCGTGAAAAAGTCGACATGCTTTGTTCCATTGCGCACGACTGCGACTTGGTTGGTCAACGGGCATACCGACACACCACAGTGCTTCGTCTCTTCGGCATTCGCGGTTAAGTCAGCCGAGTGCAGAAGTTGCCCTGTCGTCATGTCCCACAGCTTGAGCGTATCGTCCAACCCGACAGACACCTGCAGAAGAGTTTGAGCAAAGAGAGATGGATTGAGGTGTGACGTACAAAGAGCGATGGCGTCAACACACTTGTGGCCAACTTGCGCACGCACTGCCGATGCCCGAGGCAGTAACTCTTCACGAGGGTCGTGGCAGGAAAGTTCGACACTCGGATCTTTTCATCGCGATCTGCGGATAGCAGCAATGTGTTGTCGACGTTGATGGCCTGTGTGTCCATTGCCATCCGTAAATTAGAACGTCGTACACATGAGGACGAGCTTTACCACATCCGTGACGATGGACGTCGTGTGCGCCAACAATTCCATCCCTTCGTGGCTGGAGACATCAGGCACGGGATACGCCACGACTTCTCCGGCATTCACGGCGATGAGCACTGCGTCTTGTTTGGAGCCGTCGGCAGCCACAACGCTCGTGGTGACCATGCTTGTGGCATTTCGAGGGATTTGCCGGGTCTCAATCAGGGAAGCCTCTAACTTTGCAAGTTTGTCAACTTTGTAAGCTGCCAGCTGCTTGTCCTGGGACGCCACGAGCAGCACACTGGCATTTGCATTGAATGCGAGAGCGACAACTTGAGACGCGATCGAGAATTGCGCAGATTCCTTGCCGCTACGCTTAAACTTTCAGACGATACACTCATACATGATTTCATCCGATCATGCATTCGTACGTGGACACGAAGATGTGGGGGCCGTAGGCGCAGGCAAACAAGCCGCCGCTCGTCGCAAGTACCATCGTTGCTGTGTTGAATGCCGATGGTGGCACAGGTTATTTTTTATACGGACAAGTGATCCGGATAACTTGCTTGGCTGCAATTGGCGAAAGGAACCCTTGAAATTTAATGCATCGCATTGAGTTGTAGAGGTTTGTTGCCGCCAGCCACAGCTCGCCAAAGTCAGTCGATCGATCATGGGCGCCGTGACCAAGTACCCGTATCCGAAGCACACGTGGTCCCCTGCCGGCGGGTGGTGGAACAAGCCCGCGAACTGGAAGAACCGCACAGGCATCCTGGCTGGCGTCATGGTACTGCTGATCGTGCCCATGACGGCGTTCTCGACCAAGCACAATCGAACGTACAGCCACCTCCCCAAGAAGGACGACGAAGAGTAGATTGCACGGCATTTCACCCGTGTGCCAGTCGCAAATTGAACACTCGAATTATCTCGGACCGCACGTGTTGAGATGTGTATAAGATTAAGAGATTAAAACTGATGCCGAGACCGGTCGATCTCTTTCACGTCGCTCGCTGCTGCGTCCTTGTTTTGCTTGGCGAATGCATACGTGTTCATGCGGGCAAATGTTTGCTTGTTCATCGCTTTTTTCCACATAGTCTTGTACTTGTCAAAGTCGCCGCCGTTCGTGCCGTCGGTCGGCGCAGCTTGGTTGTTGACTTCGTCACACGAGTCGTCTACAGTCGACGACGAGTGGTTGTTGTTCGCGCCGTACCCGTACTCACCGCCGTCGTCGTCGCTGCTTCCGTCGTGTTCGGACACGCCACCCAACGGCATCTCCCACGACTCTTCGCCGGTCGTTTCGTTCACGTAGTAGAAAGTTCCGGGCGCTTGCTTACTTTCGACGCGAGTCCATCGCCCGCCTCGAATGGTGGGGGCGACGTTGGACTGCTGGCGCTGCAGCTTGGCTTGGACGAGCCGCGTCGTCGCTGCCTTGGCCTTACTGAAGCCGAGACTCATTGCTGCACCGAGCATTTGCGTTGACGGTGCGTTCGACGGGACGGGGAACCCTCGCATGCTCTTTTGCTTCATCGCGCGGATCTGCTTGGAGCTAATGGCACCTTGGGAGTCGTCTAGCACGGCTTCAAGGATCTCGGGGTTGAGTTCATCGAGGCTGTCGTCGGTGCTAGCGGGAGACGAAGGCGGGGCCACGTTGTTCTTGTCTCGCTCATCAGCTAAGTCGGCCTGCAGCTTTGCTATGTGCTGGTTGCGTGTGTGAACCTGCGTCGCCAGTTCCCCGACCACTTGCCCGAGTTTTTCCACGCTCGTGAGGGCGTCCAGCGTTTCGGCAATGCTGTCGTATGTCTCGGCCACGAAGGATGCTTCCTGCGCCGTTCGGCAACTGCAGGTTATGTCAGCAAGAGATGCAGCAACGCAGGATCGCATGCATACGTTTGTGTCGTGGCGATGGCTTCCTTCACTGTGTACTTGGCGCGGCGAGTAATGTGATCCAGCTTGTCGCTAAGTTGTGCCACGGTCGCTTCGGTCGCAGCGAGGCGCTCTTTCAACTCTTTTAGTTCGACGGCAAGGTCGTCACGCTGAGAGTCCACTTGAATGTATCGATGGCCTTGCAAAGCTTGCATCCACTTCTTTGCATCGACTTCCTGCCGCGCCTGGCGTTGAGCGGGGGTTTCGCCTTCACGCTACAAACGACCATGAGCCTGACCAAACAGACACGATGGAGAAGTCCATCCACCTCGTCTGCGTCGATGTCCAGGAAAAGGGGTCGGATCTTCTTTTGCTCGGTGGTTTTCACGTCTGCCGCAACGCGGAAGCTGTAATTCGTTCCCCCCACACTGCGCTTGATGCATTGAGAATTGAGGCGGACGTCTGTCATGTACTCCAAGTCAATCACGCCGCGAGGGTATTCGTCCTTTTCCGTGTTGTAGTAGTAAAGAAATGTGGATGGCTTGACGACGAAGAAGTACTTGCTCCAGAGACCCTTTTCATTGTCGGCCTCCTTGCGCAGGTACCCGCACTTGGTGCCCAAATGCGCCAATTCCGTCGCTGACGTCGGAGGCGACCCGCGAATCTGTCGGTCCAAAAGTCACTCTATCGAATCACATTGCCGAGCACGTACTTTTTGCTTGGGTGGACCTCCCCTTGACGAGTCTGTGACGGCTGGAGAGCGGGCTGCGCTCATGCTTTGGCTCATGAGGACGGTCGTGATCTGCGTGGCTTGGACTGACAAGAAAAACGCCGCCGTCCACTGTCAGTCTCTGCCATATGTAACAGATTTCCACTCATACAAAACCAAGATCAACGGGAGTGCATGTATTTGTAACAATATCTCACCACTCTGCAAAAAAATTCAAATCAATCACCCATTTTCCGAAAATTGGCGAATGGGTAGATATTGTTGTAATTTTACACAATAATTGGCAAAATATTTCTTGTATTTGGTAGAATTTATGCATGTTTTGCGAATTTGCCAACGCGTCCTCCATTTTTCCGTCCCAGTCGGAACACTGCCATGGACGCGACAATGGTGCTGCGCTCGCACGACCTCGTCACGCTCGTGACGTCGTTCCAAGCGGGATGGTATCACGAAGACTTGATCCTTCTTCCACTCTTCACCGGAAGGTTTGCAGTCTTGCGTCAGGTCGGGGTCGACGGTAACGCTAACCTGGAGCTTGGATGTGGTCTGTTGTGCACAAGTGACGAGTCCCTTCGTCGATTTGATGCGGTGTATCGTCCCTGGTACAAGACACATCATGAAATCCATGGCGTTCGTCGTTTGCTACGATGTCGCGACTCTTGTCGCTACGTCCTGTACATCCACGCTTGTTGCTTTGGATACCTCGGCGTTGTGCTGGAATTGATAGCCACGTGGCCGAAACTGCGCAACATGCCACGGTACCTCGATCTCAGTGCTTGGAATGGCCAGCTTCACGTGGTGGAATACCTTCAAGAGCACCAGTACGACGAATTTGCGACTACTGCAGTTGACTGGGCGGCGCGACATGGGCACTTGGAGATTGTGAAGTACTTGAGCGGCCCTCTCGAACCACCGGAACACTGCACGGCTATGGCCATGGACTGGGCAGCAGAAGGGGGGCATTTTGATGTGGTGACATTTCTACACAACCATCGCAGTGAGGGGTGCACAACCGACGCTATCGATTTGGCTGCCCAGAATGGACACCTTGACATTGTGACGTTCCTAGCTGCCCATCGAACGGAGGGCTGCACGACTCTCGCGATGGACATGGCCGCCCAAAACGGACACTTCGAGGTTGTTCAATTTCTTCACAACCGCTTTCCTGACGTGGGATGCACCACCGACGCAATTGATCTGGCCGCGATGCATGGCCACTTGATAATCGTGCAATTCCTCAGAGAAAACCGACAAGAAGGCGGGACCTCCGACGCCCTGAATTGGGCAGCTGAAAACGGACATGTCGATGTTGTGAAGTATCTTCACCAGCAAGGGGAAGACAACAGCGTCGTGACTGTTGCCATGGACGGCGCGATTCAAGCTGGACAGCTCGAGGTGGTGCAGTATCTGTTTTATTTTCGACTCGACCCTTTGAACATGTGGGCGTTGGCTACAGCCAGAGAGCGAGGCCATCGACATGTCTTGGAATGGCTGCACGGGGCCTTGAATCCCTCGATTCAACAATTGAGTTTGGCGGTTCCAACAGACTCCTTGAATGCTTCCACTATGACTGTGCCACCACCGAGCGAGGCACAGTAGAAGGTGCCTGTAATATCCTCATAGCATTATGCCGTAAACCTCAAGGATGCTGTTTGCTCCTACCCTTCGTCATCTACTCATGCTCGGAAGTTGCGCTGCATTTCATCGGATGGACAGCTTGACGGCATTCCCTGCGTTCAACGACATCTGCGCATGCGGCCGTATCAACTCGACTACAGCCTGCGTTTGCAGCTCACCATGCGCGTTCTGGAGTAACGCGGACTGCAACGCGAGCGGGACGGCCGTCGTCGAAACAAAGCGAAGGCATTTATCAAACACGCCAGTCGTAATGCGAAAATGTAGTCGGGTTCCTCAGCAACACAACGTTCCATGTCTCACTCGGGTCCGCCGCGTCGGCTATTCGTTCAAAAGCCAAGAAGGATGTCGCGCTGACTCTGACACAGCAAAGCACAGTCGAGGTGGCGATTTCGAGCGTCTTCTGGGGTTACCACGTTACTGACACGCGAGCGAGCTTCACGCTCATGTAGCGGCTACCGGTGCTGCTCGACTGGAGCAAAGCTGACGGACGAGTGCACACGTACGATAATGAAATCGTCCTTCTGCAACCGGCACGCCGCTTCAACACCGTTGCATGGCTTTTGTAAACGTTTGCATATCATTCGTCCAGGAAGCGTTTGATTGGAGGTTGGTCCTGGCAAATCACCAATTGGAGCTACTTATTTCATTAGTTCATCTATTTTAACCAATCAAATGACCGATTCCCCTCGCTACTCGTCTACCGTGCAGTCGGGTGGAAATTCCAGCCTCACCACAAACTAATCGCGATGGCGCAACGCACGACAACGACCACGCGAAACCTGAGTTACGAGCTCGGGGTCAAACACGGCGCCCTCGCCAGCATCGGACTGACCATTGGCGCTTCGGTGCTCACTGTCATAGCCACTGGCGCCGGGGCCGCTATTTGGAAATACCTGAAGAAGCAACGGCAGTTGTGGGACGCTGAAGCCCTCATGGCGCACCGTCGGTCGGTTTTCCCCCAAGACTACGATCCCAATCGTACCGTGCCTGAGGACATCTTGAATAAACTGCTTGAGAGTGCCAATTGGGCACCGACGCACGGACGGACTGAACCTTGGCGATTCATCGTGTTTGGAGGCGATGGTCGTCGCAAGCTGGGTGAGAAAGACGCGGAAATTTACAAAAACATCACGCCCGAGGCTTCGTTCAATGCGAAAAAGTACGCTAAAAAGTCTGCGTCGAAGCTCCAAGCGTCGTACGTGATTGCGATCTGCCTGAAGCGCCAAGACAGCAAGAAGATTCCAGAGATTGAAGAGGTGGAGGCTGTGGCGTGTGCGGTGCAAAACATGCACCTGCGCGCGACGTCGCTGGGAGTGGGAGCGTACTGGAGCTCGGGACCAGGCGTGTACACTAGCGAAATGAAAGAATTCCTCGAGCTGGGACCGGACGACAAGTGTTTGGGTCTCTTTTACGTGGGGTACCCCAAGCCAGGCTTCAAGCACCCTGTCGGTTCGCGCAAGCCTGTGCAGGACAAAGTTCGGTTTGTGTACGAATAAAGCATCGTCCTGTGGTGCTCGAATGACTTGTCCATTGACGACGCCGGTTGGGCCGGACGAGGCACTCTCGCGTGCCTTCACGGGCTGCGCCGCCATTCAATCGAGTTGGAAGACATGCAAGCAATCGTGTGGTGTCTCATGCGAAATGCCAGACAGGTTGGGACGACACGAAACGAGCGACGACCTGAACCGTCGTTGCAATGGTCGCATAAACAATATTGTCGGACTGATAGAACATCTCGGGCGGAATTCGACTGGAGCGGTATGACTGCCGTCGGTTCCGAGCAAAATTGTCATGGGAGGTTGATCATGTGGAGGAAGGTCGGCCATGATGCAGTCGGCTTTGAGGAGCCTTCTTGTGTGGAGTCGACGAGAAGCGCTAGTGGCGTGACTGGGTTCATAGTGCATGAAGTGAAGATGCAGCAAGACCAATTTCATGCAAGGGACATGATGATGCGAGTGACGCCAATGAATTACGGACTGCCATCGTCAACAACGTGTGGGCATTAAATCCCACCGACGCCAACACCTTCGTAGTTGCTGCTGGCATGCAGCCCAGTGTCGTCGACTGTATCGTCCAAGATGTTCTTTGACTTTCGCTTTTTTGGATCGACTGCCTTCTTTGCACCCCCCTTGCTCGAAAACGACACACCCAGTTCCTTGCACAGCGCCGCAGCGTCGTCCCAGTCCAGGACACCATATTCGAGGCACCACTTTTTTGCCATCTTGCTCTTGGGGTTTTGCGACAGCAAGCTCTCGTAGAACACTCGGTCGGCAAACCCAGGGGACGGAGTCGGGTGCTTTTGCCCAGGCTTCCGGTTCGCTTCCTGCTCCTTGGACCATTCCTCTTCGTCCATCGTTGCTGCTCAAGATGTGTGCACCCGCGACGTGGTGCGGTGTATGATTGGTCAAAAATCAACCAATCAAATGGTTCCATCATCCGGACTTGCTCGTCCGCCGAGCAACCACGACCTTTCATGGGTGCCCAAGTCGACGTCGTTTGCTTCGCTGCCGAGTACAAGCAGCCCAATCCACAATGGCGTCGACGGTGTGAATGTCCCAATAATGGCAAGGTTCTGTTAGGTCGACGGCGTGGAGTTGAACTCATCTTGGTTTTGGTTGCATAATCGGGCACAGCGGATCCCGTGTGGGGATATTTGCCACACGCAGGTCAGCTTGATTCGAGTGTTCTGGCGGTTCCACATTCGATGTACACATAAAAACACGGGACCGATCAGGAACGAACCCTCCGCCACCATCCCCATCAGACGGCATCAATAGGCACAAGAAAAACACGTGCACCGCACCACCCCCCTCCCCCGCTTGGACTTGACTGTACAATCCATCTTTGGTCGTGGCGGGAGCTTGATTACCTCACAATCGCAGCAACATGTCCGCTGCCCCAGTTCGCCACCGTGGAGACATGCCACTTCAACTTGAACCCCGTGACAATGGAGCCATTTGATTGGCTGATTCCTTTTCGCCGTTCAACGCTATCTGTTCGCTCGACGGAGGGTTCTGATTGGTGCAATGTTAGAATCGGACGATTTGATTGGCTCGATCCATATCAAGTGTCTGTTCGAATGCCGTCGAAGTCGGATTGGGCTGAATTAAAACGTGGAGAAATATGACATCGCAGCGAAAACCGCCTCCGTTATTGTTCGGCCCAGAAAGTCGTTCCATGTTCAAGCGCCATGTCATGGCCCACGCCGTGGCCATTCGACAATTCGCCCTCGGCAACCCAAACTAATCCGCATGTCAAGTGTGCAAGTTGCTGTCGCGGCGTCCGTCCCCAACATGAAAACCATCGTTGCCAAACAAACAAGATATCGATTGCTGTACACGGATGAGATGGTCAAGTCCCGCTACGACGCCGTGCTGCGAACGACCATGTCCCTGGCATCCCACGAAAAGCGAAGCAGCAGCAACGCAAGGCTAGCACAAAAAGCCATGAAGTACCGCAACCTGGATCAAGCGAAACTCGCGATCAACTACACCGACCCAAACGTCGACGTGTTTCATCACATGGGGATCCAGTGGTGCAAAGTCGAAGGATGCACTTGATTGTATCGCATCAACCCTGTTAGTTAGGCTGGTTGTGGTTTGCTGTAGATAGGAGTTGTCTTGTCAGTGCAGTCAAGGCGACTCGATCAATGGAGGTGTCTTGTCGAGTCATTGCAGTGTCTTTGAGTTCACCCAGCATTTGTAGGATAAATTGATTCTCTTTCACTCTACAAGCTGTCAAAGGCGTCGTTCGTGCAGTGCCAAAGCGGTCTGCTGAGCAAGATAGAGTCTTTGTCGAGTTCCTCTCATCTAACCGGCGATGGGTCACAAAATCTGTTTAGATGTGTATCTGCTCTATGGAGGCAACGCATTTTTAGTGTGAAGATGACAGGAAACAGGAGCAGAGCGTGATTTGGTTCATGTGGAGGCGCCAACAAGATTCGAGGGGTTGTCCATTGGTAAAAAAATTGTTTCTTAAACTATTTTTGAACTTTTTAAATACGAAGTATCCCCAAAAGGTTAGTAGTTCAAATCCATTACTGTATTACCTTTTCTATTTATAGATCCTATTTTATATTATCCATTTTATGTCAACAATTTTCAACTTTTGTTACAACGTTAAAATATATATATATTGGTATAGTACAGTACTGCACTTCAAAAACGCCCTAAAAAGTGGTGTACAGACTTGACCTTGGACACCACATCGTCTGCTCTGCCATACACCTGCCGTATCGTGGCTTGCATCATTCCGCGCTTTTCTTGCCATCGCCTGAATACTCAACGAACAGCGACAGACACGGCCGATGTAGCAGAGGCCGCGCGAGGCTCGTTCACATGATGTGACACTTCACGAAACATGAACATTTTTGCTAATATTTTCGACCATTTTTGAAATTTTCCATGAGGCCCGTGATTGGCTCATTCCCAGTAATTCCTTGACAGCCGTTGATTGGCTTCATTCGACCTAAATGGCTCCAAGCACCAAACAATTTCAAGTGTGCTTGTTTGCGTACGTCTATCGAGATGCGCATTCCTGTCGACGCGAAGGCATCGCGTCGACGGCGGGGGGACGCATCTTTACGGTCATGGAAATGAGTCGGTGGGGTAGTGCCAAGTTCAGACGACCCCCTCGTCAACATCTGGAGCTGGCTTGTACGGCCGTCTAAGCCCCATTTAGTCATGTGTATGACAGAATCGAAAATTATCTTGTGAAGGTGGTCGCCCCTTTCTGACATCAACGTGGTGCAGTTCTGACAACATACCGCGTGCACAAGCAAAAAGAGGACGGAACAGAGCGAGCTCCTCTTCCAGATGGAGGAGGAGTATCGCATGCAGCGATGGAGATTTGCCGCGTTCGAACTTTACTTTTGAGAAGTCGAGTGATTGTGCCTCGCACTGTTGGTTGGTATCGTAAAGTACCTAAACTCAGCCATTCCTTTTGCGGTGCGATACGCTGGTGGGCGATCGTGCATACTTGAGCCCAGATTGAGTCGACCCATGGGACCAGACGTGACAAGAGCAGTCCGTCTCCCTCGCCTGCGGTCTCGTGGGCGGGCGCACGTTGCACGAATCTCGAGCAAACGTGAAGCAAGTACGAATCTCCACATGGCGGCGGGCCTATGGTGCATAGTTTAAATCAAGATGAATCCTTCGACATGTGACATTTAATCCAGCACGTTGATCAATGCGACCATGCTTCATTTTGTATAATGTAGCAAACATGATACTGCGGATCGTCGTAGAGGACTCTCACACGTCAATTGAATGCATTCCCAATAGCCAATGAAATCGCTATATTCGGACAGGCCGTGATCTATCACATTTATGGCATTTCGCATTTGGCCACCAGTAGCGCAGACGAGGACCATGTACTTTGCTCACGACACTCTCGCGGACGAGAACGAGCGCCTGCGCCAGGAACTCAAGCGCGTCATGATGGAGAACAAGTCGTTGCAACACCAAGTAACGCAAATGAAGCAGGCAGTGGCCAGGGAATCCGTTTTCCGTGAAGTGTTGGAGTCGGAGCACGAAACTCTCCGCCGCTTCATCTGCAGTTCGTTTGGGCTACCGGCGGCAACCGGAGCGACCGAGTATGGTGGATCGGATACCGCTTTGCCTACCCAAGTTCCATACACAATGACCTTGACTCGGTTGTCCAGTGATCCGACCAAAGCGCCTGCGACATCTGACGATCCTGCGAAAGCGATTGGTGCAACGCGTGTGTTGGTTAAGAGCGCCGAAGTCATCGAAGCATCGAGAACTCCCTCCGCAGTGCGCAAGGGCGAGAGGTCCGTTCGAATTCAAGAAGAGTGGATCAAGGAAATGGACACCCCTGCAACTACAGCGCATGGACTCGGGTCTCTCGCATGGAGGCGCCTGCTGGCGGATTGGTCTCAAGGCGATGCAAAGAAACACGAGTACTTGAACCAGTGGCTTTCGTATCATTTGACCGGGCAACGAGACTCCAAGTCGCCATTCTCGAACCCGCGCGTCGAATTGAAGTCGATGAACTCGCACATGCTTGCAGGGTTCCTTCAACTCGTTGTACCAGCGTTGCAAGCCAGTCGCCCGGACTTGGACGTGAACGTGTATACGAAGGACTACATTGGCCACAGCCTGCGCATTGTCCTCGAGGAGAAGGAGAGTCGCAGCGCCGCGATCCACGATGCCAACACATTCGGCAGCCTGCGAGGGTCTGTGTCATGTCTCGCGCCGATTCAAGAGCACATTGCAACGTGCTAGGATTGTATCGCCGTCCGCATACTCATAACTTAAGTATTTACATTTCGACCCTCCATACGTCCTCCACATCGCGACCGTGCAGCGCTACCATGGACGCTGCAGCGCCGTCTCGGCGCGCTGCCGTTAGCAAGGCCGCCGTCGTGTAGGTTAGCAAGGCCGCCGTCGTGTAGGAGACGACAGAATTCAGTCAGGCGGGAGATGGGGATTTGATTTTACTGTACTGAAACGGCCTGCGCCAAAGATTCGCCGCCGAATTCGGGCGGAATCGCGGCAGACGCGGCGTCCACTAGACGGGAATGCTGAGGGACCGTTTGGGTATTGCTCCCAGATCATCTCCCAAGGAGAAATAGAAACACCCAGGTTCATAGTCCAGCTTCTGCGTTAGTTATCATTGTACGTGCTCTGTCGAATCGGAGCACCGTCGACGACGAGCGAGTATGTGTAGTACTGCGTCGCGGACGAAAAGAACGCGCCTTCGAGCGCAATCGTCGCGTTGAAGGTATGGCCGAGCGTCGTGAACTCGTACGAGTCGCCCGAGTCCCAAAGTAGCCGCGACTGCGCCATCACAGTGCCGTTGCACAAGACGGCACGGAAGCCGCCGTGCAGCCCGTGCTGTAGCTCGACGACAATCGTCTTGTCCGGGAACGCCACGTGCCACCACATTTGTTTCCATGGAAACGTGAGGAGAATCGCATTCGCGGGATGCTTGATCTCTTCTAGCACGACCGGCACATTGATCGACGTCGCAGCAGTGGTTAGGAAACCGTGCCGCACGAGCGGAATCGACTCGAGACCTTGGGACGAACTGCTCAGCGTGTTGCGATCGGCAAAGATCTCGTTCTGCAGCGTCGTCTCGTTCGCCAAAATGTCTACCGTCGACGTAAGAGCCATGGGCATGCATGATGGCGCTGTACCTCGATTCCCCTCGTCGGGCACTTTGTACCACGACCGATTCGGATACCCCACGGCGACCCAGCTCGGAGGATTCTTGCAAAGCTGGTACATGAATTCTACGGCCGAATGAGACGGAAAGTCACCGAGGGCGTCGCTCGCACCTGATATCCTCTCAACGGTGACCTTGCTAGCCGATGGACCGTCGAGGGCCACCCATCCCTTGTCCTTGACGGATGCATACACCACATCCGACTCGGGCAAGCTGAACTGGAGGGCGCCATTGAACACCTGCAACACAGCCGACGCAATTACCCCCACGGTGCTCTCGACATCTTGGAAGGATCCACATCGTCTTACTTGATTTTCGTCCAAGTATTTGAGGACGGCGCTGCTTGGTTCGGGCGACACCAACACACGGACCTTGGCTCGAGCGCGATAGAAGAACTTGCCGTGCTGCTTCTCGGGCTCTACATCAACGTGCTTCTCACCCACCACCAAAGACTCGCATGCCTCGCTTGGCACCTTTCGTCAGAGTCTCAAGGACGCACTCGCCAGACAGCGTTGTCTCGTAGATCCAGCCAGGCTCATGCGCAAGCTTGACGTACGTCATGGTGGACTCGGGCGTGATGTACCTACGCGACCGTCCTTCGCATCATGCACGCACGACGAGCACGGCCACGAGCCAGACTTACCGTAAGCTGCTTTCGACGATTGAATGGACCTGTTTGGGAAAACTGCCCTGCAACCGCGGGCCGTCCAAGTCGGGCGCGGCGAGCACCGGGACCGCAAGTTTCACCTTGTAAAATTTTGGTGTTTCGATCGTCGTTGCTTCTACGCATTGCGCGGCTGAATGACGCAAAGCCCACGACGTGTTGAGATTGGACGGCACTACCTCCTTCGATGGCCTCCACGAGCTTGGTCGCGCCATCTCGAGACGTCTCCGCGACCCATCCTGGCGCATGGCGTAGTTTGAGAAAGACCCACTTGTTGGTAGTCGTGGCGCCTTGAACATGGGGCACTTCGATTTGTAAACGTTCGCGGCATTCGATCGAGGTGGACCGCGATGCTATGACTGGGCTTTCAAAGGTCGGACCACTGTACACCTACGCCAAGTACCGTCAAATGCAACTCCCCCCTCGACGTCGCCACAACGCACATGGATGAAAGGCTGCAACACTCGGTAGAATGCCCGTGAGATGTCTCGTTGAACCTGGCTCTGCAGGGGTGCCAGCACCAACTATACAATTTGCTTGATGAGGTCGCCGGCGCAAACGAGTTGCAATGTACTTGGCCATCCATCGTCGATTCAAACACCCAACCGCGTTCGTGGAGGAGTTTTACATATGTGATTGGCGAACTTTGAGGCGTGAAGCGCTTCGAACCTTCGACGATCGTGTTGACGTGGAAGCCTTTGCCCACGCGAGGACTCATGATGTCTGGGAACTCTCGAATACCCACGGCGATTTGAACGCAGTAGAAGAAGTGGCCGCACTCTAATACGCCTACAGTTCAAGAGTTAGCTGTCTCTGGAAGCAGTGCTGATGGAGTGGCACCGGATTTGCCTGCGATGACTGCGACCGTGCTGGACGGCTCTTCCATGCAGTGCCGCCGCGTTGGTAGTGGCGATGTGGGTGTGAACGAAGTAGTTCGTTCGAGGAGCCTGCGACCACTTGGTAGCTGGATGCTGAGCCATCCCATGGGGTGCACTTCCACGAAAGAGATCGAACTCTGAGGAAAGGTCACGATGCGGGACACTTGCACGATGTCGTTGGGCTCCTTGGTCTCCACGGGCACCAGCTTGGGTGCAAACCCATCTGGACCTAATGCGCAAAATGAGCGTGAAGCAGCAGAAGATTGGCATACCGCTCCTGAGCTGAAGCGGAACCAACGCACGAAACAAAATGTATGCGTTCGGTGGAGGTAGTTCTTCGGTCCAATCGGTCTCGGGTAAGAGCTCCATGTTGTAGACACCATTCGGCATTCGCTCCAGAGGCACCCAGCCTTCTGCATAGGCGAGTTTCAGGTAGGTTACATCGCCGGCATAGCTTTCTTCGTTCGTTCCAGGCGGCCAATGTGTTCCCGACGGCGACAATGGCAACGACAACGTGCGGTGACCTTCGTCCACGACCTCCACGACTTCGTTTGGAAGCTTCTTGGCATGTGGTATCCATAGTCCTGGTTTCGGCGCGCTAGCAATGCGCACCTCGCTGGTGACGCGGTAGAACTTGCGTCCTGACCGTGCCATGTAAGACGTCGAGCAGCGTCTTTATTCTGAGAGGCGTTTACCGGATAAGCGATTATATCCGGATAAATATTCAAAATACCATCTGCAAATTGGCGCCGAGTCCATGAAGCGACCCCGACGTGACTGTGTTAATGCTAGCATTCAAAGAGGACAATGGACACGAGGTGCGAGTTGATGCGCTCTGCTAGCTCCAAGGCAGTCTCGCCAGATGACTTTGTCTTGATCTCGGTGTTACACTTGTACTCGAGCAACGTTTCGGCGGCCCGAACTTGATCAGTCAACGCCGCTATATTGTCGTTCCATCCACATCCGCAACTTCCATTCTGATTGACCGTCATGGGATCACGTACGTACCATAATGTAGTGCCGTCATACCTGTTACCCCACGCAACAACGTTAGAATCTCTCTTCCGTGCAGGAGATCTTGGGGAAGTTTACCTTCGTTCTGCATCAACAAAGGGCAACCATTCGATCAGTGCGTGGTTCTCAAGACTAAACGTCATGTGCAACTCACGTACGTCTCGGTCGTCGATATCAGCACCATTGTCCAAAAGCAGTCGGACGATGCTAGGGTACCCTTCTCCAGCCGCCTGTTCAAAAGATCTGTCGTGACAAGTCAGCCCTCCCACGGCGTGCCCACCAGCATCAATGGAGTCGTGCCAATTTTCTGCCACGGCATTAGAACATGTCCCCATGGTTATGCATGAATCACGTACATCACGGCGGTTAATTGTCACGTACGGCGTTGGGGCGTACTTGAGCAGGATGGCCGCGATATGCTTGAACTTGCCCATGACGGCGTAGTGCATCGGTGTCCAGCGCATTTCCATCTACGAGTCGCAATGATCAAGGCGTCGCACGAAGGCAGCCTTCACTTACGTCCGGCTCGTCCACAGAGCAGTCTTCCTTGATCAGTGCAAGCACCGCGCTCTCCGCTCCCTATCACTATTCGTGATGGAATGGCTCGATGAGAATGTGTACCTCGTGGCAGGCAAAGTGCAGCGCATTCCTTCCTTTCTCCTATTGCCGCCAAACACCGATCGTGTGAGCCTGTCTGTCCCAAACGCAGGTGCGACGGTACATCGCGAGCATTTGGGTCCTGCAGTCCCTTGTGAATATCATGCACCAACTGAACGACGTCGTCATGGCCCGCTTTCACGTGGAAGCGAATTGTCTTGCGATACGTGACCAGTTTGTCCGAGAGCGTGTCGCCTTCGAGCTGCCGCAGCACCGGCGCCGACTTGCCGTGCTTGCGCTGCTGGGCACGGGACAACTGAAAAAACAGCTTTGGTTTTGCCGCAGCGTTCGTTGGAGCCGGACGCTCTGGAGTTGGTGCATCCGCCATGGTCTCGATACGACTTCGTCGTGACAGTTACGTCGGAGTTACAACATTTAGCATTTTAATATAAGTTAAAGTGTCAGGAGCGAGATTCTCATGGGCGTCGGAGTTCGTCGACGGCCTTTCTTTTCGCAGACGCCGCCGCAGACTTCTTCTTGGCCGGAACAGCGGGAGCTGGCGCTGTAACATCTGACGATCGAATCTTTCGTCCGGAAGATACCGAGCGCTTGGCCGCTTTGGCCTTTGGTCGGCCGCCGTTGGGAGATACACAGAGGATGTCCATGGCGGAGCTCAAGCCCGTCTTGGCATCGGCAAGCGTCCAGTGCGATGAAAATGCTGCCGTCGATACCATCGGTGAAATGAATAGACTGATGTCGTCGTCGTCCTCTTCGTCCAGACAGCTTGACAAGGGTTGGTTGTCCATGGGAGGAAAGTACTTGATCTTGTCGTACGAGGCTGTGCTGAGGTGGGACATCTCTTGGACCGTGGACACGTACAACTGGTTTTCGTGGTGTGGGATAGACACAGACGGTTCGCAAATCGTCGACATTGCGGAGGAATCAAGGACGTGCTGATTGAGTGATTGCGACGACGAACTTCCCCATTCGGCTTCATAGGACGCCATGCGAGCTTCGTACAGGGCCGACTTGGCTATGCCGTACTTGATCCAGTTCTGCTCGAACTCGATGGCTTCGGGGATGAGCTCCGCTGGAACATGGACGCCGCACTTGGGGGTCCACACTGGTGTCGACGACGAGTTCATGGGACCGATCGAGGCAATTCAAAAATGTGGCTTGGTCCATATCTTTGAAAAGCTCTTGGTCGATTTCATTGGATAAAAAGAAGCACTTGCACCTTGTATCAAGCCAATCGACATGCGTACAGAATGCAAAACCCGATCAGGTGCCACCACGTAAAACCCACTGCAAATTCGGTTTTATCTTGGAAGATCGCGTTGGAAACATTAAAACGCAACGTGTCGAAAGCGTTGAATCAGACGCGCGCTTTCAGCCGACGACACCGTGGGAATTTTCAAGCAATCGAGGCCAGTGATTGGCTCACCTTGATAGGCAGACACAAAGGCGATCGGTCCAAAGGTCGCCACAACGGCACGAGGAGGACAGCGGAGGGGCTACTTTCTTCACGCGATACCCATCACGGCGGAAGTTGCCTTGGGCTGCCGTGGAATTGTGCGCTGCCACGTCAGTCCCCGGTGATTCTACGCCAATAGACGAGGCCGAACATGAGATTTCAGTGCGATGGGGGGGCACATGTAGCCTACATTCAAGGGTAGCCTGCGCTTGCCAAACATGCCTTCCGCCCCTGAGAGTTTATGCGAACGCAGCAGCATCTATGAGGCATGTGAAGGAGTTGAATTGAAGAACTCTGGTACCTGTTGTGTCTTGAACAACGCTGCGTCTTCCGAAGCAGCAGCCATCGACTCTTCGGAGTCTCCACCGAGTTCAACTTTCCAAGACTAACGCGGTCAAAGTGAGCCATCTGAAAGCGTCACCTACGCCAGCACATACGTTCACTTTGTCTCGAAAGTGATGCTTGGACTTGAACGGCGGAGGGTTTGACCGCGTTTGGACTTGGGAGGGCGGTCCTCCCTCCATTCGTTTCTAAAGTACGATTCCGTTGAGAAATATGCAGCATCTTACATGAGCATGGCCTACCGTGTCCGCGGTCGTGCCATCTCGCCCCTGAGCCACGAGATCGCAATGCGCGTCAAACCTCTGCTGCCTCTCTTCGGTCATGGAGACTTTCCACTTGGCGTCACTTAACGCCAATTCGCTTTCAGCAGTCAAGTAATTAGCCACATACCTACGAAAGCGACGCATTAACGCAAAAGCATTTCAACTGTCGAGCGTATACTCTTTGGGCCACGGCGGACGAGCTGCTGGCTGCCGCTTCATGGCGACGTCTGTATCGCACACCATCAATCGCTCAGCCAAATGGAGCGTCTGAACAGAGAAACCGATGAGAATTTTTTCGTAAAAGATGGTTGTACACGCACAGACACTTTGTCGCCACTGGCGCCTTCCCGAATGTGGCGAAGTTGCTCTCTCGACGTTGTTGTGGATTTGTTGGTGTTCGACGTGGTTGGTTTCCCATGCCTCAGCGCATGGTACTGCGTGGTGCTTTTGCAAATGTCATGCTCGATGATGCCTTTCATGCTGTCGTAACGCTTGCATGTGCCTGGATGCCGTAATGTTGGACGTCGACTTGGCGACACGTTGCTAGACCAAGCCGTTCCGATTTTGCCGGTCGGACTTGTTTCAAGAACGACTTGTTTCGTTGGGGACGTTGGCGATAACGTGCACCGCGGTCGACACGATTGCTTCCACACTGGCGCTGCGGTCATGGGAGGCCCCTGGCGTGGATGCAAGATCACGAAGCCGTCACTGCGTCGGCCTTCAACGCGATTTTGCCTTTGGGACGATGGCTAAACAGGTAGCCATGATCCATTGAGGGCTTCAATCGCGTGAACTGACCTCTGGCACGCGGATCTTCCACGCTTTCAGCAAGCTGTACTCCATAAGGTTGCGCGCTGTCGACCCGCTTGGTGCTGATGCTTTGCGAGAGTTTGATTGGTTGAAAGGATATCTTGAACAGTCGTTCATGTAACTGCCGAGCATATGATCGACGTCGAAACCAAGTACTTGTGCTGGAATGCAAAGGGACAGCGCAACGCGATGGTATCGAGATTGTAGTTTACAATCATGGTTCACAGAGATACAGAAGATGATTCGAAGGGTTCCAGGTGCCTTTCAGACATCGATGGTGTCGATACTCGACCATCTTTTGCGCACGACACGCAGCAGCGTATTCGTCAGCTGCCACGACTTCTTCGGACGCTAGCGATATCGCTCGCTTTACGGCTAGGTCATGGGCGTTTTGCAGCATTTCCTTGGATCGACATGTACTTGCATCCGACAGCGTACACTCATCGCCACAGCGATTCCACATTTGTCGCAACGTCTGTCATTCCTGTAAGCCAATACTCTCGTGGCCACGCATGGACTATACGTGGACGCTGTCATGAGCCCTTGTTGGACGAGTTTTTTTCGTTCCCCTCAATGATCTCGATGGCGGTTGCGGTTCCACGCGGTGTTCTGCTTTCGTTCGTACAGTCGCTTCGATGGCAAAATCTCGCGGGCGAAGACTCTGCCGAAAGTGCAAGTCCCGCGGAATGCGGGTGTTCAGCGCGATGTCGCCACGCACTGCCTATATGCGTCGTGAGCATCATAGATACGTCAGGGACCATACTTTTGCCCCAGGGTAGGGCGCCCTACAACACGGTCGTAAGTTGTGCTCTGTGTCATGCCATAGAGCTACCACGAGTCCAAGCCATCCATCTTCACCGACGCAAACACTGCCGACAGCGCGATGGATTGGAGGCGAGCCGTTTTGTCGATGTGGGGGCCTGTAACTTCGATCGTGACACTGCCGCCGAGTGAAACCGAATCCATCGCTGTGTTTGGTCGGGAGTTTCACCCAAAGTGGTTGTCGTCAGGAGGGCGGCCGTGCATGCCTTGGGAGTTTGGCCGGGATGCTGTCAGAACCGCGGCGGCTGTCGGCCCAGCAGCTATACAAAGTCCACCCCGGTGGCGCTGACACGGTCGATGACTCCGAGGACAGGGACAACGACTTTATCGCAACCAACACAGACTTTGTTCACGAAGAAACCACCAACGCCGCCCAAACAATCTCCAAGTGGTACGACCAACGTGATGCATGCTGCGGCGGCTTCTTGGCACTGACGCATGGCCTCCCACAGGTGGCGCGTTCGGAAGCTGCACAACCGCATCAAGACCAAGTGGGTAAGTGACCCCGACGTCGTTCGTGGGACCAGCCTGACGACAACGTGACACAGACACCTGAACACTTGCGCAAGCTGAAAGAGCAGCAGCGGCGAGTGCGCATCCAACTCCGCATTCGAGAAATCGCCCTCTACATTGTGTACTTGCTCTTCCTGAACGACTACGTCCTCGCCCAGTACTCGGACTCGAGTCTGTACTACTTTAATGCCAACCTCAAACGTGAGCCACCACGCCGCAGTTGCGTTGACGCCTCACGGACGACTCGCAGGAATATTTATGACGTCCAGTCGTCCCACGGATTCAAACGCGACGCAGTTTCAAGCGATATCGACGATCCCGCAAGTGTATCAGTGGCTGCAAGGCCCCTTCTACGAAGCGCTCTACTCGGAGAAGGATCCCGTTACCGGCGACTACACCATCCTGCAGTATGGTCAAGTCGTGGGGGGCATCAGCATCGGTCAGCTCCGGGTGCTCCCACAAGAGTGCACATCCAAGCTGCCCCCTCAAGCTGGCAGCGACAAGGTAACCCTCCCCCCTTCTCCCAACGTGCTTCGTCTCAACGGCGTCGGTGTTGTTGGCGTAGATGTATTGGTGCTATGGAACCAAGTCGGGGCATTTCGACGAGTCTGTCGAGAGCACTGTGCCGTTTGGAGCGGGCAATGGATCCAACTTTATGTGGGACTCTGCGTCTGAGGACTCGAACATTTCAGACACCCGGCGGGCATTCTTCTCCAGCTACACAGGAGCGACGTCGGCCGTGTACCCCGCGCCGGCGTTCCGCGTCGTGCTGCCCCACACGGACGCCATCGAGACGAAGGCCCTCCTTGCGTCGATCGAGTCGAACAGATACATGGACTTCCAAACCCGAGCCGTGTTTGTCGACTTGACCGTGTTCAACGTCATGCTGAGCTCCGTGGTGGTTCTCCGGTTTGCGTTTGAAGTGCCGCCGTCGGGAGGGGTCGTCCCGACGTCGGACAGCGTCGTCGCACCGTACGTGGACACGTCATTCAATTTTCTCACGCACTACTCGATGGTTGTCGTCGCCGTCTTTTTCGTGCTCTACTTTCTGCTGCTTCTCCGAGCGACACGAAAGGAAGGATGGCCCGTGTATCGACGGCTCGAAACGTGGGTCCAGATTGCCAACTCGATCGCGTACGCCGTGATGTGGCTCTTGCGCGCGTGCGCGGGCCTGGACTTCCCCAACATCCACATCGCCAGCACGTCGCCGGGCAACTTTCGATCGTACGCGTTCATGTACAATATCAGCATGCGGCTCGCGGCGACCGTGTGCTTCCTCAGCTACGTCCGGCTCGTCCTGTACCTCGACCTCCTGCCCCACGTGAACCTGGTCGTGCGGACGATGGCACTTTCCGTGACCCAGGTCTCGAGCTTCCTGTTTGTGTTTGGCCTGGTCGTGTACGCCTACGCAACGTGCTACTGCGTCGTGTTCGGGTCGTCCGTCGAAGGGTTCAGCACCGTTTCGCGGAGCTACACGGCGCTGCTCCAGTCCCTCATTGGCAATCTCGACTATGCCCCGTTGGAGGAAACGAGCCCAGTCATGGCGATGCTGCTCTTTGTCGCGTTCACGCTAGTCGCCGTGTTTGTCGTGGCGCACATCGTGATCGGTACGACCGTCGTCCCTAGATCTTGACAGTGCATGTTGCATCGCTTCCATGCGCTGCTTCGCACATGTCCTCATGCTGACGTCGTAGCCATGATCATCGACGCGTACTGGGCAAGCAAAGACTCGATGCAATGGGACCACGTCAACTTGGTCGGTGAAACTCTCGCGTATGTGTGGGCCATCGGAACGGATCTTGTGAATCGAATCGGCCATGTCTGCGGTGTCGCGTTTGTCATGGACGATGCGTTGGATGCGGCGCCGCACCCGGATGCGTTGGCCCCGCTTCGCCCGCGACGCATGGACGTTAAAGCGGGTGGCCACCGCTTGTCGGCGGTGCAAAAGTTGGTGGTGCGGCCGCTCGCGGCCACCCATGCCAAACTCGAACAGCTCGGGCACTCGTTGACCCAGTACCAGGTCGTGCGCACGGGCGTCGACGGGATTCGACGTGGGACAAACATGGTCGTGGCCAAGTCGAGCCAACTCACAGACCGGCTCAACTCGTTCCGAGACGACACCCCCACCTCGTTCAATCAAAGCTCGAAACGCTTTCTGAATGGAGGGCCAGGCACCAACGCAGCGGCGAGCGACGCCCAAATGAAAGTCCTCCAAGGAATGATTATTCAACTCGCCCATCAAAACACAAAGATCCAGCAAACTCTTGTCATGCTCCAGACACAAGTGTCCGAGCTCATGGAAGGGTCGAAAGGCGACGACGACCTGCGGCAGGACGACCCGTCCGATCCATCGTAGCTCTCGACCCACGACGTCACACTTATTTAACGTAATACCCAAGCAACTTGCCGCAGCTCTCGTGAGTCCGCCCGCTTCTGCCGAAAGCACCAGGGGCTTCCTGGTCCATTTCATGTGAAATTCGAGCCGCGCGGCCTGCATGAAGTGTTTGGTGCCACCTCCACTGGCAAGTTGCTGTGGGTTGATCGAATGCACCAATAGTTACGTAGAAAGACCGAGGTCGCTATTTCTTGGACGACTTGAACCCTGCAAACGTGATGGACCGTCGTTTGGCCTTTCGCTTTTCGTCTGCGCTTTCAGTGGCGACGACGTCTGCACCCGTGCCATCGACCGTTCGATTCGACGTGCTACCGGTGCCGGTCCCGATCTCGATGTCGTCCTGCGCCATCCGCGGGTGGTTCGGCCGCAAATTTGCCGACGCCAGTCGGTTGCTGGACTCTCGTCGGAGGAAAATGCTCAGATTGCGCTGGGACGGAAACCCCATCAAGAACGTGCCCATGGGTGACATGTCGAGTGAGTTCTCGATGGCTTGTCGGTTCATGCTATTCATGTCTTCGTTGTCATCGTCGATGCCATTGGAGGTCGGCGCCGCTTCACCCGCACCGCCGGTCGCCCCGTCGTCGTCGCTGCTGCCCTGGCTGACTGCAGGACCCTCCTCGTCACCTTCCTCGGTGGTGGTGGTGATGGCGGACGCGTGCCGCCCTACCGCTCTTGGTTTCATGTCATCGGACGAGCCAACAGCGCCGTCCGCGCTGCCACCGGCTAGGTTGACGCTCTTTGCGAGCGCTTGGGGATTATGCCAGTACGAGCTCAAATTGCGGCTGGCAAGCGTCTTGCGCTTTTTTAGCAGCGGTGGCGGTGTGAGAAGGGACCGCTGCGCGAGAAGGGCGACGCCGCCGATTGTGGTCAAAATACCAACGACGAACATGCATGCTTGGAATTCAGAAAAGGAACGAATCTCTTGAAAGTACACGGCCCCTCCCATGACGCCGCTGATGATCCAGTACGCCTAGAGTTCCAGGTCACATCCTGCCCATTACGCCAGCAGAAAGGCACCTGGTAAATGGGAACGACGGAGAGTGCGTCGTAGTTGGCGAGCCCGCCGTTGAGGAAATGCATCTGTGCGATCAAGCACCCTCCCATCGCGACGATGATGCAGTACGTCTCAGCGTGGGTGAAGCAGTCGCCGCCGGCAAAGAGCGACTTGACCAGTTCGATAGTCGACTTTGCAAACAGCACCGACTGGCCACCCATGAGCCCTCCCAGCCTACAAGTCGTTGTGACATCGTACGCTCCATACATGGAATAGTTACCCAGCATACGCGACAAGGCGCACCGTGGACCACACGGACGGGTCGCCAAAGTTGATGATGCGGTGGCGGTGCGACGCCAAGTGGAGGTGCTCGACGCACTTGATCACAACGTAGTGCAGCAGAATGAGCACAAACACGATAGCAAAGTAGAGCACTATCGACCAACGCTTTGAGGATCGAGATGGAAGGAGGCTTGTGTACGTGTAAGGGAGTTCCGGTAGAGATGTTTCAGGTCGTCCAGCGTATACGACGGCGAGTTGTGGTTGGCAAATACGACGGCCAGAGTCGCACCGAGAAAAATGATAAGAGTCGCCCAAATGTCCTTGCGCGACAACCGCTCCTTATTGAAGCATGGCGCGAGCATCTGCGCAGGGGACGAGGTCAATGCGATGCATGAGTGTGTTTGAAAAACGTACCATATTCCACACCAACGTCAGCGCAGCCAGCGGAGCAAGTAGACTCTGTGGAGCCAAACCAAACGCAATGAAATCGAGCAGTGACCCGGCCACGATCAAGCAGAACCCCAGAGTCCACAGGGGCAGCCGGAACGGTGACAGTGGCTGCGTGCCTGTTTCGTGGGCCGTGACTTCATTTTGCTTGAGTGCACGCTTTTGCAAGTTGATCCCAACGCTCGAGAGGAACGAAAACACCACCGAGATGGTAAACCCTGCCACCCACGCACCGCGATTGGGACCGCTGTATGTCCACGGAATGCACTTGGAATCGTCGATGGTGCCGCACAACGCGTCTGTCACGGGTTTCACGAGCGCTGCGAATGACGTGGAACAATTGTTTGTGACCTGGGCGGCACATGCGCCACTGCAGAGCGGACGCTCTTGGGCGAGTTCGCATGCGGGGAAAGCAAACATGCATGCAACTTCACGCAGCGCTTGATGGCAGATTGTCGTTGCTGAGTTCGTCGAGTTGGATGCAGCATGAAATGCAGCGAAGTGCGATTCGGCCAGACGATCTTGCTGCTCAAGAGTCATGTCTCGTTGAAGACACACGGGGTATTTGTTGCGGAGCTCGCCACAAAATCCGAGAGGGGACTCAATGTTCACGCAGCTGTCGCACACCACAAGCTCCAACGCCTTTCCGTCCACAGTTGCCATACTCACCAGGACGACAGCGATCCACGGAGGCAGTCGTTCCATCTTCGTTGCCGCGTGCGTGCTCGAGTCAAACGCACCACGGGAAATTGTAATTTTCAAGAACATTATTTGTTTTGATTTTTAATTCGGTTTGCATTTTAATTATGGGGTGTCATATAGGGGGCTAAGTGTATTATTAATATAATTGGTCAAACTCTGACCACACGTATTTAATTGGCCGATAAAAATGGCACAATGAAACGTCTCAACTGCGAACACCCTATATCCGGATACGAAAGGCTCTTCGAATAAAACTGTCTCACGAAAAGAGCTGACTTTGTATATAACTGGGGCGGGCACAATTCCTTGGGTATTTCTATTGGATCCGGATAAATCAGAACTCACAATCCCACGACACCAGGTGCGAGACCTGGTTGGGGTCGTGCATTGGATGGTTGCTCCGTCGACGAGTATTGCGAACAGGTTGGCTCTGTCAGCGCAATACCAAGCGTCATACGGGGGTGAGAGCGAGGATCCTTCGAGCCCTCATGCTATGTGCTATCTCGAGGATTTAGTTTGACATGCCATGGCTTCTCGATGAATTCGAAGGATCGTGACATTGAGGGCTGAAAAACCACCGAGGGATGCATATACCCGTGACAACGCATGCCACTGGGGAGTTGTATCGTTTACAGCAATCCGCTGCTCTCCGGACTGTTTGCGTGAAAGCAGCAACCTCAGTTCGTCGATCGAGCACGTGTGTAATTGGTGCGATCTCGGACCACGCATGGCCGCATGATGGAGTTGTCCAGTTGCAAACAGCCATTCGTTCATGCACCCATGCATTGTGTTGTGGTGGCACCGACCTACTATAATAGTTTCGGACGTTGTGTGGGTGTTGTCGGCCGAGCTCTGCGGGCATTGCAATTCCACATCGTGCAAAATCGTGCAAATTCAGAACCGAGAGGGTTACCCAGCGTTGAAACCACGAAATTTGGTGCGTGCGTCGGGATAAATAATGTCATTTGTTTCGGTTGCACACCGGTCGGTGGCCACCGAAAGAGCTGTGGTTACCAGTGGCGTTGTTCATCGGGCACAAAACCCAACTGACCATCGACGTAGCTGTGCGCACGAGTTGGACTTGCGCGGCAGGACAATTTCAAGAGGTCCTGACACTGACGGGGTTGCCATCCCTGCACGCATCGACAAAGTCCTGGCACAAACACCACGTCGTGCTACGGGGCACCACACTAGCTCAACGAGATGGTCATGTCGACAACGCTCCATTAGCCTGGCGCGAACATGGATTCATTGCTAACGTTGTGGTGGTGTTTGGCAATGTCCGAGTGTATCAGTCCCTTCTCATGGTTCTTGTCTGCGAGCTGCGATTGCTACGCCGGGCTATATCAATCCTTCGTAGCCACACGTCGACGTACGCTGACGAAGAACGACTGGTGGTAGTGGAGCATGTTGGTCGCCGTAGCTTTGATGTGGTTCTCTGCCATCACTTTCACCTTGTAGTCCGCATTCGCTGCATATGCATTGATACGCTCCAGGTGCTCCTGCCGGCTCCCAGTGAGAACACATCGACGAAATCTGTTTTCGAATCGTTTACCGTGATGATGTGGCGCTTCGCTTGTCGAGTGGCCTCTCGATGGGCTTGGTCCACGACTTGGGGCATAAGCTTGGCCCGTTTGAGGCTCTTGGGGGTGTTGCGCATATCTCCGCCCAGTACGAGAGTTGACGCCGTGTGTGGGACAACCCCAGGCGCGAGTTTGGCAGAGTATCGCGTGGGTGAAGGGAGGTTCGTTCGCAGCGAGGTTTCCAAGCCTTCCACGCAGAACGCTTCCAGGTCGTGCGGCCTGTCGCTTCGTCTGTCGTGGTCTGCCGCTTTCGTGGAGGGTACGACTGCAGTCGACACGCGTTGATGGACGGGGGGCAATTGCGGGGACTCGGTCGTGATATCGTGCGTCGCGGGGGATGACACAGGTGGGAGTGGTGAGTCGAGTGTGTCGAGCTTGGCCGTGTTAATGTCGTTCTTCCGGTGGTGCTGCCGCCTCCGCCCGACTGCGCTCGGCACGGGCACTTGCGACGCCGCAGCCACACGTTGCTGGAGCCCTGCAATGTACCTGGCTTGTCGAGTCAACGGGTCCTCGATTTTATCTTGTTCAGGGTCTCGAGCCACGTCAAACTGCCTGCAGTCCCGCCGTTGATGTGAATGTGATGGCACCAAGCAAAAGAGGACGAATGCATCGTACTTGGCAAACGATCGATAGTGCACGACGCCGCCTTTGGACGAGAGCGACGACGCTGTCGAGTCGTGGTGTAGCAGAAGCTCTCGAACTTCGTGGTCTTTCAGCCCTGAGCATGTCGTAAGCATGGATTCCACCATAGAGCGCTACCCGTCGTACCAAAGTTCATTTGCTGCAACGTGGCAATCACGTCATCGGTCGAGATGAACCCCGACTGGTTTTTGTCGTGGGCGGAAAGCGCCGCCGCGATCGTGTTGGCGACAGTGCCTGCGCCTGCAGGGCTCTTGTACCACGTCTCCAATTTGTAATTTTTGGTCTCTCGCTACACGGTCCGTACGCGTTTACGGTTTGCATGCATCACGTCGTCGAACCTGGTGAGCCTGTATGTTTGTGATGAGCCGATCTTTGGGCTTAACAATGGACGGGGGAGTTGGGTGGTGGCGCTGCTGCTGCTGTGCCGTCAAGTCCAAACCCGTCGAAGTGTGAGATGATGGGTCCGCGGCGTCGTCGCCGCCCCCGACTTCGAGAGGTTTGGTTGGACTCGGGAGGAAGTTCATGTCGTGGAATCGCCGGGGAAGTGTGTTGTGTGGCACCTCGATCTCCTGACGACGCTTTGCGTTGGCATTGCCGACATACCTCCGCTTCCGAGTGTGCGGCATACCAGTCGAGCGCGTCGGTGGCAGGTCGTTTCTTCGCGAGCCACGAACGACAACCAAGCGTTTCGTCGCCATTTATAGCGGCCACGAACCAGCGGCATTTCACCGCCAGGACGCCTCAATTGGTGGGTGGCATTCTCAGGGAATGGGATTGCGTGGGGTGGGTTTGCTGTTGGCTGCACCTCCTCCCCACGTGACAATGACGTCGGCACGAACAGTCCCTGTCCCAGGTACCCAGACGCGTCAAGTCCTGCGCAGCACTGCTGTGTATACATGGCTGAGCGAGCCACCCGCCTATCTCCAGGAATCTACCATGGGGCCGCGAAGTTGGCTGGCCGCTACAGTCTGCCGGCAGCGGCCGCCGCTGGTCTGGCTCATGTGGTGCAGGGGCGATGGTATGCAATCAACAACTTTCATTGGCTATAATTCTTAAGTAGAACGATATTCGACCAATGAAACGTCGAATCAGATGTGACATTACACAGTAAACGAGCGTGTTGGGGGTTCGCAGGAGGTTACTCACCAAGGCCGGTGACGGCTCCATCGTCCTCGTCCGTGCACTCCAAGGACTTTAGCCCGCTACCCCATGGCGCCTTCCACATGGATGGCCCTTGTGCTGCTCTTCAGCCCCTTCATTGGAGCGAGCATGACACAGGACACATGGACCAGTGACTGCGACGGTGTGTGCGGGTCGGCATGGGCAGGAACGTGCGTTGTGCCGAGCGTCAAAAACAACGAGATAGACCCTGCATCGTCCTCACTTCCTGTTACACTATCGTCTTCCTTCCACTGCTTGCCCTTATCGGGAACTTCGACAGCCATGCTCACAATCAATGCCAATGATTCACTCAATGCAACCAACCACGCCTACAACGTTCGCCACATCAACGTGAACTGGGCCAAAATCAACGCCACATCAGTGTAAGAGCGCCAACAGGCCTGTCTTCGATGTCTCACGGATCCCTCGACGTTTAGTTCTTTGTCTGGCGTCGGTGGCCGCGACCTCGTGGCCCTCACGTTTCCCACGACCAACCCCTGGGGTGACCTCACACATCTGTACGACCGGCAAGGCAAGCCCACATCTACCTAACTCGACAAGCGTAGTTCCATCAGGCACTTGAATGCGTCCGTTCTCCCTCCATTTCCCTCCACCCTTCGAACACTGTACGACCCCAGCTACATCATCGAATTCGTGTCATCTTGCTTCAGGAACCTCGTCGACTGCCAACTTGAGGACGCTCCTTCCCCGTTGCCGCTGCACCTCACGGCCCTGTTCGTATTCCAGGCCGCAGCAATCCCCTCACAACCCTACGTAGAGACTTGACGTCAAACTTTCTCCGGTCGTTTCCCATCAGTATTTATGCCTTGACGTCCCTCACACACCTGTACGCCACGTCTCGATGACCAATCGGCCAACTCATCTTGGTCGCAGCAATTTGTCCAACAACCCGATTCCACCGCAGTCGCTCACGCTTCGCGACCTTGCGTTTACCTCGACCCTCGAATTCTTTCAACTCGACGCAACGTCTCCGTCGATGGCCCCGCACTTGGTTCGAGCCGATCCCGCTTCCCCATCATGTTCGTCCTTCTTTTCCTGAATCCGTATCACCGCTCCCCGTGGTTAGCCGCCTCTTCGTCCAGCCTCATCGTGGTGCTTGTGGGTATTGGCGTCGGCCTTCTCCTCCTCGTTGCAGTCTTTCTGTACGTGCTACGGCGCCGGCAGCTCCGAGACCGACAGGATCGTCAAATCCAAGATAATCCGCTGACGACCATGGACCACATCTACCAGGCAGCGTTCGCCGGCGCCAAGCACAAGCGTCCGCTACACTCGATCCTCAAGCAGTCGTCGTCGTCGATGTCGCTCGCGTCGGAAAAGGTATCTGCCTTCCACGCGAGTGTCACGGCCGACATCGAGCTCGCCCGCGTGCGGTTGCAGCTCGATTCGCTTGTGTGCACCCGCCTCCTCGCGCACTCAAGGACGCATTTGCATCAGATCTACCTCGGACAGTGCGATGACCTTGCAGTCGTTCTCAAAAAAGTCGCGACCACATTGTCTGCCGACGAGATCGACGCGGCGGCGACGCACCTCATGGACGAAATGCGCATGCTCGGTCGCCTGCGCCACCCACACGTGGTCAATTTGATCGGGGTCGCATGGGACGACATGCACACCCCGGTCGCGGCCACGGCCTGCGGCGTCATGGAATACATGAACCAAGGCGATCTCCGCTCGATTCTGGACGCGGCGCCTCTCACTTGGACGGACGCCAAATTTGCCATGGCACTTCACATCGCGAGGGCGTGCTTGTATCTCCACACGCAAAACCCCGTGCTTATTCATCGCGACCTCCGCGCTCAGAATGTGCTCGTCCATCGCCCTCTGAACGACCTGGACGACCATCCAGGTCTTGACGCAGCCGATCATGGCGCGGACAAGACAAGCAGCGTTCGGTTTCTGTGCAAGCTGACCAACTTTACGTCCGCCCGCGTCCGGTCGTACGTGGACACGATGACATCGGGAGTTGGCAGCGCCAAGTGGGTGGCCCCCGAAGTTCTCCGAGGCGACGACTACTCGGAGCGCGTCGACATGTACTCGTTTGGAGTTGTCTTGTGCGAACTCGACACACACGCGCTGCCGTTCGCAGACCGCGCGACAGGTACAATCTGAAATGGTCTTGTTAGGCTCTGCAAGTTGCTTGTTTTGCATGGGCTCAAATCGATAGAATAGATGTCGACTCGACGCGCGGAGGCCAGAGGTCGCTCGTCCAAGACATCATGACTGGGAAAGCTCTGCCGCAGTTCACTCCAACGTGCCCTGTCCCGATTTTGCAGCTCGCCAAGCAGTGCCTCCAACTGGACCCGGCAAATCGACCCACCGCCCGCGCCGTCGTCGACACACTGGAGCGGATCGTCCAAGAGCATGCTTGGGGCGGGCGCAACGGTGACGGCATATACGTGTGAGGTCAGGTGGAGATGTAACAGATGATTTATTGAGCTTCAAACACAAACACGTCGTCCATTTCGAAGTTGGCAGCGTCGTCGTCGTCCGATTCATCTTCCTTGTCTTCGTCCTGCTCTTCGAGACAGAGGCGGTCGAGGCTGAGCCGGTTGTCTGTGTGAGACGACAGGCGTTCTCGCCGCAGAGACTCCATGGAGCGCATGACTGCAAGAGAGGGGGACTTGGACAAGTCGTCGGAGGCCGGGAATGGCGCCGTCATGGTCGCGGCGTGGCGCGGCATGTGCAAGAAGCCGACTTGAGCAGGACACGAACTGGCAAACTGCACAACAGTTTCTCGTCTAGTTGACGAAGATGAGGATGAAGGACGGTCGAGATCTAGCGGAGGGGGTGGAAGGTGCAACGGCGGCATGGGATGCGCAGACAGAAAAGTCGAGCTCGGGTCTGGGAGTGACCCAATCAGAGGGGTGCGGGGAGCACTACGTTGTTTCGACGATGACGCGAGATGCGGAGGCAAGGCCATCAAGTGACGCGGTGCAGGGCACGAATGCGCTTGCGTGTTTGTGTGAAGGTTGGCGGAAGAGGCAGACGTCGAGGACCCCGTCGGTGGATGGATAGCAATTGCGCGACTGGCTTCTTTGGGTCCATGCAGCGCAATAACGGAGGACGGCGACAGAGTACTGCTACTCATGATATGATGGACGTCCCTCGGCACTGATACGTGGTGTGACCGTTGGATTCCTTGTCACGACGCGGCTGGAGCAGTGGCGGTGTGATCGGCTGCGCTCTGGTTGCCGCTCTCTCTTTGGCAGGTCGACCGAGTCCGGTTTGAAAATCTCGACGCTGATTGGGCTTGATGTAGTAACTTCGCCTTCGTTCACTTCGATACCACCTCTAAACTTCGATTTGATATATTGAAATCAAGAGTCCATTCGTAGAAGAGAGAAGGGGCGCAAGTACAAATCACTGTCG